TATAGCGCGAATGACGAAAAAACACAGTGAGACAAATGAATACACATTCAATGATGGGTCACGTGTATTTTTTTCACTAATAACCAAATTAAGTTCGAATATTTTCGCCTGCTTCGAGGTTATTAGTTGCATATTGTTTGAAATCAGTAGCTTTCAATCAATTCTGTGGCTTGAAAACAAACCAAACCTAAAATTTGAATTGATAAACATGTAAAGGCCACAAGGTACACTCGCTATTTCTTTCCATCATTATCGTATGTAGCAAAATATAAGCAAATTAACTGATTCAAAAAAAAAACTATAACTTTGTACAGCATCAATATTCATCAGCGACGGAACATTGAATTCACAAGTGAGGAAAAGGAATAATGAAAACAACAGCGCAAAGAATGTGTCTATCGTATCGGACGCATGATACGTATGCGAATTTTCCCCCATTTATTCAAGCTACTTTACCTGCAGGCATTTTTAATTATACGCTGTGTTTGAATATTCTTGTGTTCTCATGGTGTGGTTCCTTACATTTGGGTACGTTTAAATGTTATTACCATACATCTCATTGACATCTCTCTGACGATTGAGTGGAGAAAAAAAAATAGAAACAAGTAAAGAAGTAAAAAAATACAACAACAACAACAACCATAATTGAAGCACAATGTTTTCAATTCGAAATTGATCGTTGCTTCAAGTGTAGAAAAGTCAAAAGGTATAACATTTGGTAAAATGTACAATTTTTAATGCATTCTTTTGTGCCGTTTTCGAAAAAAATAAAATAAAAAGATAAACAAGCATACCACTTTACGTTTACGAAAGTATATGTATTTGGTGTGTTGACATCTTCCTGTTATATTCCATGCAATTCGTTTGTCTATTGATCACTAAAACATCAATTTTACATATCTCACGAAGTCAACCAGACGGTGTACTTTTTTTTATTCAATTGCCCACTTATTTATGTTATGAAAAGGATTCTTCGAATAAATTGTATCATCACATATTACTTATACTGTGTAATATTTTATGCTCAATATGAATCACATCCGGTTACTCATTTACATTTTATAAACAGAAAATTTCAACAATTTTTTTTTAATTTATTGACAAACCATTTTGGAGACATATCAACAGTTGAATGCATTCATAGTCACAATAAACGAAGTTGTTTATAATTTAAGATATATGAAATAGCCAAACCAAATATAAAACACGTGCGGCACAGTCGAAACACATTCATTCAAAGTGAACGCACTGGATCAATCTTTGCTGAGTCAAAATGTAATTATTATTTAATCGAAACTTTGCTTGGACAGTTTATTTGTGTGTCGCGTACTCAATACATTAATGTGGCTTTGTTTATAACAGAAAACCATAATAAAAGAATTTCAAACGAAATAAAAAAGCTGATTGTTTGTATACGGATTTTTGAGAATACATTTAAACCACATCAGCTTCAAGATGTCACTTCTTTTCAATGAAATATTACTGTGAAACGAACATCTAAACAATGAATTTTGAACTGAGACTCCAAGAACAACACAGAAATTATTTCTGTGTAAATTCATATGATAAAGGGCTTATGTTTGTGAGAAAAAGAGAGTGAGAAAACTTAAAAAAGAAATAAACGATGGTGAGTAAACGGTTTTAACATAAACGGTTTGGTCGATATGAAATTGCTTTAATTGGTTTTCTTTTCAAGTGGTTTTAATAAATAAACGCAACATTTAAAAAAATGTATTGAAATCTATAACAATATATTGTTTATGCAGTATTTTCTTCTTGCCACGTATTCAAAGGCAATTAATTAACCACAAAATGTGTAAAATGAGAACTTTTCTTATATTATATTATATCGCATCGATTCTGTGATTATTTTATCTTTTCTTCTTTTATCCGTCTTTTCTTCTGTCTTTCTCTCGAAATGGATCGATCACTAAGTGGAAACAAACTGAAGGTATCACATATTATGTTGATTATTGTAAATATTTTTAATACTATATCGGTGAATAAAGTTGAAAACGAGGATGTCTGATTTTAAAGTGAACATGTTGCATGTTTACTGCTTGAAGTGCCAAATATGCATTGTTTTAAGAATGGACGGAAAGTAATGACATTGGCCCCTCATCAATACATATTTATAGTTTCATATTGATTTTGTTGTTGTTGTTATGGCTTCCATATGATTTATGAAGAAGAAGAAAACGTGCCCATATTCACATCATGCAATGCAATGATCTAAAAACTGACTTAGACGAAGGGGTGCTCAACCATATCGCATGGAGCAATTGCATTTGGCAAGGAATATTTACGGAAGCGTTATAAATAGACAAACACATGCATACACAGAGAGAAAGAGAGAGAGATACTATGATTTTGCATATCCAATGTATGTTTCCACCACAATAATGTACAAAAAAACCACAAACATCCTGACTACATTCGTTCTTATTATTAAGTTATTTAACTTATGTGTTCGATTTGATAACTTAACAGCATTCAAATGTTTGATGCATTCTACAAAACGCGCTAAGTATGTACACATTTATTGGAATATTCACAGCAATTTTCCCATTTGTCTACCAATTGAGCCAACCATACTTTGGAGCGCGCGGCACTTTGGATTTGCATTCACAATTTATATATGATGTGTGTGTGTGTGCGCTTGTATTTATCGATGAACACGCACGTATATGCTATAAATGTTAAAAGCGATGCATATTTTACCATTAGCATCAAAAGGATGATAGACTTGGGGCCACTCATGAGCTTGCTAAGTAGACAATTCAATTTTGACTTAGATACATAATATTAGAGAGATAAACGTCAAACGTGAGGGTAACACAAGCTATACAAATTAATCATGTTGTAAATGGTGTAAGTGGAAAGGGTTCGATGGTCTTTCGTTATTTGCTACGGGGAATACTTTCCCAATTTAAACCGAAAAAAGACCATAAACTATACAAATATAAATAAGTTCATTTACCAAAATCAAAAATCATAATAAAATGAAGACTTTTATTTCGATTTGAAAACGGAATAAAAACATATTCATTGAAGAAAGAAAATAAAGTTAACGGTCGCGACAATATAATCAACCAATTGAATAATGAATTGAATAGAAAATATCGATATCGATTGCATTATGGACAAATACATGACTCTGACATACCATATTATTTATAAATAGTAATCATAAGATTTTTCAACGTTTAGTTAAAACGGTACTAAATTTAACAATGAACTCCAATTATATTAGTATAAAGTATTATTTTGTGTGTTTTCTTTTTTTTTGTGTATGTTGTTGTTTCATTTTAATTTTAATTATGGCAATCATATGATTTTCCAATAGATAGGATATGATGAAGTTTACCGAAATTGCTCGTTTTCAAATGCATTCTGAACGCGTCACTGAGCTCTGATGATATGCATTAGAATACGACATTTTTCTTTGTTCATTGTTCAACATTGTTCGGTATGCATGATCAAACTTCATGATTACACATATCTGCAACAATTCCGAACTCCATTGAGGGCGAGCTCCATTGTTCCAAAGTAGAAAAAAAAACAACAACAACAACAAAAAATATGTTAACAAAATAAGAAATGTGCGGACGACAAAAATGCGAGTCCACAAATATTTGAGAATGTCCATCATTATTAAAGTATTTTATTTTTTATATGTCCAACTTCTTCGCGTTAATAATTGAATCAGCATCTCAAATTTAATCAAATGTGACGTTTTCAATCAGCCAATAACTCAATGCACAAATATATTCATTTCGATAAATAATCGTTTGGCCTCACACCAACGGTGTTAAAAGTTGTGTACGATTTAATAAACATATGTATAGATAGTTTAGGATGTTTGCAATGCAAGTATGTGGCTAAAACTCATTTGTAATAATCAAAAATCCATTAAATTGAAAAGCACGTACGTCTCGAATTAATCGAATGAACCGCACATGGGCAAAATGTTGTACAATTTTGAGAAGGCATTGTTGAAATTATTCGATATCCCTTTGAAAAGCCGCATACTTTAATGCTTTTCATTTACATTTCTGAAATTTATTAATTACATTTTGCCGTATTGCAATATGTGCGCTATGTGCGCAATGCAACAAACATAACATTCCTAATCGCAAAGTTGGCCCATGCCAACTGCAATATATTCAATTTCATTTGTTCTCACTCTAAATCTACGCCTATTTCCATCATCTTTATCATTGATAATTGTATATAATGAATTAAGGACCCCGTCAGTTTCGTTCACAAGTGTTATCAGAGTCATTTATTGTGATCATTTTTGTATGCTCCATTACTTTATTGTTTCTTTACACTCCGACTCCTTTGGCTATTCGCGCATACATATGCGTATCATTTGTTAATACTTTACTGTTCATTAATCGGCTTTAATATTGTGAATTGTGAATACCACATTACATCAATGTTTTTAAAGAGGAAAATAGATAAAAACGAAATATTAATCGCAAAATCTTCGATTAAAATGACACAATATATGGTAATATCAATGTTCAACACTTGACATATGAATAATGTGGTTACACGTCTATGATTTTTTCCCCATTTGCTATTTGTTGTTGTTTAAAACAAATTAATTAGATCAAATCACAGATTAACGTTGTTTACTTATCATTATATTGCTCTTGTTATTATCGTCGGCTGGCATGGTGACTTTTTCTCGTGCGACATTCTGTTCGTTAAAAAAGAGTGTGTCAATTGATAAGATACAATGTAAGCTTAGGACGTCAATGACATTTTGATTGTAGAGAAAGAGACGGCGAGCCACCGATTAACGTGTGAATAGGAATGAATTAAAATGAAAAAAAGGGATTTGACCATTTATTTAAATGTGTACTACACAAAAACAATTGAACTATATGGTTTAAAGAATTGGCAATTATTTTCTAGTTTATTGGAATGAAAATGGTATGCGAATCAAGTATCGTTTAAAGTGAGAGATAAAAGAAAAATCATTGACTTACCAGTAGTCGGTGGAACTGTGTGACTGCTAACAGGTGGATGTAATGGTCCAATTTTGCGTTGCATCGGAATAGGTATGACAATGCCAGCCGATGATGTTGTTGTGGCAGACGATGAGTCACATTGAGAATCTTCCAGAGATCGATTAACTGCGGCAGCAGCGGCTGCAGCGGCCGCCGCTGCAGCTGCTGTTACAGATACCGCTGGCTGTGAATTTTGCGGAGCTGATGGTGGCGGTGGTGATTGTTGAAAATGTGTGTCATCTTTTTTGCTGTTTGATTTCAAACTGCTGAATGCATATTGAACGCTGAGAGCGGTTGGAATTGGCTGTGGAATCGTTGTTCGAACTTTTGGATCCATATCATATCCCAATTGCATTGCGCGCGCTTCATCTTGTGCTTGAGCACGACGCAATGCTGTTTGCAGTGCCATCACACGTTGTCGTTCGGCCGTCAAATTGCATTTGTCACAATTACAATAACGGTATTTGCAATATCGTTTATGGCCTTTTAATTCAACTTTATCGCCATGATTTCGACATCGAGCACAATTTGGTGGTGTTCGTGATGATGTTGATGCTGAATTTGAATTTGATGTGCCGCATATGTCATTTTTCGAATCCATCATCTCTGAATCCGACATCATGTCGTTCCAACTGTCTTCCGATGGCATTCAGACGATATATCGACAACGGCTACGGCTCTTCGAAATATATATATATATATATTAAATAATTATATTACTTAATTCTTTGTTTCAATTTTGCTCGAATCACTTCCGAATTGTTTCAATCGTGTTAAATCGGACAACAAAAAGAAGACGGAGAAGAAGACAACGAAGCGACAATCGCTATTGTAATGAGGAAGAGTTTCAAACCATGTATCTGCGCTGTCCACTCTAGCTGACTACTCTCCGGTTTCAGTTAGATTTTTTTTTTCTGTTGTTGCATCAAATTACTACCTAAAAATAGTAAATAAATTCAATTCAGTGCAATACGGTCAATTGATGTAATTTCTCGGACTGAGTTGATATGTATATTTTGGGTTTAAAGAAATTAAATATATATATATATATATGTAATCTTGAAAGATGAGAGTCGATTGTAAAATTATTGAACGATTGCAGGTCGTGATACGCGAATCGTGAACTGCATTCAATTGAATGTTTGTTTTCCATTTTATTTATTTATTCGTTTAAACGTTTCGTTTTTGCAAAGAGTTTAATTTTGCTTTGTGTTTGATGGCAAAGTGAACACATCGAATGCATGGTCGTTCACGCTGCTTCGGATATGTTTGTGATTTATTTTTTTTTAAACGAACATCTAGGATTACAAAGTCATAGGTAACGACAACACTGGATGTATGATACCACTTGATTATATGCCTCGAAAGTTTGTTGTTAAACGTTTTTTTTTTTTTGCTATTCTACTAGTTTCACATTATACGTTTTATCTTTATTCTATGCTCTGGACATTTGATTTGCCGGATTTTTGCTCTTGTTCCCTATGCTTTCTGATCGTGCAATTTTTTTTTCTTATTTATTTTGAGTATGAGTGTATATAAAAAAAACGAACAAAAATCACTTGTCACTATCACGGTATGCTCAGGCGTGATAAACCTAGAGAGGAGCGACCGAAAAAAAAGTTGATTAATATAAAAATTCATGCAGATATGCTGTTTGCATAGTATAAAGCAAATTCATTTGTCAGTCGGCATGCGATTACTTGTAAATTTGTTGCTCTGTTTCACTGTTCGGAACTGAACGTGTCCACGTACAACTTGATTCGATTGGCAATGTAAAATTTACTCGTTATTATGTGTCTATATACGGAGAGCTTGAGAGATCAGGGGATATAGAGAGAGAGCGAGAGCGAGAGCGACGTACACAAACATTAAAAGAGAGTCAAAGATGCGCAGCGACGATTATTGAAACAAGAAATGATATTATAAGTATGTTATAATGTCATACAATGTTGTTGCTATTTTTTTTTTCGAAAATTTTCGCGTTGAACGAAGAATACTTATAACTTCACTGGGGCGATACATTGTATTTACTTAGAATGGTAGCGATTTAAAGGCAGATAAGGAATGAATAGAAGCGTACACAATAAAGGCAGAATTACAGACACACACACAGAGAGAGAGAGAGAGGAACTGAAATAAACACATAAACACCGAACATATAAAACTACGGCACACATTCGACCACGCTTGAATTCACTGCGTCTTAATATTAGTGTGATATCTATGCAAACATACATGCATACAGTACTATAATTCAAATCTATATCATACTAAGTGCATTCAGCTCATATTCTTTCCGCTATCGCAATATTCATAAGATGATATTTATAAATTTATAATAATAATCTAATTGTCAAAAAGAGAAAGAGATAAAGATAGGTAGACAGAGAAACTCATATAGAATCAATGAACGAAAAATGAATTGAAATGTGGTGATAGTGCTTATAAAATTAGAGCAAATAATATTATTTGCATGAAAATACCGAGAAGAGGTGGTTCCGATCGATTTCAATCAAACATTTGATTTCCATTTTGGGTCTTTTGTTATCATAGGGCAATTACATGGGGCATGTGAAACGAAGTGTATATGTGAAAAAAAAAACTTTAAATTAGATACTGTGAAGTGATTTACTTTTCTTAAAGAAAAATATAAACACCGGTTGATCTTCGGTGTAAAAACTGGTCATAAATTTAGTTCGTTTAGTATCTTATCAAAACCGCGCAAATAGAATGCATATTTGAAATCAGCACACACCACAACTGGATAATATATGAACAATAAATGAAAAAATAAATTAATTAACTAAGAAGTATTGAAAGTTGAAGAAAAAAACGTAAATGTAATAACAATGTACAATGTTTTTGGGTTGATAAGAACGGACAAACATTTATACATTTTTTCTCTTGGCATTTCGTGAGCACACAATTCACATTTGCAATGCATACACATGGTGTTGTGCATAATTGTGACGGAATAGAGAATACATATAATGAAAAATGGAGATATATCAACCGTTATTAGTCGGACGACTGAGACGACTGTTGCTTAAGTATTGGCATTTCTGTTGCATACATTCAACGCTGTTGCATTTTATTTTCGATCGCTGTCCCCTGTATGTGTGTGTGTGTGTGTGTGTGTGACTTCGATGACAATTTTCTTGAATAATTTCAGTCTATTTCCCTTGCTATTTCCAACCGTTTTTTATAGCTTTAATTTGTGTGTTCATTTTTTTCGCTTCCATTCGTTTGCGATTTTCTTTCAATTCTAATAATTGGTCTTGAGAAGTTCATAGTTTATATAAGCTATGCAATGTGTCCAATGTGTAATGTAGTCATATACTACGTCTATACTTCTATATAATATATTCTACACTAATCGGTAAATTGTGCTCCGGTTATGCATATTGTATTCATTTTAATCTAACTACTCTATTTTCTGTTTTACGTATTCAATAAATGTGCATTTCTGTTTTTTTTTTTTCTAATAATATTTGTTGAGCTCAGAAAAACTGAATTGTATGAGAGAATGTGATGCGCGCTTGTTGAAAATTTGTATTTATAAATTTTAATTTTTATATTCTTTGTCAGTGATCAGAATTGCCAAAGATATTATTTCCCTTTTCATCCGATTCATTTTCCATTTTGAATTTTTTTGAATTTGAAACATGCATCTGAGTGGCGCTTAACATTTTGAAAGATCGGATTTTTTTTTTGTTTATTTTATTGCATTTCAACTACAAACATACGTTTATGCATTTAATTCTGCAAGTGTAAATAATGAAACAAATTAGCAAAATAATATAGTAAGTATCTACGCAACAAATAGACTGAATAACAACACAGAGAAAAAAGATATGAGATGAGTAAACCGAATAGCACGTTTAAAACGTAAAGTGTGCATCTCATTCAATCAAAGATATTTTAAATGTGTTTAATATACCGTGGCAAGCGCATTTTAATAACTTTCAACTGATATCTGCATATATGAATGGTCATATGTTTAAGTGTTGCGTTCTTCTTTGATATTCATGTTTGTCAGTCATTTAATTTAAATTGAAATTATACGGCATAGGAGGAGTGGATCGAGCCAAAAGTGAGAAAACGAAGAAGAAAATCGATCGGTAATTCAAATTCGGACAAAACACAAAGTGCAAAAATGAACCAAAAAAAAGAGACAAAACATCAAAATCAATTTGAATGATTTTTTAGAATTCTGTCATTATTTCTTTTATAATGCATGACCTTTGAAAATATTTCGTATTCATTTCAATCTAGTTGGAGAGAGGGGATCATTTTCGTGATCGCATTAGATTTGCATCGAAAACGAAACAGCTAGACAGTCATATCATATAATTGTTGTATGCAAATTAGTATCGACGGTATGACGGTGATCGAACTTCAAAAATGAAAAAAAAAAAAAAAAAAAAAAAACTAAAACGAAAATGAAGACGAGGAAAAAATGAAAATAAAACACGGATGCCAACTTTGAAAAAATGTCTGTCAGTAAGTAGCAATTTGTATGCAATTCCTTTAAATAACGCCAAATTATAGTATACAGACACAGAGTCGATTACAGATGTAAGTTTTGAAAATGTAATGCATGTTGAAGAGAGAGGGGGGAGACAGAGACAAATAGAGAGAAAATCGGTGTGCAATGTATCTACTATTTATATTGCATTTGTGCACTTGTGCACATTTATATACGTAAAAAGTGCAGTTTTCCTTATACTCTATCCCTCGTCTCTTCTGTTTGTGTATCTCCCTTTAGAGGCGCTCATTTCATAAGTGCGATTAAGCTTGTGACTTGAAAAATAATAAAACCTGTTTCAAATTTTTCACAGCAACTTTGTAAGTCAATAATATTAAGTATTCAAATTAAATCACTGCGTTGAAGATTCAGAAATAAAATATTATGAACAACGAATATAAAATAAAAATAAATAAAAGAATGAAAAACAGTACAAACAGCGCGCAAAATACACACGGACATATCGAAATGACTAATAATCAAGCACAATGACAACAATGAATATTTTTCTATTCACCGTATTTATATATCGTTAGTTTAAACTCTCACTCCCTCTCACATGTTTTGTGTCTCTATTTTATTAAAGTGAATGTGTGTGTGTGTATATATAGTTGGCGGTGCTCTTTCGATCCCAATTTAGTTGATTGATAGTAACATGATGCCAAATCCAACAAAACTACATGTATTTACAACGACAACAAATGACTATGATGATGATCGCGATATTTGATTCGATATTGTGATCGATGGCGCACCAAGCTTTGCTACCATGATAAAAAAGCACATTTTTCTTCCATTCAAATTATTTTTTACAAACAGTCACATTCCACCAAGATCATTTTTTTTAAATATTCAAATCAATTCAACGCACCAGATTCGCAGATGACATTTAATCACACGTGTTGCATTGAGTTAAAAAAATTAATATTTCTTGCTTTCTGTAGAAAATCTCCTCTATCTATTTATCTATCTATCTCTCTTCTTTTTTCTCGGTATATATCTTTAGCGTTTACTTCAAGTTTTGTTCATTTATTTAATATTTACATTAAGCAAATGCTTGCTTTTTATAATTATTTTGCATTGATATTCATCTATTCATTAAAATATCGCGTTTTTTTTTTCTTTGTCACAGAGCAATTTTATCTATTTTCGACAGGCTATCAAGTGCATCCTTTTCATTTGTTTTAATTAACAATTTTCATTTATCCAATAAACTGATCGATATAAACGAAGAACTTACGATATGGTTTATGAAACAAAAAAAAAAAAATAAATTCAACAAAAACATACACATATATAAAATACACTGTAGCGCCGCGTAACAGCTTGATCGTGGTATTTGTATGGTTGGTATTGATGTATCTGTATTTGATGCTGTTGCTGTTGCAGATCGTGTTTTATGTGCACAAAATTTAACAGTAATATTTTAAAATTTAAAAACAAAAATCATGCAAAAAACTGTAATAGTGGTGTTGTTTGTAAATCGAATCAAATCGCGGCGCATGAAAATGTGTCGCTTGACGACGACAACCACAATAAACTTTATATATTTTTTTAATGCATTTATCGTGTGTTGATCTTTTGTGTGTTGTAGTTTTTATTTTATCTGTTCGTTGTTCAGATATATTTTTATTAAAGATGTGTAAATTTTGGTTTTGTTTTTATATTCTTCGTTTGTATTTTAAATATTATTACTTTGTTCTATTATTATTAATATTATTATAATTATTATTTTTTTTTTTTTTTTGAAATTGTGCTGTTTTGGTTGAATGCAATGCTAGTTATATTCGCGATATAAATGACCACTGCGAAAAATATATATATATGTTCTCGATCCCGTAACCGTAGCGTTGCGAAAACATTGAGTTGATGTGAACAGCGCGCAACAATAATACACTTTGGCGTTCGGTTATTTCGAGCAGTGCAATCAATTTGATTCGAGTAGTATCAGTTGATGACTGAATGCCTCAACGAGACGGTACATACAAAGTCCGAGAATCACGTCAGTCAAATGTTTCGCGCTCTCTCGCTGTGTGTGCGCTTTTCAACGACTACGTGAGAGCGGCGGTACGATGTGTAAAACGTTGTATGTGCTGTTGCAGTTGATGTTACTATTGCTGCTGCTGCTGCTGCTGCTGCTGCTGCTATATCAAGCGTTCTATATATGCTTGTATTGGCACATGTATTAACTATTTGTGAAAGAAAAATGTTCGTTGTACACATCCACGGACGGCTCTTCGATAGCAAAGCGATAGCAGCATGATGGTGTTGTGAACGCGTTAAACAAAGATGGAAACAAACACAAGCTCAATCGTTGTATGTGTATTCACTGTATGTAGTGTACTATAAACCAGAAATGGAGACAGGAAAGGAAAGAGAATCGAATACGTAACTAGAAGAAACAAACGGCAATATCAAAACGAGATGAAAACTTTTAAATTTTAAAAATAAAATTAAAAAAAACACACAAAAACAGTTTACGGTTCTATGGCAAAATATAGCAAAACGCATAAGTATTGGAGAATATACAAATGAATGAAATTGGAAATATTTATACACATCACCGAGGGGGTAGACACCAATTCAAAATCATTTGAAACACAGTGAATCAGATGAATCATCCAAATGTCAAACAAACATCATTTATTGCTTTACGAACGTGATCATTCAATTCAAATTCTATTTTTGTTGATTTTATTTGGATTAACAAAAAATCACGAAATAAAAATGATAAGTTGATACGCGTGAAAAAAAAAAAATAAATTTTTGTAGGAAAATAATTTTATTCCATAAATATATCTTGTATGACACATACATGACATTTTTTTTTTTTTGAATCACACTTAATAAATTGTGTATACCCCCTGGCACATCAAGTTCTCACTACAAAATCACTTATACATATATGTATTTGGATTGGTGTCGAATATTGAATGCGGGATGTGCCAAATGCACGTGTGTTGCATGTATACGTATGAGAGAACGTAATCAGCATGGTTGCATTTGTGCTCTCTGTAATCGTTGTGCACTATTCGCAACACTTTGTTAAAGTGTTAGGTGAATACCATTCAAAATATACTGAATTCATACACATATTTCAACCGCCTACCTATGCAGCCACGATAAATTTCAAATAGTCACCACTGTTTGCATCAACCAAGTTCAAAGACACGCAAACATGTGCGCTGTTCTTCATGTCATTTTAAAGTATGAAAAATGTCAGTATGTCAAATTTGGCGTTATTTTAATGAAAAACACTTAGCCATTTCGTAATTTATCTGAAAACATACAGAAAATCATGCATTTTGTGTAAATTGTGTGCATTGTGTGCATGGCTGCACATTTTCGTATGTAAAATTAAATATATCGTATTACGTAAAAGTCGTATCTATTGTTTTCGAATTGAAAGAAAGCAAATAATTGTTACATATATGTTATAAAAATCCAGGTATGGAAATCTTGAGTTATCGGAGTCGATCGTGGTGACTATATCTTTCTAGGTTCAACCGCAAAATGAAAAGACACACACAAGAATCAATATGTATTCTGTTGAAAACAAGCCAGAGCCGTGCGTCAAAGAACTTCATTTATATTGTTTCTTTTTCACATTCTCAACGCAATCCATGGGAAATGTGACCAGAACCAGAAAGGTTCAACACAGGGCATAAAAATAAAACAAAAACTATCAATTATATCAAATACAATGTGGTTAGTATTTAACACGGCACCCTGTGGCAAATTTTTAAGTCACATCATTGTTTGTCTTTAAAGTAAAATCGAATATTGTATCTTCATTCGATGAACGCGATCTCTCCATACATGACATAAGTGTATGATTTGTGTTCAATTTCAAGCAGTGATGGTTTTTTGCTGTCTAAATAGTGCTAGATATTCGCAGCGGTTGTACAGCATTGCTGCCGAGATTATTTTTTGAGCCACACACATCGGCGTGCGGTGAACGCACAGACGCTGCGATTATTTAGCGCTATATAGACAGCAAAAAACCATCACTGATTTCAAGCGAGATCAACATTTTCAAGAATTGAAAGTATTCGATCATCGGAAAAATGTGTACCATTCAATGTATTCAAATTGATTGTTACTTGCTTACATTTTATAATTATTTGATCGACTCATTGTTTCTAATAAAAATAATGAAAATGTTCTTCTTTTAATTGTATGTTCACGTCTACTTGGGATTGGAAATGTATATGGGAAACAATATGTGTAACAGGGTTCTTGTTGGCTTCACTTCACTTTTCACTTTTCGCCATTCAAATTGCCTATCCCCGGGATAGTATACCGGCACAGCGACATTGTTTACGATCAGCGGTAATCTCGGGTATTTTGAACTGATTGATTCGAACTCCCTTCGGACTGTTGGTTTTTCAATTTTTATTTCTAACATTCTCTATATGTTTTCATTTTACCACATAATGCTGAAACGCAATTATTTGCAACATTTAACAAAACATTCTAAATGTTAATTTTAATTTCAATTTTAAGAATGTGTTTTATTAATATTTATTACTTATTTTTAAGAGAACAAATTTGATGCACACCAATTCATACGTGTATTTATATTTCGGGAGCCAGAAAGCTGGTAAAAATATGATGAGCGTAAAAATCCATTAATACGCACACACCCACATGTGACGAACATGAATATTAAAATGACATTGGATTTTGAGATCAGAAGCTGAATAGATACACATCGAGAAAATTTACCAATTTTAAAGTAATTGATAGTATAAGAAACATTGTGTGGTACGCAATGAACACAATGATTTTAGAGACAAGAAATATTCACTCGAAAAAGGGACTTCGTTTTGTTGTGTTTCGATTCGGTGGCAACAAAATGAAGTTTTTTTTTTGAGCCACGCGTATTATAGCTAAATAAGGCCAAATAAGGTTGTCATGTAGCCGCAGGAAGACAGACAAAACAAAAAAAAGTTCCGAGCGATTTTTCTCGCTTTTCTGATGTAACATCGTGAGTAAGTACTCACGAAGTCGACTTCCAGAACACTTTAGATCAGGTCGAATCCACCTACTTCACAAGATTCAATTGCAGCTCATTTCGTCTCACTGTCGCATATAAATGCAGTTTTCTTTATAATATCATCTTAGATGAAGTGAGATCTTGTAGAGTAGGTGTGTCCCACCTGATCCAAAGTTTTGTGAAATACAAGTACACTTATTTTTTTAGAGTTTTCCATCGGAAAAGCAAAAAAAAATCGATCGGTAGTTTTCGTTGTGCTATTTTACTGTATTCCTACTGCTACATGGCAACCTTATACGAGACCCTCTGAGACTCTGTATGCACACAAAGTGAACAAGATCCAGAAAAATTCACGGACAAACGTGAGGACTTAAAAGTTACATTGCCTAGCTACGTACTCATTCGTACGGTTTTGTTGCTTTTTTATTATTTTCGATTTATAAACCGAATCCATTAAATATGCAAGCAATTGCATCCACATACGAAGTTCAATTTGATTCGTTCATATGAAGTAGTGTTCTATTAAATTATCGTTGGCGAATCTCTCGGAACTGAGTGCAAATAAATTACCACTAATTTCGAGAATTTCCAAATGAATTTCACATAAAACAGAGAAGATATTCTCTAATTTAAAAAAAAAAATGATTCTGAGGACCACAGATTCGGGTATTCCATGGGCATACATTTATTGAGAAAAGTTGGTCTTCTTCTTCATTACGGTACAATTAAGATTCGTCATTTTTGCATCATTCTCGTTACATCATTTTACAGGTAAAGTGATACGTGACATATTCTAATCGGCTCGATTTCATAACAAAATATTTAATTTTAAACGCTCCATACGTGATTTGGGTTAGCAATGCATATAAATTCTCCAGTTTTGTCGCGCAAATGTTGAAGAAAAGGTGTGAACTTAAATGGCATACCTTTGCTTTTCATTCGAGTGAATTATTGATTTATATTCTAGTTTCTATATTTTTTTCATTCATTTTTAATGCTATCCTTTTGTTTTGTATTCACTGAAACTGAAACTAAAGTGCGAATGAAACCTAATAATGTGCTGATTTTATTCACATTGTAAACAATCAATATATTGCTTTTTAATGAACTGATAGATGAATTGAAATGGTTATTTTTAATGCGCCTCATATTAAAATTACAACACATATACACACATAAACTCGTTTAATTACCAACAATTGGCATGAATTGCAATAATCATACAATGCAAAATGTAATTAGAATATACGCAATACTGGTGTCACTGTAATCACTTGGTAATTTGCAGCACATAAATATTAACTTGAATCAAACTTTGAGCAGATAAATTACAGGTATGATATAGTGATGTCAATTTGATTCGACCATGTGTAATTTGCTGAAAGTATAAATCTCTTAGAGTTTGTTTTGCATATCGTTATGCCGCCAATTGCAACTATTCATTTTATTTTTCTCTTTTTCTAATTGTCCAAAGCAAGAATGATATTTAGATGGAAATAACTTCGTTTGACTTTATACAAATGGTTATATTATCCTAGCTTTACATGAAAAGCTTAGCCTTTTGCAAGAAATTTATTAGTGTCAGTAAAAAGTGAGTAATTAATATTATGTTTGCAGTTAGAAGTAGTATCTAGTATACAAACGGATTGAGCTACTTAATTTCTAAAATTGCTAACGGTAATTTAAACAATCTAGTTGCCTCTGCGCACCAAGACAAAATTATAGATTGGACAAATGTAATGATATCGAGAACGAAAAAGATTAACATTTGGTTGTGAGATTGAGCCAAATCTCCCAGAAAATACCGTTAAAGTACATATCATATCTTATCGGGTTATTTATTTAAAAAAAATCATCTTTCATTTATTTCATAACTGCCTTAAAGATGGTCCACGAATGCTGTGTGTATAATCGAGTGTCACTTGTTACGTGAAATTTTCATTTGGTTAAACAAAGTTCGAATCTTAATGGGCCAAACTTAATAACGACTGAATCTTTTGTGTTACGTTTAACAATAAGCTATATCCTTTGCTATCTCTCTCTCTCTCTCTCTCTCTCTCTCTCTCTCTCTCTCTCGAAAGGGTATTTTGTTCCACAGTTTCTTGTAACAGCAAAGTAAATGGAGTATTTTTCTCTTCTAAAACATTGAAAAATCTATGAATATCCGAGACCAATTCCTCTGGAGACTATTCACACGTTTTGCCAATGGAATCCATAAATTTGAATCATTCGATGAGATATAGAACATGGCTTATGCACATCATGGGCAGAGCAGAGTGGAAACTATATAAAATTTACTAAACAACAGTAGAAATAGTAGTAGCTTCATTCTCATTCATATTGGCTATATGCTTTTACTAGAACTGGATATGTTGAAAAGTACAAAAGCAACTATCGAATATCATCAGTGGCATTCACTTTGGCATTCAACTGATGAACTTACGAAAATTGTGGATTTGTGCTCAGCACTCTCTCTATTTCTCTCCAATTTTGTTTTGTTCAGTTTAAACTGCACTGTACCCAAACCGATAAAGTGAAATGGGTCTTAGCTTTGCTCTAAAAATATTCCAAATACAAGAACGGATTTTGAATTCTCAGCAAGCACGCTCGAATTCGAGTATGTATGAGTATGATTGGACATTCAGTGTGAAAATAGTACATATAACCAATATTGAAAAAGTCCATGTTTGTGAAACATATTTTTCAATCTAAAATCGTTCCGTATGATTTCCTTTGTTGCTGCTTGATAATGTGAGAACGTTTGAATTGCCGAAAAGTTTGTCCAAGTTTCATTTCGCACTGTGTTTAAATCGAAAGTTTTGGTATGTGATATGTTGTGTGTGTATGTTCTTTTCTCTAATTTAGTATGAATTTTTATTTATCCAATTCATTTTTTGCTTGCTTGCACGCTGGCCAGTTCAATGTTTATTGCATTTCATTATCCCCCTTGCACTGTGGAACAATCGAAGGTGTTGAGATTAGTGTACAGAGAAAGTAGTTTGATTGTAAACATTTGAATTGGGAATAAAATGGTGAAATTCACGCGTATTCATATCACCACCATCACCATCATCGACTGAGTCTACTATTTTGTTCAGCATACATCGTTGTTACTACTTGCGATTACAATACAGCACGAATGAAAATTCCTTTTGTTCAACAACTACTACGCAGCAATATAACAGCAACAAACAACAACAATAACGAATTCGTACATATCGAAATGGAAAACTTCTCTCGTTCCACTGAATGAATGAAGGATCGAGAGTGTGAGAATGAGAGAGAGAGAGAGAGAAAGAGTGATACTAGCACATATGCTCAAATCTTTTATGATACGGCGAGTGAATTAGAAAACTGAGTATATGTTTAAATGTGGTAATATTTAGTTGGAACATTTTTCACTTGTGTTTTCTTGTCTTCCTTAAAGATGCTCTTTCGCACAACCAACTATTTATGGATTTACCATTGTACGATGTGTGTAATGAAAACATGCACCGAATTGCAAGAACTTTCTTCATTTGATTCTCTGGATCATGCTCATACCAATGTTGATGCACACAGTAGCATGTTTCATATGCATTTCATTTTGGACAAACAATGCATATTACAAACACACACATACACACACTTGGCTCCGTACGCTTTATGGTTTTATCCAAAACATTTTCCACTGAATAAGTAAAACTACTACTAAATTTACTTTATTTTCGTACCCTTTATTTCGTATAATATTCTTTGAAGATCGTTTCTTTTTTCTTTCTCCATGAAGAAAATATGGAAACAAACAAACAAACAAACAAAAAATATGCATTCACACAAATTCAGCGAACACAGTGATAATCAACTGGAGCGTTGCATTTTATCATAAAACAACGATCGACATGACTTTTTCGTCTGTAACTTGTAACTCACATATCTGAATCTTTCTCATGTATATATTTGCTCACATACTCCAATTGCAAGGCTAATAAAGTTTTAGATAATCAATTTTGATTTACACAGTCAAACAAAAAAAAAATACATGGCCAACACAAATTTCAATGTGTTATCAATATTTGATTGAAATGCGAGCAAACGAAATTTCACCGCAAAATTCAATACTAAGACCTGAGTGACGAATCTCTATAGAACGGTGTTCGCAATTTATTTCATTTATGGTTTTGAACGTGATATACCTGATTCGATAAGTTTGTGTCGATGTAATTCGAACGAATCCAAAAATAAAAACAGAGTCAAACATAATGAAATGCAAAGCTGTTAAAATTAGAGATCGTAATTTTCTCATATTTTGATTTTCTATTCCGTAGTTAGTCGTCTAATAAAATTCGCTTGTTCCGTTAGGTCAATAAAAAAAATAAAATTCGTAATGTAAGTTATTCAAACCAGCAACAAAAAATGCCTAAGATTTTCTTCAAACCGAATGAATTATTGCAACATAAATTGTAGCTAAAGCACACCGAAGAAATACACCGGCCCTTTGAAGCCCGCAAATACTTGAAGAATCCAAGAGAGAGAGAGAGAGGGAGAAAGAAAACAACGGGCACTGATGGTGTTACACACAAATAGCAAGTGGCCATCATTGACTCACACAATGGCCTATATTACTTACGTTCTATGATGGTAATGTCACATTAAATTCGAAAAGAATAACAAGCGACAATCGCATTGAAATTAACATGATGGCACGTATTTGTGCACGTTCGTTCGTGACCGTATATCTCGTCGTATCTTCCGCGTTAAACACATTGCAACCATTCTCATTTTTAGAAAAAATATTGATCGTGGGGCTACGGTCATCAATGATCAGTGTAAGCGAACGCTCATGTCACCATTCTAATGATAATCATTTTAACAGTTGTAGTTGTTTTTCATTTAATTCTGCTGCAACACTCATTCATGCACATATTTAATCGGACATGAAAGATAGCTTTGTTTTATGAACGACGAAAAAGAAGAAGAAAAAAAAACAGAAAAAAATGTGTACCATAGTGTTGGCCAGATTTCGATTTTGTTTTTCATTATAACTTTTTCTACGAATATGCACGAATGAATTAAGAATTCTGCGCCATCTTCTTCTTGAAATTGTTGAATGAATCATTCCCATCAAATCCAACAAGCCAAAATACAAAACTAACACCAAACACTTAAAGTTCTTTTATCGTTTGTTCTTCGTTTTACTTGTTCTTTTTCGTTTCTTTAAAGAGTCCGTTGGATTTGTTGAACGCCGTGTTCAATTGAATGAAGCACACGTCATGAATATTTATTAAACGTAATTTCTTTGGCATAAATTGCGTTATAATGTTCCAGCGATATGTACCTACATATTATTATTTTAAAGTGAATTAAAACATTAAATCCAAATCACAACTTATTCTTTGTCGATTGTCTACCTCTTTAGGGCCAAAAATCTAACGGTTTTCACGTCAGAACGCATGTGTTGACGAATATATAAATAATTTGTGCCATCGCCAAAATGCGTTCATTTGTCGACAAGTCTTTGTTCTTTAAACATCGTCTGTGCCACCATCAAATTATATTATTTTCCTTTAAATTGCACACACTGGCTGTAATCGGTAGTGCGTTTCGTCGGTTTCATTAAAAAAAGAGAATAATTTCAATTTATTTATTTAAAAAATAAAATAAACGAAAAAAATTGTCCGAACACAAGAAAAATGCTATCGCTTTGGATTTCATTGATCGTGTCGATTATTGTGAGCAATGCAGCTGTTGTTGTCCGGGTTAGTTTTCAAATTTCTCTCATCTTCCTTGAGTGTGGTCAATTTACGATCGAAATATTCTTGAGTGAATCGCAATACAAGTGTGATTTTGAAATTATTTGAATTTTTCGACGAAAAGTGTTCGTAACTTTTTCTGAAATAAATTTTATTATTTTTATTAATTGCAATTTGCAACTAGCATCTAATATATGTATGGAAGCATTTCCTTTTGAGTGATATTTTGATAAAAGCTTTTGTCTTCTCATAATATTTTTTTTTCTTACCTTTTTAAGAGACGACCAATTTCAATTCATGAGCGTGTTCCATTTACAACACAAGCCACAACAACAACGACACCAGAACCATTTGAATTGGAAGAAGAAACAACAGTGATTAATCGTTTGTCTCGTTTGACACTTCCAAGCAATGCAACATCAATTCGAAGTGAGATCACCGATAATTTTTCGTGTGCTGGTCGTCAATATGGTTATTATGTACGTGAATTAAATATATTCCATTAATTATATACATTAAAATATACATATGATACATAATGTAGGCAGACGTTGAAAATGATTGTCAAATTTTCCATGTATGCCTACCTGTTACCTATCCGGATGGCCAAGAGCGACAGTTTCGATGGAGTTTCATTTGCCCAGAAGAAACAACTTTCAATCAAGTAGGATATGACCATCATTGTTTTATATTTAACAAAACAGACAACCATGATGAAGTGACATGTCTTGTTTTGTTATTTTAAATAAAAACTTGTCATTTTTTCTCAACTGACATACAATTTTGTGTCATTTTAAAATAAAAATCGAATTGTTCTCTGTTTTATTGTATAATCATTATTTTTTTTCACCATAGGAAGCATTCACTTGTGTTCGCACAGATGAAATGAACATTGATTGTACCGAATCTGAAAAGTTTTATGAATTAAATCGTATTTTGGGCTTAAAAGAAGAGACGACAACTGATGAAGTGACAAGCAATGAATTGTCACAAACCGATAGTAATAAATCCAATTCAGACGATCGATTTATCAGCGCATTTCAAAATAAAGAGAACAATCAACGATACAAACCGTTGATCAATAATCCAAATCGATATGCTCAAACCCAAACAGCTGCCTCTCGTAATCAAATTGTTAAGAAAACTACCACCAATCCGTACATTAATTCGGCGGTACAAACGACAAATTTAAATATTGACCGAGAATCGGTCACCGCTAATCAATTGATTCCATCAACAACATTTCCGCCGGTGAATATTGCACAATTTTTTGAACTTACCACAAGAAGAAATGGTTTTAATCCACAAACTATCACAACCTATGATAATGCTGAATACACAACAGAATTTGCATCGACGGTATCGCCAAATGACTTAACTACTGCAAACACCAATAAATATGACAGTAATACACAGATCATACCGGATCTTATTGAAGAGAGTAGCAATACCGATCATTCGCATACTGATGAAATTGTTGAAAGTATAAAACAACTGCAAAAACTGTATCCATCTGCTGCAGATGATTCACGTGAAAAGCGATTTCTGTTCAAGGCTGATAGTGTTAAAAATCGACAAAAACTATTCGAAATGTTGAATCAGCATTGAGGGGCCGATATTGAATATGAAAGAATTTTTAAATCATATAAGACTTACGTCATGGTAGATTTACGAATCGAACGATTTCAATTCTTGTTCACTTTTTCAAATCAAGCACGAAGCATTCTAAGTAAAATGTCTTAAATTTTTTTATGCAATTGAAATTATGAACGGTATCCCACCAGATGCTGTGGCTAAGTTTTATAATGTAAATGTTTCAAAGAATTAAAATTAAATATTACACAATCTGGCTATTTTTATATTTTTTTTTCTCAAGCGAAGGGATGAAAAAGGTGAATGTTTACTAAAAATAAATTATTTTCAAACAAATTTGATTGCATATTTTGTAAAGAAAATTGTATAATAAATGAGACATAAGTGCCACACTCTATGTAACGCGCTTACATTTCGATGATGATCACATTACAGTGGCATAACATGTTGCGGTATAAACGAGGCTTACTTACTTAAAAATTACTATTCCATTACTCTACCATTCCTGATCCATTCCTTCGATTCATTTTCCATTCCGATCCATTACGCATTGATTAATTTCCATTTTTTCCATTCTTTTCTTCTGATCAACTCTTAGGTATAAACATATGAAATGAGACACATTGCAGTAGTTTGAATTCTTTTTTTTTTTGTTCTAAATTTTTATTTCATTTAAAATTATTGTTGCGAGAAAAGAACCAAATAACTAAAATTGAGTATAAAATTTCTACCTAATACAGCTATATTTAGACCAACCTAATTTATTACAAATTTTTCATTAACCTAAAAAGAGTAATTTTAACAATTTTCATTTCATTTCATTTTTTCTTCTTCTCCTTCTCTTTTTCTTTTCTTTTTCACAATACTTTGTTTCTATTTACCATTACTGCAATTAGTTCAACGATTGTTTAAATTCTGTAGTGAACATAAAACAAACTTAAAATTTGGCTAAAAAAAACAATTTTTTTTCAAAGAAATGTTAAAAGGGGATTTGTTTTCAAAATCGGAACCAAAAAAAAACATATATATCAAAGAAAGGAAAACTAATTAAATTGGAACGAGCAAAATAAATGGCCAAAGAGTATGCAAAAGCACCAATTCTATGGATGTATAAGGAAATGACGTAACAATTGACGATGTGATATGAACAGATGCATCCATCAGAAATTCTGTGGCATATTCAATACATATACATTAATAAAGTATTTATTTGTTCTGGAGAAAATAGTTTCTACTTGTTTAGAATGGTAAAAATAAAGCGGTGATGTATCTAAATCCAATTTATACGTTCTTTTCAACAATCAAATCAATCAATTATCACATCTCTGTGAAATATATCCTTGTTTAAAAGAATTGATGTTCATTTTATACAGTGTTGCATACTATTGACGCCATTTTTTTCGTTTCGAAATCAAGTGTCGGAGTTGGGATTTGTTATTTTTTTTCATTTCCTTCGAAAAGAAAATGGAACATTGATCCCAAAACATAATTTTAACAATAAAAATTGTGTAGGTACAAATACAAAAAAAAAATTCTTTTTTTTTGTTAACAAAATAAAAAAACGTATTTGGGTCGAACAGAAAACACATACGCAAAAAAAAATCTATTAGAATGAGTCAACTAAAGAGACAAAATCCACGGGGGGTATACTTTCAATAAATTGCGTTCAGTCATACACAAGGTAAGAAAATCTCTTCCTCTCTTCATCGTAGTTCATGTTTTATTTGTCGTTGAACAGTGAAAAACAGCCAAAAATCAATGTAAGAAAGGAAGAAACGAACGAAAAAAATACATACACGATATTTTCCTCTGAAATTTGCGGTTGTTACATAAAATTGGCGTAATTTACGTTTAAAATGTTCAAAACTTGATCTTGTTCGATTACTGTGACATTGGGAAAAACAATCTGTAATAAGTTTATAAAACGAACTGATCTGCATTTGTATTTATCATTCTCTTGCTCTTTCACAAAAAGAGTTTGTTGGGTTCAATTGTATTTTTTTATCTCCCTTTCTATCTCTCTATCTCACACTCTCTGTCACTCTTACATATTTAACTACCTACGCGAAAAAAACAAAATTCCCAATACTAGTTGTTTCTTGTGTATCTCGTTTGTTCAATGAAAAAAAAATTGTTTCAGATTAAGATCTATTCAGATTTTTGTCGAGTGTGTATGGCTTTAATACTAATCATGTGTGTTTCTTTTTAAATTTGTTTCGTTCGTTTCCTTGATTGCTTGCTTTATGCAATAAAACCGTATTGAATGCTCTCGATTTTAACCATCACATATATCTGATTACATTGCAATTACAATTTGTAATCAATTAAAAACAATATACAATTGTTTGTTACATTGGATCATTTCTATGACATTTGATATTTTTCTTTCTTCAATTTCAAAATGGTTAGCTCATTTGTGTTAATCGAGATGCAAAATTACCATCACTATCATGCATCCAATTTCAGCTGTGTGGTTTACATTTGGTTATTTGTTCATTTATAATTTGTTTAAAAAAAATTATCCAATTTTATAATTTTGATTTGGTATAATTTGTCGGTATGTGTTTCTATTTGCTGTTTTGTAATTTTGTAATGAGATTTTTTTTTCGTTCACTTTAAATTTTCTGAATCGACTTAAATTTATGAGCATTTCAAGCAGGCACCTTCAACATCAAAGTCCAATACCATCAGCTTGGTCTCTTCGGTGCCATTACGGGATCCAACAGCGCATATTAATTTGGTGTCATTTGATCTGTAACGAATTTAAGAAAAAAGAAACTCGTTTTAAATCGACTGCATTGTAAAATAGATTTCTGATTATTCTGATGTGAAGTAAAAAAAAAACAATACCGTATTCTCCAAACGACACCGCCTGAGCCGCCCGATTCTAATGTGACTAAGTTACGAATGAATTCACCAGTACGAACGTCCCATAATTTAACCGTTCCATCATCGGATGACGTAATTACGAATCGAGAATTAAATTGCAAACACGTAACAGCCGATTGATGTTTATTTGGACCTGAAATATGAACAATTAGAAGCGGTGATTAATTTTTTTTGTCTCCACTTTTTTTATTTCAATTCACATTTAAATTGAATTTACTTACCCGATAGTGTTTGTAAGCATTGGCCATTGGTCGTATCCCAAACTTTGACTGTGGAATCAGCATTTCCCGACACCAATATGTTTTGTCGCAATTCCATGCCAGATGTAAGACTTTGATGACCCATTAAGGTGTGTTTGCAGGTTCCTGTAATTGCATCCCAAACGCGAATCGATGTATCCAACGAACCAGATACAACGTGAACGCCGTCAAACTGAAAATTTACCAAAACAAATATGTTAGTAATTGTAAACTCAAACAAAAATAGATAGAATTGGCGAGTTTTTTGTAAATTACCTGAAGTGAGTAAACACGATTTGTGTGGCCTTGTAATGTATGCAAACATTCTTCTGTTTCTGGATTCCAAACCTTAACCATATAATCATAAGCACCGGAAACCACAAGCTTTCCATCATATTGTACACAACGAACAGCTGCCAAATGGCCAACAAGCGTATGCAAACATTTGCCTTGTACTATATCCCAAACACGAAGCGTCGCATCTCGTGATCCGCTTACAACCCTATTTTTTTTTTTTTGTAAATGAATGCAAACAAATTAATGTAGGAAAATTCATATACTCGCTCGATTTATTAATGGACTCACTTTTTCTCGTGTAAATGCATACAACGAACGGTAGACGTGTGTCCAGTTAGTGTATGAATACAATAGCCATTGTCAGCGTTCCAAACTTTCAATGTTCGATCTGTGCTACCCGAAATTATGATATTAGCTGACATTTGTGATGACCAAACGCCACCGGTGTGTCCAACTAATGTGCGTAAACATTTACCAGTGACGGCTGACCAAACTTTAAGCGTATTATCATCCGAGCCGGAAACGATGCGATTACCGCAAAATTGAAGACAAGTTATAACATGATCGTCATGACCTTTGAGAACTTTTGGCTCACGAATTGGCCGTGAACGCCAATTCATTTCAATGATATGTTGTCGAATATAAGCTGCTTTCCATGGCGATGATATTGGTGGCATATTACCAATACGACCACGTTTCGGACGATCTTTTGACGTTTCAATCGAAATATTTAATTGTTTACATTTTACTTTCCATAATAAATTGTCATCACATAGAGCACGCCAACTTTTACACGTTTGCGCTGCCCGAAGAAGATCTTTTGGTGTTAAATAGGATAGAACTTGAAGTGCAAGCTCGCCAGGCAATAGCGATATGAAATCACGTTGAAATTGTGGTTCAATTACTTTCATCATGTGTCGCACTTGGGTGGGTTCACAATGCTCAATCAACCGATCGACGGCGACTAAGCGCTCAACATGTGACCATTGCTTGAATTGATTTAACCAATCAGACAATTCGGGCGGCGGATTGTCTCGCGTTGGAATCACTGAACGTGGTGTTCGTAAGCTAATATTTGTTGATGAACTAGTTGGAGTACTTGGTTGACTACCGCTCGTGCTTGAATTTAACTTTTGTGATACGCCTGCTGAAAGATTGAAAAATTTACCATAAATTTAAAATATTTTCTAATAAACCATGTCAATTTGTGTTAACTTACATTCATCGAGCGCAAGACGTTTTCTATCATTGCTATTTGCATCACTGCAACCACTAGTTGTGTCACTAAATATTGACGATCGATTTTCGGTTAGTTTTCGCTTTCGATGATTTCGAGATGTTGGTGTATCGGTTGATGAGTTACCATTGCTATTTAGCACAACACCAGAAATTGAATATAAAGACAAATCCACATCTCGACTTGGTAATTCATCTTCACTGTTTACAGTCGTTTCGTTATCGGCATAATCACGGCACGTGCACACTTCTTCACCATCCGAATTCACTTCACACGACCAATCGGCATACGGATTTTCCGGTTCTAGTCCCATCATCAATCGGAAATTTTTATCTATCGTCTCATTTTCATACTCTTTTAACTCTTGATCTTCAAGTGCAATTCCGGCTTCTCGGTAGTATGATGGTGAAACATTTGGTGGAAGATCTGCGGATGCGGCTGCATCTTGTCTTGTATTATCGGAATTCGAATGTTTGTTTTTACAGTTGCTAGTACATGAACTATTCCCACTACATCGAACACGACTTGAATTAGCTCCTAAATAAGTATAATGAAACAATAATGTCATTAAAATGAATTAGAAATTGAATTTAAAAGCAATTTTCACCAAAGATTCTGACATAAGTCTCAAATGAACCTCCCTAGAATACTTAGACTTATTGGAGAAAATGCTTCCCTCTACCGTAATCGATTATAATCTGAGTGAAATCAAAAACCCTATCAATTTTTGTACCTTTTACACTAGATAGCATCGAAGCTATTTCCCCATACATTTCACAGTGTCAGAACCTTGGGATTTTTGAGAGAGAAAATCAGTGTAAAATACTACGTACGTGACGTTGATGATGATTCGCCGTTTTCTTCGGCATCTTCATGATCGCCGGCAGTATCATCGTCTAAATCCTCATCATCGTCGAGGTCAGCATTCGATGCATCTTCCAAACGTGATTCGTTGGCTGGCTCTTTATTGCAATTCGAACATGTTGATTTCGAGGTGGATTGTTGTTCATCGTCAATCGTATCCGTTGTACAATTGCATGCGTTCGATTGATTCGAAGCATCTGTTGGCATGGCGGTTGAGTTTATATCGGATGCTTCGCGATGTGATGATGTTGCTGTTGCCGTTGACGTTGATTCCTTACCGGAATCGTTTATTTTTTCGATGCTCCTTGGTAATGTGATTTTTTCGGCGTGATGTGATGGCAGTCGAGATCGCTTTGTTCTACTTGTGGTGGGTGTTGTAATCAATTGATCATTGCTATTAATATTAATTGCATTTTGGGCGCCATTTTCAGTCGAAGTCACATTATCGGCGTGTTTGGTAGTTTGCTCTTCAGTCAAAGCGGCTATTTGTTCCATTTTTTGTGAAAAACTATTCCCTAACAAATCTAAATTCAGTCTCGGTTCATCTCCATTGGTTCCATTGATAATCAACGAACTACTGCTCAATATACAATTGGCCGTCGCTTCTTGTTCGTTGATAAAATCTCTTCGTTCAATAGCATCCATTGATTGCACATCATTATTTGTATACAATTGGTTCGAGTTTGTGAATAAGCGCTGCGAATTTGCGAAAAAATGCTCCGATCGTTGCTGATGCTCATCGCCATGGTTTGTCAATTCTTCGACAACATCCGACAACTTTTGCAAGTAAAAAAGAGAGCAAGAGAGAAAGTGAGATTAAGAAAATGATTTCGAACTACTTTGTGTTTTTTTTATTCTTACATGTTCTATTTGCTGTTTTTGATCAGCAATGGCAACGTCAGCCGGTGACATGGACGAGTGTGGCGATGAGGAATCTTCCATATGCTCTTGGATTGGCGGCTGTTTATTTGCAATATTTATCAAACTACTAGTTGATGTATCGTCATCAATAATATCCGACGAACGATTCATCTTTACTAAATCGCTTTCATTTACATTGTTGCTATTGTCTTCTGGTGAACCCTCGCCGATCATCAAATCAGATTGGGACACTTTTTCACCGATCGTATTCACAACAGGCAGCTGAAATTAAAAAAAAAAACACCAGTATACACGATTATTAATTGGTTGAATTGGTTTTGCTCTTAATTTTCATCTGCTCAAATGAAATTGCTCATCAATAAAGCGATATACTGTACATACCGTTTCTTTATTATTGCTAATATCATTGTCGCGCGAATCGAATTCATCACTTAGACGTTTAGGTTTGGTTACCGTGAAATTGGCTGTATTATCAGACTTGCGGAAACCACGTTTGCAATAGTGCGGCTGTGATTGTTCTGCACCGTGGCATTGGCGTTGATCGACTTCCATAAATTCATTATTATCATCAAGAACAGGTGTTTCTAAATTTAAATACATAACTTTTTCCGCATTTGCACGGGCCTCGTACAGAAAATTATCACTGTTTTCTGATATTTCGTCGGCTTCATTCTCATTTTCATTTAAGTAATCACTTTCAATGCCTTTATGAATTGGAGTCGTCGCTGTTTTTTTTTATAGAAATACAGAAGGAGAGACAGGAATATAGAGAAGAAAAAAGAAAACCCGGTTAAAATGGAAACAAAAAAAAAGAGTTAATGTTACGATGTGACGTGTCCACTTTGTCCACTTTTGCACGAAAATATTCCAAATATTCAATAGTGCAGCGGCTCTTTCGATAATTGAAATATAATGTATTGTGGAATACGTACGTCAACCGTATATCGATGCATATTCGGCGTGTATGTGATAGTGGTGCTGTTGCTTCTTATGCGTATTCATGTCACTTACCTGTCGTTTGCATACCGGCTGCTGTTGTTGTTGATTCTTTCATTTCCATTAATTCGTTTCCAGTCATTACAATATCAACGACCACGGGTGCTTGCGAGGATGTTGGAGATGTTTTGATTTCTTCAGAAGTACTCGTCTGTATGCACGCACATACACAAATGGAAAAAAGAGAAAAGGTGTTTTAGCATTCAAATGGTTTTTTTTACATTGTGCCGAAAACTTGTACACTCCACGCACTTGCGGTTTGCTCAAAAACGTTTTTCGATTCAATTAAATGTCAACGCACCAACGATTTCTTTCTTCGGGCTCTTGTAATACAAGACAAGAAACAAAAATATATTAAAAAATTGAATTGGTCATTCGTTGCGCGTTTGTATCAATTGAACAAAAAAAAATGTTTTCAATTAAACCACAAGGCCTCTGGAGCTTGGTTTCGACTCTCATTCTATCTTTCTTTCTTTGTCTGCATTTGGGCAAAAAATGCGGCTGGTTGTCGCTTATTTTTCGTACCGTTTTCGAATTGATGATATCATGGTTTGGCGTGTTTGCTCTTATGGTTGTTGTTGTTGTTGTTTTCGTTAATGTTGAATCATTGGATGGTGTGTGTGCAGTTGTTCTTGTTGTATGCGCTACGTTTGCTGATTCAATTTCAGCTGCTCCTACACTACTTAACATTGATTTTGCATTATGTGCATTTTTATCATCTACATTTATGGCAGTTTTGACTTCGGTAGACGCAGTCGAATCAGCAGTAACACTTGATTTATGTTCACCATCATTTATTTTTGGTTCTTGTTGCTTTTTCGAAAATTCTGTACACTTGTCAGCCATTCTGTACAATTTAATGCTACAATTTTCCAAAAAAGAAAAGAAAGAAAAGAAAGAAAAGAATGAGAATTGACTTATAAGAGACGAGAAAAAAAGTTGGCTTTGTGAACATCTTGTTCTCAAATGTAGTATATACGCTAAAAAAAATTTTGAAATGAAATATGTCTTCAATAATAATCAGTGTAATTGAAGTAATTTGCATGTTGCACATCATTTCGCTTTGTTCACTCTTCAGCTGAGTCTTTTTTTTCGTTGGTGCGCTTTCTTGATGGTCATTTATGATGGTTGAAGGCAACCGTCTTGCCGAAATTTATGCATGACTACACTGCATTTCCGACACAATATGTTACAAATCATCATGCCAATCAATTTTGTATTCTCATGCTTGGAGAATGTGTGCTACAATTCCGCCGTGATTTTCAACATGTGGAACAATACAGAAGGGTTGTATTCCCGCGATAAAACAACCTTTATTACATACATATATAAATTTCATGTTGTCTAATCTCATTTCAAAGTCACTGTAAAACACAAACCACATCCAAAACAACATTAAATTAATACAAACTTGCAATAACTACAACTTATGCGCACCCGTACAATTGTAAGGGTGACATGAAAAACTTGTTAGATTTTATCAACCTAGATTATAGCAGTTGTTGTTTTTTTTTTCTGTTCACAATTGAATTGAACAAGAAAAAAAAAATCGGGATACTTTCTTTGGACATTTTCAAGATTTGTATGCTATGGTCCGTTTCTTAGGGAAAAAGGGTTTTTTTTATTTAATGAAATTCGTGTGATAGTTCATTTGGCATTCGTGTTTTCTTTCTTTTTCCATTTCAGTTTTTGATTTGAATTTTTTTTTTTCGGTTAAAATGTTCAATTGACCGGAAGAAAGACCGGTTTAAATCGTTTTATAAATGATTGTTTGCATGAACGACAGAAATGTTTGATTTTGAAAGGGTATTCACTTCAATAATTATAATTTATCTATATATGTCTATCTATAAAATGTTCGGTAAGGGTAATGGCGATATTTCCTTTCGATAAATTCGCACACACCAAATCAATTGCACTATTCGTTCAAAAATCTATCGCTTAGGTGATGAATACGTCTAGTTGTACCATTGTTATTGTTGAAAGGTATCGTTGCTTCTTCATCGAAATATTCCCATGGTTGTTTTCTTTACTTCTTCTTTTTACTTTTTTTTTCTCTTCGTTTGGCTTTCGACCGTAATTAAGAGGGAGAAAAGAAACTATCGGTTCTTCGATATTGTCCCATCGTATTGAATATATATTGAAGGTATAAGCACATCGTTCATCTAAATATGTTATGGGTAAATTGTGCACATTGCACACACAACGGAGGAATTGACGGAAGGCACAAAGACACACAGCCAAAACGGACGGCTACGATGACGATGACTACGACGAGTAAATATATACACATATATTAAATGTACGTGAAATTCGTTTAGAGACAATCGTGAACAACGAATAAAGGCACCATTTTTCATTCTTCTTTATTTCGTAATTCATCACTCAACTAAACTGGTTCACAAAAATCGAAATCCTGAAAATCATGCTCTCTTCCATTCTCTCTCTCTCTCTCTCTCTCTCTCTATGTTTGTATACAAAAGAAGAAACGAAAAACCAAAGGAAAAGAAATCGACCAACAGAATAAGCCGCTATGACTGCAACAACGAACTACCAACAACGGTACAAAGAAAGAGGCATCCTTGATTTCAATTTTACCTGCTTGCACAGATATATAAAAAAATAATGCCTCAGCATTTTTATTACACTTTATATTTATATACACACACATTCGGTTTTCTGATTTTTTTTATTATTATTATTTTGTGTGTGAGCTCTTTGTGTGTCGATGGATTTTATTTTGATTTTTATGGAAGATCAATTTTTGTCCGCATTCTCAAACGGAAAGTGTAATGATCGTGGGATAATTCCAAAAACTGCCTCTTTTATTTGACTCTTCGAAATGATAATGCTACACAATCTCACATATGATTTATTTGATATCAATTTTTCTCTTCGTTTCTCTGTCTCTTGCTCTGTCTCTTGCTCTCGTTCAGTTCATAATTATTGGATTTTTCTTTATAATATATATATTGGCTTCATGCAGAGTTGCCGCACTTGCTTTCATGATGCTACCACTTCAAAAACTCAGAACCAACTTAAAAATTCAATGGTAAATATAGATGGATCATAGATTATTACTAGAGCAAGAAATGTTTTTTTTTTCTGTAATAATAGTTTTTATCTCATCTGATTTGAAGATTCCAAATTGGAATTGATTTGGTTTTTTTTGAAGACGAATTCAGTTTAACCTTGAAGAAATAAAAAGAGATCGGATTCATTTTTTTTTTCGATTAACAGAGATACCAAAATGAAGAAAAACCAGAAAATTTATTCACCAAAATGCAAACCACATTTTGGATCGCGAAAAAAGCAACAACCGTAAAACCGTAAATGGAGCTGTATGTGATGGTTCATAAATATAATGGATTTTCCGGCGATACTGAATGCAGAAGAATGAATGAATTAAATAAAAATACTATATAGCAATCAAGAGTAAAACTGGGTGTAGATTTTTGTATGAATTTGGTGCTTATGTGTGCGCATAAAATCTTAAAGCTCAAATAAGCGCGGACACGAAGCAGACAGTACTTCACAACATTCAAGAAGGTTACAAATGTAATCATTGCGCGGCAATTGCACTTTTTCCCATAGTAGTCCGGCTCTTTTGAGCACGATTAAAATCATGAGAGACATCATAAACGTTAACACATTCATTCAGACACGGGACACAGTGCATTCATGTACACTTATACACGCATACCGATACCCATGCACAATGTTGAAATCGGTGTGTTCCTTCTTCTGCTTTTTTGTTTCATTTATTTGCTCATTCTTTTCGGTTCTCATGCTGGATATGGGATGGGATGGGATGGGATGGTAAAAAATGATTTAGATGCTTTTTTTTCTTATTGACTATATGTGTAGGATATCTCTTCGCTAAAGCCAAACCAAAGTGGCTGCACAACTGGATGTTTGTTCCATCTACATGGATGATAGTTCTTTTTTGCCTCTTCTCTTGGTTACAATGAGCCCAATATGTGCATTTGTAATACGATAATATATCGAAAGTAAGAAAAAATGAAACAAAAAACAGACACTGCTTAAACGACACATCCAATGACATCAATTCATAAAAAAATAAGAATTAAAAAAAAATCATTCACACAATATTCGGATGCAACCGATTAGAACGGGTACCGTTCATTGTGTGAAGCAATTTTATACCCAACGGCGTCGTGACTCAGAAGTGAAGGAATTTAATAGTTTCAAGAATATTTATGCTTTTTTTTTGATGATGGCGACAATTATTGAAACGCCACATTTTAAAATTGAGATGTTTTAAATCGAAAATCGATCTAATGAGATTTTAAAAATGAAATAAATGTTTACATAATTGCATCAGACACCATACCACGTATCATACACGGAATGAATGACGAAAAGAAAAAAAAACAATTTCAATACATACGGATTGATGTAAATTCATGCCTGTATTAGCTACGCGCGCACAAATGCACTTATAATCTAATATTATGGACACATTCACTCATACTACGGCCATGAGATGAACAAACTCTATATATATATATATTTTCTTATTCTTATTCTCGCACATTTTGATGATGTTTGTTGTTTGCTGTTCTTTTGTGTTGTTTCTTCTCTTATTGTTGCTTCTGTCGTTTAAACATCGGCCGTATGCAAGCCGTAATTCTAGTGACAACGACATTTATTTACAAATACGTTTATTTTTGCACATCTCTTTTTCGCTTTGATTCTATTGTACACCGTATGTTTCGGTATATCGTTTTGCACACAATACATACATCAAAACCGAATTCAATGCCATGTGTATTTATTGGAATGCATCTTCAGTCATGGTTACGCAAAAACGACATAACCCCAAAAAAAAGTAATAACGAAACGTTTGATGTCATTTATCCCATTTACCAAACGTGTGAACGAACTGACGATTCACAAAATTGGGGGAATTCAAACTTCCGTCTGTGAAAAGACAAATGAGCGAAAATCGGTATGAGCAGATCACAGAGAAAAAAAAAGTATATACAAGAAGAATAGAAGATTCTATCATACTCTCTCTCTCTCTCGCTCTCTTATTCAGTCAAATCTATCCTGTAGAATTTACTGAATTTTTACACGGTGTATGAGTATGTGCATTGACGCAAACAATTCTGAAACGCACAATGCTATTACTTCAAATAGAAACGAAAATTATAACAATTACGTATACAATATAAAGATCTTTAAGCCGAGATTTACGGATATAAAACATGGCCACGTTATCTTTTTTGCACACAAATACACAAAATGAAATTAAATACATATACGGAGAAACGAACCGCTGAAACAACATATTAGAAATTATGCATTTGACGAGGAACATTTTTGTATTCTGGTACATTAGCATTATAGTGGGTTTGGTTCGCACTAATCTTTGTTTAATGAGCACACCGATCGTCTCTCGATATTTCGACAACATTCGAAATTTTATTTGACCGAAACTTAATGAGATTCTTTTTATGGCACTTGATAAGAAAACCATTCAAATCAATGTTTACGTACACCAGAGATGAAGGAACCAAAGAAAAACAAAATAATGTGTTTTTTCTTCAAAATGTTATTCACACTCTGTATTCAAATTTATATAAATGATTACATTTTACTATATATACACAAAACAGATACTAAACACATTCTCCACGTGAAAATCCCAACGAATGAATTGAGTGAGAAAAAAAATATGTTTTGATACAATTTCAAGAAACAAAAACACTTATACGTACACTTAGCTTTGCTTTTGTTTTATTAACCTTGAATATCGGGCAATTTCACACAAGAAGCACACAAACAAACCACAACAACAACAACAAAATCTAATGCAAAATAATATTACTTCTAAATTGCCAATTTTACCGTAAATTGTCTGTTTTTTTTTTTGCTTTGTGTTTCGGAATTTCAATGACGATTCTTTTTTCAAATAGGTATGTATAAATGTACGTATGTGAATAAATCAATTCCCATCCAAGAGAATCTTTATCAACAAAATGGAATGTAACGGAGAGACAAAAACCAAAATCAGTCCGTGGAATGGATTTTTCTATGACGATGCATAGCAGAGGATCGATAGACATGAACTGAACATCATAATGTAAATAAGAGGTAATGAGACCCACATGAAATTATTTTCGAATGTCATTAATTATGTTCATGAAATGGAAAAAAAAGTTGCACGTAAGCCAAAAATTAAAGAACCGCAGCACAACAGAAAATTTTAAAACGAAAAAGAAAACTTGAATAACTTGGACCGTTTTCGGCCGAAAAAAAGTGATTTGCAACTAATAAACTAGCTAATTGGCTGGCTGGTTGTCCGTTTTCTGATTGTATTTCTCTCATTTAAATGGCAGAGTGAGTAATTTTAATATTGGCTTGTCGCGCTGCCACCGCAAACTGTAATTACTGTTGTCAAACTCGTCCGAAAAGTAGGACTTCAAAAACGTGGTAACCAAGCCAAATAATATGGCTACGAAAAACGGAGGAAATGAACACACTGTACGCACACAGTTCTTGTATCTTTTTTGTCATAATTTTTTTTCTTTTGCTGGGTATTCCACTTCAGCGTACAATGTTCGAAGGCACAGCTGCAGTATATGCAATTAATTCAACACAATAAGAAGATACGAATGACTTTTTCCGCGAACATACGCGAAAGAAAATTGACTTTCAATCAAATCGAATTCACTCAATAAGTCTTTTTTGTGTTTCTTGTTGTGTTTTTTTTTTTGCTTTTTTTCTCTGAACAAAAATAAACACGCATTTTTATTTTGTTTCATTGCCACAGCATTTAAGGTTTTACTAGGAATTGTTCAAATTGACTTTAAGATTGAAACGAAAAGAGGATGGAATTGACTGACTTTGGAACAATATCCTCATGTACACTTCGTAGTTACGGTATTTTGTATGTATTTTTAATGTATACGACGCATTTATTTCTCTGATTTGCACATTTTTAATCATGAAATTAGCAACATATTATTTTTTGTAACTTCAATTCATCGAAGCAACAGTTCAGACCGGAACCATAGCACATTTTTCTTTACTGCTTCGATTTCTTTAAGTAAAAATGCAACGATTGAAATCACATTTATATGGAGTGTCGAAGTGGTTGCCTTGTTTCAAATTTATAATACATTATAATTTCCTCAAATTTACCACATCCGTCATATATATGTATACACCGTGTGAGTTTGTCTCATTTAGTTTAAAATTTTACAATCTACGTTGCATACCTTGTGTGAATTTTCGTTTTTTCCGATGGAATAATGAAAATTTCGTTGACTGATATCAAATTGTGTAATTCTCTGATCGAATACAAGACATTTTTCTGTACAAGAAATTTCGTTTCCACACACACACACACGCTCACAGTTTTAATTTTTCCTTACACTTTGAACCATTTGTTTCTTTTCTTTATATGTATATATACATATAATAAATTTTTTTCACACTATTTGTTTAGCGAACACGATTTTTTCCCAGCAATTCTATTTTTTTTTTCGGTGATAAAAAACAAAAATCGATATCGAAAGAAAATTTTTTAGCCCACGATTACGGAAACAATTAATCGACGAAATTTATATCGAGCACTTACAAGAACGGAAAAAATTAAAATAAAAATATATATTAATGATGTATCTTTGAGTTGTTTTATTCCATCGTGAACATATTTTCGCGACGACACAAATTCTCTGCAGCCAACTGAACCACGCTTAAATTTAGAAATGATCGATACCAACGTTAGTATACCGAAAACAATCGCAGCAGTTTTTCAGTCGAATGAAAACAATAATGCCCCGTGAATTAATGTACAACACTGGCAACACCAATACATCGCAACTCTACACGAACCGTCAAATACTGTGTTTATATATATCATTATATATGATTGGCGCCACTGTATACATGCAACATATGAAATTTTCTTATTTCATTCGAAACAATTTTCTAGGAAAAAATAACCAATTATTACAAAATTCGATGATATTTTTTTATTATTGGATTCTGCTTGATGACGTAACATTTTTTCAGATGAGTTTTTTTTTTTCATTTTTTCGCTTGAATATCAAAGAGATATACAAACATCCATACAATAATTCATTACCTCTATTAAATGAAAAAAGGAGTTTGGCGCAATATTTGATTGAAATTTAACAAAGACATTGCTTGTGCTTAGCATTAGGTGACATTGCTTTATGTAAATGTCACCCTTTTCTATCCCGCTGTAAATTGAAAAATCGAAAAAAACTTGAGTTTTTACGTAAAAATACAAAAATTTATTTGAATGCATAAATTGTTCGAATGCAACATTATGTTACATTTTCCATTTAATCTCAAAATGTTCCTTATTCAAATGTTCATTTATTTGATTTCAAGTAAAAAGTCACGTAAGTGAATGTGCATATACTTCAAATATGCAATATAAATAACAACAATAAAATCAAACAACAATCATGGTAATACAAGTTCATTTGGATTAGTCCTGAAAAATATTTTGAAATTCGTGGAGATTTGTTTGTTTTTGTACGTTAAATTGGAATTACTTTGCATAGAAAGTTGACTGGATTGAATTGATTTGCTGGTAAGGATATTGAAGCTAGGTCGATATTGACATGTGATATTGATGCATTTTTTTTGCGAACGTTCCATTCATGGCTCACACCGAGGAAAAAACCTTTACTGTAATTAAATTTTAAAAAATGGCTTTAATATTTGCTTATTTTTTTAAAATTATAATATCAATAAAAAATGATTGAATTGTTACCATGTCAACTTCGAATTTTTTTAGCAAAATTCGGAAATTCCGATGGTATTTTCCGTTTGCGAGTACTTTTTCGAACTGGTGAGACGTTTAATTCTGGTTTCTTTTGTGGTAAAATCATCATTGTGGTTTTATCATCTGGTTCAAAGGTTGCGAATATTTCTGTGATGGGATCGGTTGTGCTATGTGCATCAATTTCGCTTGTTCTAAGATATTTGAATTCGATGCTTGGAGCTTGTTTTATGCCATATGATGTGGTCGGCTTGAAATTTTGTGCACTCATATCCAATGATTTTTTCGATCGATAGCGATCATAGTTCGTTTGTTGTCGTGAAGAACAACTTTCCACCGTTGTATCGGCTTCTTCAGTTATTATTATTGAAGATGGTTTTGTATCGATTTCAGAAATTGCAACCGGTTCGTATGCTGGCGACTCAATTTCATCATTATCTTCCAAATATTCGATGTAAATTGCATCAGATTCATCAATATCGTCCGCATTAATATCGGTTTCGATAATATATTCCGTTGATTGAGTCACTTCTTCATTGAATCCTTGCCGCATATCGCTTTGTGATGTTGACGACAACGGTTCAATATTCAACAGTTGGATGTGTGGTTTGCTGCTAAAGGTGTGCGCCACTTCTTTTCTTTTATTATTCGATGATTGACGTGGTTGAATCATATTCACTCTGCTGTATGTTTTCAATGGTACTCGATTGATATGAAATGAACCAACTGGTGATCGTTCTCGTTCTCGATATCGCCCGTAAATTGACGATTCAATCGATTCCGTTAGAACAGGTTCAATAGATAGCAACGCACATCGTTTACTTCGTCTTGGATTCGAATTCAAAATGTGAGCGAAAGGTTGTCCACCAAATCGTTTCGATGCATAATACATTTCATGCAATCTCACAATGTCGGCTTTCAATGAAAATTCAGGCGAATTTAATAGGTCTTTGGTGAGACTCTGGTAGACTTTTTTCCGTGGACGTCCTCGTTTCCGTCGAATTGTTTGACCTTTGAAACATAGCTTCGATACAACATCTGAACATAAATTATACAATTTTGAATAGTCTTCATTGTTTCGTATTGTTTTTTCAAATAGTGCTGCCGACGATTTACTACCAATGATGAAGCAAGAATTCACTCGCATTAAATTTGTTGAATCTTTCGATGTATCGGGCACTTTATCATACGGAGTCTGATCGAAAAAATTTGTATGCACTTTGTCGCCATTGGAAATATTCGACATTGATGGAAATTTTCGAAGGATTGGAGCACGGGGTCGATGCATTCGATTGTTGTAAAATGTTTTTCGTATGGAATTTGATGGAAAACGTGAATAAACTTTAGTGACCGGCATCGATACCGGTCTCACCGAACTGGCTATTGAACTGGCATACAATTTATTGGACATATTTGTACGATAGCGATCAGCTGCTTTTATTTGTGATGCCATGCTCCGATCCATCGAGTTTTTTGAAATTGGTTGCATTTCGGGTACACGATATGTATTTTTTCGGCCATTTAATGTCATTGGTTCACGTTTCCTTGGCTCTGCGATGGAATCATGCATTTTTGCCCGAAAATTTAAAATCACCGGCTCATTTTGTTTTGCTTTATTCATTTGAGAGGCACCACTAAATGGTGTTCTTGATGTCGTTGCCTTATTTCGATCATTTATGCTCACATTTTTATTCAAAATGCTCATATTTTTCACTTTAAATTCTCTTGCTTGATTTAAATAATGTACTGGCCGTTGTCGTTGCAATTCATTCAAGTTGCGTTTCGTTTGTTCGGGTTCCTCTTGTTTTCGAACCATTTTAACAATATTTATTTCGCTTGCACCCGTTGGTTCACGTATTTGCCTATTTATGGTGACTTTGTCCGGTGTTTTTTCGGTGATTTTAGTTACAACAAAATTCGGAACAATCATCGGTGATCGCATCGTTTGTGATTTATTGAGGTTAATGGTACGATTTCGTGGTGATTCGATGATTGGTTTCTTTTGTACTGTTATCGTTGCTGAAGCCTTCGATCGTTTATTATAAACGTCAACAAGTTGAGCGGCAGCTGTCAATAGTTTTTCATCCGAAATTTCATACGAAAGATTTTTCTCGGCAATCATTTGTTTTTCCTTTGGTGACGCTTGCACAGCTACACTGCTTTGGGTGCCTTTGTTTTGGCTCGTTTCGTCCATCTTTTCATCGTCTTCATTCAGGAAAACATCATACGGTGTAAGAAATGGAAGTTCTTCATCTAAAATCCATTCAAAAGTAAACAGAAAAATATAGAAATAGATTAATACTCAAGTGTACAAAAAAAAACTTAATTTAAAGTATAGTATCACAAAAATACTCTACGAGCGAATCACATCACAAACTAAAATCTAAAAAACAAAAAACAAACTAAAATAATGAAGAAAAAAGTACAATTCTAAACTTAAACTTTAAACGCCCTATGGACAGTGAATATTCTGTATAATTCAGATGGAATGTATGCAGGGAAAAGATGTTGAGTAAGTCTCAAGATGATTTGAATTCGCTGCATATGAGACTAATTGATTTTGATGTACAATCATTCATCTCAAAGGAGGGGTCAGCTTGTCGAACAAATGGTCTCTTGGGGAAAATTAATTTGGGGCATAGAAATCACATACAATGAAAAAACCAGATGATGTGATTTGAATTTTGAAAAGTTAGTGAGTGAATTGGAGGATATAATTCAGATCAATTATTGTACCTACAAAATAAAACAACAATTTCAAAATGATTTCGACGGTGAATTTGCTGGGCACAAGTTCTCGAAATGCATTTTAAAATTAAGAAGAAATAAGAAGTGTATGTATGTGAGTGAGTGTGTGTGGGTGGCACCCGAACCATTTCGGAATCCCATGATGACCACGAAAAATGAAATATGAAAATGATACCTTTTTGTTGAAGTGAATTAGCAATTGGTATGGTGCGACGAATGTTCATAAATTAGTTTATGAATTTGACAAAAAAATCATATGTTTTTTTAACGATATTAATCGGAAACACAAAAAAGAATTGGAAAATTAAACATCTAACAAACCCCTTCTTAAAAACTGAACTGTGTTAAAGGGAGATTATCGTTCCAAACGCAAATAAAATTCAAATCGACTAATTAGCGTTGTCTGAATGTGGTTGTGTGTGTGAGCAAAAAGATTGGCCGATAAAACCAAATCAAAAAGTATTGAATCGTTAAGTCATAGCATTTGTGAAAGGATAACAACTTGTTTGTGCAATGCATTGTTAAGTGTGCAACAACAAAAAATAGTTTTTCATTTCGTCTGTTCGATTCTGTTCTATGTGTGTTGATTGAAGATAACTGTGAATGTGGATGGGACATTCGATAAAATGCGGGAACATTTTGTGAATGATACTCCTCCGTTGGTGTATTTGATGCAATGTTGATTGATGAATATTGTTGATTGTTGAGATTTTTGAATGTTGTTTGTACTATTTGTTGATTGAAGATTTTTCGTTGTGTTTGATTTTTTATTTTTCCGTGTTTCCGCGGTTTTCTGTTTGCCTTTTGCCATATGAGCGAGCGCATTGTCAAACTCATCAAGCATACTATCTTTCATCCAACATCATGAAACAATCGGTTTCAACCTTAACCATACGTTTTTTTGTGTAAAAATATATCCTTTACGTATATATAACCCGACTAATATGTAAATAAATCAATAAATACTTATTCATATTGAAACTATGCAACGCTCACTAATTAAAATTAAATAAGATTAAAAATTAAAATTGAAAAAAAAAAGATGTGAAAAAAATATGAAATATCAAGTTCGATATATATATATAAAAGTTTGTAAAAACGAGCGAAAAAAAATGAGTAATCAACAGTCCGTAAATTTCCGAAAGCGAATGTGTCGAGATAGCAGAGTAGAGAGTGTACAGGCATGCGGTTAATTATTGTTCACTCCATTTCAATGCGATATATACATATTCATACATATCGAAAATATGTTTCATTGCATCATCATCGTTATTGTGGCGATTAGAAGCTGATTTTTTCATGCATTTCCAATGCTCTTGATTTTCTGCGATCGATTCATATTTCAAATAAGTTGAGCAATGTTGAATCAATCTCATTTTCAGTTGCAAAGTCATTTCATTTTCTTGTTTTAATTTCATTAACGAAGTAATTTCTGTTTTCGCTTCTTCTTATTTTTTTCCAAAATCTTCAAATTTTTATTTAATGCGATCTTTTATCGATGTCGATTGGTTTTTCGTCGTGGCGATTTTTGTTCGGTGCTTACATTTTGTGCTCGTGTCGTTCGATTCGAGCTACGAGTCACACGATTTGTTTTCGATGCCGATAATTTATCATTTGATGATGAAATTGCAGCCACTGTAACACTCTCGGCAACCATTTTTCGAGCGGCTTTCGTTCTTGGTGCCATTGTTGATTTATTTATGGATGCCTTTGTATCAATGGGCGTCGGCATGATATTTTGATGAGCTTGGGATTGGTGATGCTGATGCTGATGCTGACGATATTGTTGGTGTTGGTGTTGGTGATTACTTTGTGTTGAAATCTCTTGACCACCATCATTCACACTATTCCCATAATCGTTCAGTAGAATTGATTTTTTCTCTTGAAAATTAATGCGACTATTTTGTAATAGATTGTGATAGTGTTGTGGATTCATTTGATAGTTATGTAAATTGAACATGTTTTGTATTTCAAAATTCGGTGGAAGACTGTTTGGATTTGTGTGTGTTGGTTGAATGCTATATGTTGCTGCATACGGTGAATTCGAATGGAATGTTTGATGATGGTATTGTGCAACATCGCTTGGAATTGGTCCAAGATTTGTCATCAATTCACCATCGGATGCAACAATGCCACAACTTATGTTGCCATTACTGACAACACTCGGCGGTGCCGTTGCGTTCAATGAATTTGTTTGATTTGCACTTAGATTTTGTTGTGATGGTATTAAATTAAATGTCGTTTCGAATTCAACGTGTTGATTTGATGGAGCACGACCGGAGCCGGTTGTTGTGCCACCAGTATTTGTGGCACCCATTACATTTGGTGTCGGTGTATTATTTATAACCATTGCCTGTTGTGGCAAAATATTGAATCGAACCGGAGCAATTTCGGGTGCTGGTGTCTTAAATGTTGAATAAGCCCGAACCGGTAAGTATTCAACAATATTTGCAATGCTCAACATTGGCGTCGGTGGATATGATACACATTCCATATGAGCTATTGGTGTGCTCTCTTCATTCAAATTCATATTCGTTCCGACCGATGTGCTGACATTTGTTGTGGTCGTCGCCGTTGCAGTTGCTGTTGTTGTCACCGTTGCAGTTGCCATTGCCGGCACTATGATCGGCGGTGATGGCAACGAAGTTGATGCTATTTCAATTTCGCATTGCATTGATGGCATACTGCTGGGCGATTCAAACGATCGCTGTGAATCGGATTCTTCTTCTTTAATTATTGTATTATTGAACATGGACATAATTCGTCTCTTTTTCAATGGCAATGATGATGCATTGCCTTCATCATTTTCATCATTCGGTTCGGGCGAATAATTCGATGCATTTATATCTTCGGCCTCTAAAAATCGACTGGCCGCATTCATAAGACGTTTTGTTCGTGTTTTCGTTTTCATTTCATTTTCCGGTTTGAAACCCATCGTTTTTAAATGATTACCTAGCTCTTTATAAATTTGTAACATATATTCTGGTTTGTATTTTATATCTAATTCACCGTCACTGTTACTCGACATTGTCGTAAAATTATCGCATGAATCGATTTGGTCATCAATCGAACTACGTTCGTCACTCGATATCAATGCTGCTGCCGGTGCATTCATTCCACACGAAAATTTATCGATGAATGATGCTTTTTCCGGTATTTGTTTGATATTGACTTTTGTTGAATGTTTCGATACATGTTGTTCCAAACCCAATGGATGCACAATAGCCGATGGTAATGATGCTGTTGGCCCATTTAACTTCATCGTCACATTCGTATTGTGAATCAAGTTGTTATCACTTTCACAAAACGCTGAGGTTAACGATTGCAATGGATTTTGTATACTGGGTGACGCGCATTCAGACAACGGACTACCTATATCATTTAAATCTAAACCTAAATCCGTACCTGAATAAAATAATTTATACGGTTGATGTTGCGTCTGTGTTGTTTTTGATGGTGATATGTGTTGTTGGTGTTGCTGTTGCAGTTGTTGCTGCAGTTGCTGCTGTTGCTGTTGTTGCTGTTGGTGTTGGTCACTGGTTGAATGTTGTGAAATTGCTTGCTGCTTTTGTTGTGGAAGGATCGATTGTGATGTTTGCCGCGATTCAATTGTCAATGTTGGAGATCTTGTGCGGTGGTGTGGTCGGGTTGCTCGATTTTCGGTCGATGTTGTTTTATTGCTCGGCTTTTTAATGTATGTCTTTCGTTCCATTATGGTTGAAGGTACATTTTCATTGTCATTTACAATTTCAGGTTTATCAACAACTCGACGTCGTGCAAAGGATGAGGTATTTGCAGTTGCTTGTACATTATTATCAATTGATAATTCGGCGGTAATCACATTTTGTGTTGAACGAATTGTACGCTCATAGCTCTGCGGTGAGCTTCTATTGTCAACGGTTTTTGTAAAAAGATTATTCGTTTTGATGCTGCTCAAAGGTATCGAACATTCGAAATGTTTTTGTGATGATGACGTTGATGACGTTGATGATGATGCACTTGTCATATCTTGTGGATAATCTGCTGTACTCTCACTTTTACAAACAGCATTTATAGGCGATTGATTATGCCGTGTCGGATGAACGACGGTTATGCATTTCTTTGCTTGAGATCGTAGCATTTTTGCATTATATTCATCCATTGCATCGTTCACACTTTCTGCTGCAATGAGTTCGTCATTTTGGGCTAATTCATCTGCTTTTAAATCAAAATTAATCCCCAAATTCTTATCATTCACTACTTGAAGCCGCCTGTATACCGTTGCCGTTGATGGCTCGGGCATTTGGCTTGGCTGAGGCAAGCAATCCGATGACGTTGGTTCGAATAATAATGATGTCGATTCAACTGTACAATCTACATCTGATGTTTGTTGTACTTTATCAATTAAATCCATCGATGTTGGCAAACGATCGTTTAATTTTTGATTTTTAAGTGCTACTGTCAATAATTGTTCCGCTGCCTCATCACTACAACTACTAATACTACCCGATGCAACAATGTTCATGTTAATCGGTATCATTGATTTATTGCCATCACTCGAGCTAACATTGAATGCATTGCATTCCGATGAATTGTCGTCGTTTGATAGATGAAGTTGATTTGCGACGACATTTCCATGGCCCGCCTGTGCTGGTTGACATAATTGATTTTCGTCGGCCTGTGTCTCATTAATGCACTCCACATTAACAGACGTTGGGCACATTTCAAAATTATTTTTCCAATGGATACCTACTTCTTCACGATTTGATAACACACGTCCGCTATCGGTGCTGGACGAATCAGTTTGTGTTACAGATGTGCTTATTGATGTTGTTGTTGTTGATGTTGCTATTGATGACACATTTTCTGATGTGATCTGTGTGCAAAATCAAAAAATTGCTCATATTAAACTGAAAATCTGCATATATTTGAAAAGTGCTATTAGACATTAGAATGCTTTCAAAAATATAATCAAAAATTGATACAAACAAAAAATTGTGCAACCTATACGCTTAAACAAATTTTGGATTTTGAAAAGAAAAAAAAAAAAAAAATTTGAAACGCATCCTCCTTGCATTCAAATATATGCGAATCTACTTAGATGTTACCTTTGTTGTTTGAGATTCATCGCTTGGTTTTTTATTCGTTTCATTACTTTCTTCTGGATCATCGATCACAATAATATCGCTTGAAATATGTGCACCTTCGAGACGTTGATCCATTGTCGTGGGCTTGATTTTTGCACGTTCAATTAAATCCGCCAGCCACGAGATATATAAGCGTGGTGCATTTGTTTCTTCATATGCTTCTTCAGTTAAATCGATTAACTCTGGTTTTGACGTTTCATCGATTACTGAACTGTTATCACTTGTTTCGCCGCATTCAGTTTTAACATTAACTAATTGGATTTCGGATGCATCATTTTCTTCGTCGTCACTGAGAACAACCACGTCCTGTATAATCACATTAAAAACCATACGATTTGCATGAATGGAAACCAATTCATTTTCTTTAAGAGGTTTTTTTTTATTGACTACTTACATTCAACTTTTTTGTAATTTCAATGGTCGAAGGTTCACCGAAATTTTTGTCCGTCAATTCAAGTGCCCGTAATAGTGGTTGTAGCGAAAACTTCTTATCTAACATACGTACATAATTATCAGTCGTCTTTTGACCATCACCAGCTGGCAAGTATGGTGCATATTTTGAATTCATGCTGAAACAATAAAGTTTTCAACACAATTACCATGGTGGAATGGTTGTTTTTAAGGTATGATTTTATTTTTATTGATTGAATTACTTACCAAAACATTTTTTTTGGCTTGACTTGTGTAATAAATGCACTTCGAATGTCTTCTTTATCCTCGTGAATATCCTCAATAGCTAACCATTTTTTAAATACTATTAAGTACTTCGCGAACGTATCATCTTCTACCTCAACCGGTTCTTTGACTGTTATTTTCACCAGGAAATGTCTAAAATAATAGTTTTGTGTGAATTACATGTGTTGTTGTTTTTAATTCTCTAGTAAAAGAATTTGTTTAGTTTTGAATTCTCATCGAAAAAATGTGTTCTCTTGTTCCAATGCCGGAACTCTAACATAAAATAAATATTATGTCGGCTCAACGATATTGAATCAAACCTTTTACTTAGTAATCATTGACCATCAAACCAAACTCAATTGTTATCACATGAGAATTATACACTTACTTTAGGAGCAGACTTAAAACGCCTCTATGAATACGACTCAATCGTTTCATATTAATGAATACATCAAGCACGGTAAAATCTTCGGCACCCTATAATCAAACAAAATGAATTACCATTAATTAGTTTTTGAAAATATATCGGCGTCAAATATGCAGTGAGTGTCCCAATATGATATTTTAGTAAATATACCTCCAAATGTGTACAATAAGTTAATTGAATACGATTGGCTATCTCATTATCACACTCTTGTCCAGACATCGATCCACATAGTTCCAAGTCTGTGTAAATAACCAATAATTTGGTTACCCTTCGAAAGAATTCGATGCCCTGAAAATCATCGTCAAACATAAGTCCAAATAGCATTTGTGCAATTGAAATTAGAAGAGAAAAAAAAATCAGTTGTTGTCAATATTTTTACAGATTCAATTCTGTGCTCCTCTAATCCATAGGCAACAACGATTACCAATTTAAAAAAATAATAATTACCATTTCGAATCCTTTGTACAGATAACGATAGGTGTATAGGAACTCGCGAATATACCGGGCTAAAGTTATTGATAATCTTGGTGATTTACAATATTTTTGACAATCTTCCACCATTTTCCTAAAATCACAAAATTATAGCGAAGCATTCAATACAAATGTAATCGAGAAACAAACAAGACTTAAAGGATAAACATCGAATTAAAAGGAAATTTACCTGATAAGAAAATCCATTGCATTTAAAATGGTTTTAGTTTTTGCTTCAGGTATACTACCAAGGCATTTCTGTGCCGATTTTTCAACATCTTTAAGCCACGGAAATAGATCGGTAGCGCTTTTCTTTTGTGACGACATCTTCCCGGGTGCAGGTCGTGGCTGTGGCGTTAATTTAAATGTATCTTTATCGGTTGATGACGGCGTTCTTGTATTTAAAAAACTGTCGTCTGCACCAAAACTACTCTCATCAAATCCAGTGCTGTGGCCTGTTGTTGACCTATCTATATCGTCTTCTGAATATGACAGAAGACGTTTACTTGTCGTTGGTTTATCCATTTCTTAGCCTAAATTCGTAAACACATCATTCAAATTACTTTTCATCATCACCAAATTAATTTGATTATTTTTTTTTCTCTTTTTTCAATATTTAGCCGTTCATTCTATCGAAATAATAAAATTTTCGAATAAAATAATTGAATAATAACATAAAACGAACTGACAAAAACACACACACACTATGCTCATGCGTTAGCTTCTGAAAATTGAAACCACCCGATGCACTATGGCAAATAATGTATAACACTCACAATATTTTTCATAGGTTAGTTAACATCATTTAACTGAATAAATAACTTTTTTTGGTACTGTCAATGCATCAAAATCGTTGGCATCGCTTTTCTTTTGACATCGAAATTGTTTTGCACTATTTTGGAATTGATACACTTCGTTTCGTTATTATTAGAACGAATCAAGCAAAAAAAAATATATTTATATCTATACATAATCCATATCGAAAACTAACATAGATAGAGTGAAACGAAGTGAAATCAATGGAATGAACATACGACTGTGGCAACATGGCCGACATACATACAATCCGCACATATACGAATCTATCACACACAATTTATATATATATATTTACCTATTTTCACAATAAAAACAACTAACTTAATTTTTAATTCACTAAATTTCATCACTTGATCTATTTTGATATACTTTTCACTTGTCCAAAAATCATGGTATTCTCTGGCTACTATTATATTTTTCTCTTCTTCTTCACGCATTAATTTTACATCGTCTCAGAGAATGAATATATACAGTATTGTCATTAGGGCTAGTTGTTTTGCTGGGGGAATAGAGGCTTCTTTCTTTCTTTCTTTCTTTCTTTTTCTATCACTGAACGCGTTCACCGCACGTACACCAACAATTGTTTTTTTTTTTTGGCTGTTTCATATGGACGTGTGTGTGTATATAAAACAACGAAAAATATGGAGTCGTGTAGCGATTTGACTTTTATATTTGCCAGATGCAAAACAACGCTTTTTGATTATGGCAACACCATATGTCAAATTACAACATATTCTTCTATGTCAAATTACATTTTGCCGCTCTTTTATTAAAGATTTGACATTTTCAAGATACAAAAAATCAAATCATTTAAACAACAACAAAATTCGGTTGAAATGTCATATACTTCTTTATTTTACCGGTATAAAGTTTTGGTATTTCGATAGAAAATTGGCAAAAAAATAGAAATTCATTGTCATTTATTCATTATTGGTAAAAATGATTATCATCTTACTTGTGCCTGAGAGAACAGAAGAACATATTTCTGTTCAAATAAGTATTTGTGCAATCAAATTGGTTTCGCACTGATGTAAAATAAATAGCGTTGAAATTGAAATGCAAACTGACGACATCTAGTGACACACTTTATTTGAATTCAAATTTTCAAATAGATCTTTCAATATCGTACACAAATCTTCTCTTCTATATTTCTCGACGTAACATCTTTGTGATACGAATGAACAGTTTTATTGATGAAAACATGTTTATATACTTAATTTCATTTTGTTATAACTTGTATATCAATTGAAATACTTACTTTTCAGCTTATGGTTTTTTTGCTCCATTATGATCGATTTCTAAGATATAATGAATGTAGCAATCTATTTTCGTGTTTGATATGATTTCGTTTATAGAATTATCACTTATTGAATTTTAGATTCAGATGACGTTCGCTAATTTTCTATAAAATCTTATTATTACAAATGGATCGTTTGTATGTTAAGTGCAAAAACCTCTCTTTTTCATACAAAAGAAACATAATTGATGTTTATCTGAATAAAAAACGTCTTCAGTTCATTTTGGAATCTGTAAATTATGCAAATGAATAGAAAATGTGATGGTATTTTTTTGACACAAACTAATATTTTAGTCTACGTTCTCTATTTATTCATAGTTAGCAATTTTTTTTTTTATAGATATCGGATTTGATCGATCGATCGGTTCAGTACAGTAAACAAACTCTGCCAGAAGAATTCGAGCACCATTGAGTCTAATACTACAAATTGTTGAATTCATTCATTCATAGAGTTTCATTTCAATATTTTTTTAGATACAAATATTATTTTTTTTTAAATTTATTTCGTGCAAATTTATATTCAATTATTTGTTGCTCAATTATTGCAATAGCATCCATCTTTTGAATTTTCTCTAATCCAATCCAAATACTGAGTCACTCTTGTATAAACGCCAGGATAGTTGGGCCGAGCACAACCGTTACCTATGTTCAAAATTGAAATTTTTTGATTGATTTTGATTTTGGCATTGATGTTTCAATGTGAAATCTTACCCCATGACACAACGCCGACTAGTTCATAAAGTTTATCAGGTCTTGCGGCGATGAGAGGTCCACCAGAGTCTCCCTAGAAATAATTAATAAATATGGACGGAAATGCATAATAATAGTAAATCAAATCGCACATATGAAACTATAGTGTGTTTGCACTTACTTGGCATGAGTCTTTCTTTCCGACACCGGGATATCCAGCACACAACATGTTTTCTGTGATCATTTTTTGTGTATAGTTGGTGTTTTCAACACAAACGTTATTTGCCATAATTGGAACTTCGACTTCTTGTAAAATGCACGACGGTTTACCATCTTCTTTTAAAGTGCCCCAGCCGGTTGCAACAGCCTTTGTTCCAACATACGTGTTTGCTATATCAGTCGTATCAAGCGTAGAGAAAGGTAAAAACAAAAAGAAAGACAACAACAACAACAAAAATAAAGAGAAGAAAAAGAGAATCTATACGATGACGCATTCCAAATGCCAAATAAATAAATAAATAAAATACGAATTGGAATTGTGGATACATTTTCTGGTGGGCAAACAAATTGGCCGAATAAAGTCGGTGATTGGCACCCGGTCATTGAGCCGCAACAGAGCCACATCGTTATCAAAGTTTGAAAAACTGAATGGCTGCGAAATGGCGCGAAGAACAAAACGAGTCTCTGGCCGATTTTTGTCATCGCACCGATCATGTTCTCCAAAGGTTACTTTAATCATAAACCACATGAATCTGAAAATAAAATCAAACAAAAGCAGAAAAAAGCACTTAAATTCACATTTTGGAATTCTTTTCATTTTCTTCGTTTCTTTCTCTCTTTGTTGCCTTTCCATCTCTTTATCTTCAGTGTTAATATGTCGGCGATTATCATGGCGATTGAATTGCGCACGCTCATTCCATCTTTCGCCAAACACATATATAGTATCTCAATTTAAGCGAGTGCGTTGCTTGTTTTAAATGGACGAAATAAAATGAAATCAAATCGATTTGTAGTGTTATTTATATACATCGTCATATCCAAAAAAAAAAACCGGATAGAAGTATAGAATAGATGTACAACGCACTTTATCGAGGCAAATATCTCCGAAATGAATGAAAAAAAACCTTGAACTTGCCATCAAAACCACTGGGGATTGAGGTGACTTCTTGAAAGAGAAACAAAAGGAAAAAACCAACAACACAGAGATAATGACAACCACACCGAAAACGAGAGAAATAAACATTAATTTCTTTTAAATTTAATCACTGTTGCAGTCATTGACATAGCGAGGAACAGCAGCAACAACAACAACAACAAACACTGTTCGAAGAAAAGAACTCGAAATATGTGCGCAATAAACGTGAAATAGAATTCAAAAATTAAAAAAAAAACAATTTGATATAAAGCTGATTAAATCGTTGCTCAATAAATTTCTCTTTATTTTCGAGGCATTTAAGCCGTTGTAAAAATACGAGATGAGGGTATCATAATTTTTAATGTGATGCGTGTAAGTGCGCGCACGCGTTCAAAACTCTGAGCCAAATCGATCGATCGTTTGCACAGAGAATCGACAATGAATCTAACCAAGTAAGTAACATTTTGATCGCGACGCGTTCCAGCAAATAACATTTTATCAAGTCGCAACTCTCATCCAGTTATGGAATGAGAGAGTGATTATTCTTTCTGTTTTCGGTGTTCGGGTTCAATGAACCAAATGTATTTAGCCATTAAGAAATGAGCGAAGTTTGCATGCCAAACATGATTGGCCTAAAGCATTTTGACAACACTGAATCTGTCCAAATCAACCAAGTATATATGTTTTCTTGGTAATGATGGTCGCTGCGATGCGATGTGATTAGAATTTAATTCTTTTCCGCATATTTGTATTACATCTAGGCATATATGTATATGTATAATATTGTAAAGACTGTAACATACCCTTTAACGCAATGCGCAGCAGTCAAAACATAACGATCATTTATTAAAGCTGCACCGCAGTAGAAGCGATTAAAGTACGACAATCTTGCCATCCACGGGAACTCATTCACTCCAGTACTCGAACCACTGAAAATCACAAATCAATCTGGGCTCAATTACAATCGATACCAATTCTATCACTCACTCTCTTTCTCTCTTTCTCTCTTTCTTTCGTCTTTATCAATTAACATCTTCATTTACTCACCCAACGATTCTTGTTGCATCATTTCTTTCACCACAAGCTACAAATAAACAGATAATCGGTTTTTTTTTATGTTTGTTCAATCGATGATTATGCTCAATCATCATCGTCATACAATTGCTTTGTTTCATATTATTATTCTATGAGAATCTCAATGTCTATATTTATATGGTTACTTACTGCATTTGCACGGTGTATATGGTGTATCGTGCGATGGTGCACGGCTATGATCATTCATATTACCGAATAGAAATTTCTCAGAATCTTTTTTCGTTGCTCCGAATGAAGTCAATGCTTTCTTTGCATTATTATATGTTTTGTACACTCCTTTGCCATTCGATGTTGAATATGCGCCAATTTGTGTGACAAACAATACTACATATGCCAATGTAAACAATATTTTCGTATAATTCACCTTCATTATTTGGCTTTTTTTCTCTCTTGTTCTCACTCTTTCGTCAAATTCCGTCAAAAATGTATTTCAAACACAATTTGGATTTTTTGAGCAAATTTCAAAATTCAAGTATTAAATAAAATCAAGATAATGTTGGAAATCTATCAAATAGAAATTAAAAGTCAACTAATGGTTTTGATTGGCAAGAAATGTTCCCACAAAAAAAAAAAAATATGAATACACTAAAATTAATATCTTGAATATTAAGTAGATGGATCAATCGAACGCACATGCATTTGATAACTGTTTATGCACAGGAAAAAAAATATAATTAACACTCTTTTGTTCTATTCGATTAATGATGTCAGTTTGATTTTTTTGCCCGTTTTGATTTGTGTCACAAATTCGCCGATCTTACATTGTTCCATTAATTTCTTTCCAAAGAAAACAAAAATCGCAGCCGAAAAAAAAGAAGAATGTTTTGCGTTGAGAATGACACTAGAACTAATGGATATCGCTCGAGTTTGTTATATTCTAGACTCGTTATTCAACGTCATGAACGACAGTCAGAAAGGCCACTGATCGCTGTTTAAATCAACAACACACAAGTAACCAACCTGGTAACCTGCGGCTTAATGTATGAATACGTCTGCGCTAGAAATTGTTTATGTGTGTATGAGAGATGAAAACGGCATCAATGATGACAACAACAACGACGACGATGACGACGGCGGCGGCGGCAACGGCAACAACAACAACAAATACTCAATTTCATATATACATTAGAGATATTCAAGCACAGGGCTATATTTGAGGTGATATAAGTCACATCCAGACATTAAGCTAAAAATGTTGAATATTCAAGATAATAAAAGTGATTTTTTATGGAATTTAAAATCAAAAAAAGTTCCGTGCATGGACGGATTTCACCAAAAAAAAACCGGGCATACATTTATCATTGCGGACTGTCCCGGTATCAAAAATTACAACGCTCCGTCGTCGTCGTCGTCGTCATCGTCGTTGTCGTGGAAGTAAATAAGCAAAAAAACAAATACGATAAAACGATTGAAAAAGAAAAAGAGAAGAAAATAAAAATAACAACGAAAAGAAAGATGTGATTACCATTGACGATGCATGTACTCGTAATTAAATGTACGCGAGAATATTAGCTGGTGTATGTAGAATGATAGATAAATACCATTTGTAAGTCGAGAGATAGATATTTCACGAAATCCAACAAGAGAATAGAAATACAAAGAAGTTTAGCATTCCGTAGCAGTAATAGTAGTAGCAGCCAACAGCAGTAGCATTCATTCTTGTCATAAACAATATTGAAACTGAGCTTCTTTCATTAAGTTGTCAGTGTTCTGCATCTCATCATAGTCGCGTTTCGCGGAGTTTCGTTTTTGTACTCGGTTTAGTCATCATCATCATCATTCCATTCGGATTATCCAAACATACCACTAATTCCATTCGCAAACCAAAATCGTACAAACAAACTGTGGCGTAGTGCATGAATCGCCAGCACCATGTGTATTGTGAACTGGTACAGCGTGCCAAAGATGCATGGATCAAACGAAAGACACCAATGCGCTGAAAAAAAAAGAAGCGCACACATCACCTAACACATCAATGTGCTAAAATATTCCCTTTTTTGCTTCAACATCTAGATTTTACTTTTATTTTACATAGATTTTGCGTGGTTTTTTTTTCTATTTATCGAATTAGAAAAGTGCGATCGTATCTGATTGTTAACTTTTACAAAATACCGTTAATGTATGTTCGTACGTATATAGGTATGTGTGTGTGATGGTGATGAATTCTGCATGATATTCGAACAAGGAAATGTTCGTATGGTTATAGTTCATTGAAAATAATTCTCGGCATATTATTTAGTGTGTGCCTGTTGAATAGGATTTCATTGCATAGTCGTAAAGTAATTGACAATACGAATTATTCTTTTAATATTTGTGGTGTAAATTAGTTCATAGAAGTCACAGATCTTTGTTCCAAATCTTTCTGGAAACCTATATATTCTTTTATGACTATTCACACGAGCATTATGAGTTGATTCATGGCAAACAATTTATTTGTTACTTATTTCCACTTCATTCAATTCAACCATTATACCAGATTTTATGCCGAACGCAATTCGAAAGATGCATGAGATGAGCCCATTACTTTTGTGTTATATGATTGCTCTTGTTTTCATTTATGAGCCTTTCTGTCATAAATGAATGTAGATGTAGTAAAGATGAAAACGAAATCTAAATGTGGCACTTCTTTGTTTATTACGGTTATGATAATCATGATGATCATGTTCAATACAAATACATTGTATCTGTATTTTGAAAACGGCTCTTTTCGGTCTGTGTGATATATCATTGATATCTAAAGATCTAAATTTATTCGAAAAACAAGAAAAATTGGATTTGTATGTGAATGTCGTTATATTTTTTTTACGCGAACTTATGAGAAGTACATGTCGAAGCAACGACCATGCGAAAGAAAATCAGAAAATGTTAATTTTCTTTCTAATGGCATTTTTAGCTTTTCCCATTAATGTTTTGATAACACTAACTGAAAGATACAGACAGAGGGAGAGAGAGAGAGAAACAAAACACCGTACGAGAGGAAAGTGCAATCCATCAAACATCTACTACTTATTAAAATTATAATCACTTGAAATGACCGTGCATGTATAAACGGTGCGTTATGACTAATTATGATATGAACGTTTAACCAAATCATCGTCAATACAACCGTTCGTTCGATTTCTATGCGACTCTTTGTAACAATATGAGTGGATGCAAATCGACCCAATCGCTTCACGCTACATCGTGTGACAAGTCTTTTCAAAGATATATATATGTTTTTTTTGGTATAATCGATGCCGTCAAAAGAAAGTTTTGTATTTATCGACCATACACAACATACATGAACATATAAAAAACCCATTTTAAGTTGATAACATTCATTGCCAAATATAAAATTGGGTCAATCACTAAAGAATTCATAAAGAATTCATATTTCAAGTGTTGGCCATATTTATATTCATAATGTAACCCGAAAAACTAAAAAGAAACATGCATTTATGCGATTTCTTTTCTTTTCATTCAATAGCGAGACCATCGTATTCAAATATGCTGAAAGGAAAGGTGTAATTTTGGTTTTCGGTGTTGTGGACAGTAAAAATTGTATGGCACAAAAGAAAAAAAAAAAAAACGGTTATTTTGACCTGAGTAGGCGTTAATCTCTATTATCCCAATAGTTCCAAAAGTAAACATGTTTGTTTATCATTAAAGGATAGAGAAAATAGTATATAAATCAATATGCATGATATCAATATTCCATCATCGTCATCATTTTCATCTCGTTTTAGGTGCGATGAAATTTCCCTGTACTCCGCTTTTGTTTGATCGGAATGAATATTTAGCCACCGCAAACACATCCATCCACATTGGCTCGCACCCATGGCATGTAACGTGGAACACGCGTATATACACCGGGATAGCCTGAATAATAATAATTGAATGAATAATTGCATAAATTTCGAAATAAAATTTACAATTTTGAATGATCATTTTAGTGAATAATAACCTGCACGACCGCATCCTACACCTAAAATGGAATTTCGATCAATTGGTTATGTGCACCGTAGAAAGAGATCAATAGACTTACCCCAACTGACAATGCCAATGACCTCGTATTTACCATTATTATACACAACGAGTGGTCCACCACTGTCGCCCTGTTGACGAATTTTCGATTTTTAATTTAATTACATTTGCTAAAAAGAGATAGCATCGTTCACAAACGAAAAAAACAAAATATCTTACTTGGCATGAGTCTTGTTTTCCCTTTCCGGCACACACCATATTTGGTGTAATCCGTGACGATCGATACTTCATATTGCGACATTGGTTCAACGATAAAATTGGCACTTCAACATGTTGCACGACGCTTGGCAATGCTCCACCCTCCGACGTCCGGCCTTTGGAAAGTGCAACACAAAAGATAAATGAAATGATGACATTATGGGAGGAAAAAAAAAAACAAGATGCACACTTACCCCAACCAACGGCGATGCCTCAAAATTATGATTTGAAAATGGTAATAAGAAGATGTAATAATCATAATGATAAATGCGGGAATAATAATTAGAAAATAAATTACCTGTTTTACCAGCCGGATCAAAATCATCTTCAGGCAAACAAACTGGCATAATATTTTTTGAATATGTAATTGGTTTGCGTAGTTTCAGCAATGCAATGTCATGATTGTATGTATTTGAGTCAAAATATCGATGTTTTATAACAGCGCTAACGGCACGCATTTTAGCATCAGCATCACTGATTACAGTTTGATCGTGATCGCCCAAAATAATGCGAATCTTTGAACGTTTCAATCGCCTGACACAATGAGCGGCTGTTAAAACATAATCTTTGGATATCAGCGATGCTCCACAATGAAAATTTCCATCATACACTGTATTCAATTCAAAAGTGAAACGTGAAATTATGACGATTAAACACGAACATTTGTTTTTATTGTTGAAGATATACGTACCCAAACGAGCAATCCATGGATATTGCTATACAATGTAACGAAACAAATTTATAAATTTAATAGCTCGATTGGGGTTTATTGATTTGAAATTAAAAAAAAAAAAAACAAATGATTCTTACATTCACTCCGGTTGGTTTTCCACCTACGATACGCGTTTCTTGGTTTGATTGACCACATGCCTTTCTCTCTGTTATTTTTTTTTTTGTCATTTAAATCACAAACAATATACAATCAATTAGTTTTAACTGAACATCCAAATGTTTGCTAAACAAATCATTTTGCTTTACCGCATTTACATGGTTTTGGTGCCTCATCAATGTCATCATCATCATCATCATCCAAATCAACAGCATCAAATGCTGGCGTATCGATTCCAAATAATGTGTCAAACAAAAATCGACCAATTCGATTTGAATGCTCATTATTTCTTCTACTAACATTATTTACACGATGATAATTGAAATGTTGAAAGCTATTTGTCACATTCGTCACACCGTTTATGTATGCATCAACATGAGTCATCGATTCTAATAAACATATCGTTAAAATAACATATGCTATACAAAAACATAATTGTGAATACGATTTAGTATTTAATGATAGTGCTATTTGTCGTTGGCTTCTTTTCACTTTCATTTTCATTTTTTGAAACGTGCGCTCCTGTTCAATTTCTATCGATTTATGTTATTCTTCATCAAGCAAACACTTTATACGTTTGTGATCATGTTAAGTTGGTTGATTTTTTTTTCTCTATTCGTTCGTTAGTTTGTTGATTTTCTTTTCTCTAAAAACAAATTACAGTCAATTTCAACTTATTATTGATGATAACAATATCATATAGAGTATCGTTGAGTTGAACGCTTTCGCAATCGAGATGTAATTGTATATGATTGCAATTTTCTCGTAATTTATCACAATAATTTCTTTTTTTTTTTTTTGCAAAATAAATCTATTCACTGTTTGTTGAACGGTTTTCGTGTTTGATTCATTCACAGTTTTCGGTGAGATCAATTTGTCCGAGATGAATACATTTAGACAAACAAGCAATCGAGTGAGAGCAGGAGAATGGGTAAATACGTTAAACTACTCTTTGCTCAAATTGAAGTGCAACAAATGACAAAAAAATAAAGAGCACATGTCAATTTCACCACTGCACCTATTTATTTAAGCTTCATTCTCAAAACAGAATATTAATTTTAAAAAAGCTGCCACATTGTTTGCCGCGAATTGGCCAAAAAGTGTGAACTATGGGTTTGGCAACAATGCGTTTGCTTTCGATATTTAAGATCAACTTTTATAACTCTTTACTTGTAAAATCATATACAATACACTTGTACACGTCGCCTTATTCCTGTGTTGTTGTTTCTTGCTTTTCCTTTTGGCTCTTGATCCAATTTCAATATTTGTTGTCACTTTATTTCGATTTATATTTTATCACCGTTTAAAGTGTTTTTGTTGGCCACAAATTCAATAGAATCGTTTACAAAAATCGTTTCGGCCAATTGTTTCGGTGTTGACGTGATGTCTGTGTTGAATGCTGAATGAAATGTTGTAATGTGGTGCACGAAATGAGAGAGGAGAGAGGCAATAACAGTAAAGAAGAGATAGAGACAACAAACGAATTTTATCGAACGAGGAATATGCACGACTAAACTGTGTCAGATATTTTATCACACTGTTTAACGTTCGATTGCCATTCACAAGTCAAAGTTGTTGTTGGCCGCGCCGCCGCCAATCGATTGGCTATTTCTTTGTGTCTTTCGGCTTGTAATCTTGCGTGAATGCGTCCGTTCGGACTATTGATGTTCATATTGTGAGCATAACATACTTAACAAAGCTCCGTGTATACAAAAAAAAAAAAAAAAACATTTATGTGGTGTGTGCATGAAAGTGCGCAGATCGCGCGCGTGCCTCATCCACGAAAACAACACCAACAACACAAATATTCATGTTTACATTTTTATGTTTTATTTGTGTATTGGATTGATGGTTGTTGAATGATCTTTTTTGTATTATTTTTCGAGTAGACGATACCATGAGAGAAAGAGCAAGCACTAATAGTGAGAGAGCAGGGCAGAGCAGAGATCTCACCATGTGTCAGCTTAATTGAGTGGTCATCACATTTTGTCGATCACATTGAAAGAAAAAAAAAAAGAAAAGAAAATTTCAAACACACAAAAGACTAACCGAACCGTAATGAAGAATACACGAAACTTTAAAAACATGTGTGACTTTCATTCATAGTTAGTGTTCCATTTATTTTTTCTTCTCTTCATTTCTGTTGCCATCTCGGCCAATCGAATCAAATTTGATGCGTACGAAGAGAGAAAAAAAAGAAAGTTTCATTGTGCCTATTTTTCTAATAGAATTGAAGAAAATAACTTGGTGATGCGTTTGATTCCAAAGGTTGAATCAAATTGAGAGTGAACTAAAATGCATATCAAAGGGAATTCGATGTCCGAATCGCAATGTTCGATCGAAGAAAAAGTTTCATCGATTTCGTGATGCTATCACGACCAACTATAATAAAACTTTCACTAGATCAGACACATCCATTTTGATATATATGTGTTCGTATGTACGCAACACAGTATTAACGTATTATCAATCTAACTACTGTAACATACCAGAACACCATGTGTGGAATAGAAAAAGAAATGGACAAGTGTACAAGAGTGTCTTTTTTTGTTTTTCTTCTTCGCTGTCTTTGTCTTTGTCGTCGTCGTCGTCGTCGTCATCGTCAACATGTTACCAATTTTGGGGAAAGTATTTCTTCATTCGAAGAATTATTTTCACTTGTAATCAACATAGACTAGGCCCATTGAATCGCGGTTACTTCTTGGGCCATTTTGTATTTTGGAAAGTGTTTATGAATCAATGTCACGTGTCTGTTCACATGGCTTTCATATTCTGAATGAATAAATGCATCGATAACCACCGGCATGGTCTTTAGTTCGAATAAGATTTCAGAACGATTGAAAACATATTACTCAATCGATTAGTTTCATTTTTCTTTTACATATCAAAAACCTGCTGACAACTAGTTGCAATATCGTGTACGTGAATATCTATCGTAAATGTTATATAAATTGGTATTGTCTCCGCAACGAATTGCATTTTATTTAGTGGACCGTGAAAAATACGATGTGTGGATATGTTGTGTTTGCGTGTGCTGGTTGTTATTACTTGTTGCTGTTGTTCTTGTTTTAGTTCCATCAAATTATATTGCAACATTACCGGTTGTTCGTTGTCAAAGATGTTTCATCAAGAATATGTCATATGTATATGCAACAAACAAATTAGTACATACCTCTCGAATGCAGTTCTTTCAATTGCTCAAACTATATATGTAGTATTGTTGTTGTTCTCATTTTATGCTATGTGTGCGTGCATGAGGTATTTAAGATGATCGGAAGTTAATAATAAATATTGTGTTTCAAAAAATTATCCAAATTATCGCGTGCAGTACATGAATTCTAAACGCGGAATGAACACAAATAACTGCAAATAGTACATTTTTTTATCTCACTTTTTGTTCCCATTTACTACAGCCACAAAAAACGATTTTTGTTTAAATTGTCATATAATGTCATTCCAAGTATTTAGTTTTTAAAATTGTGTGCATTCAGCATCTCTGGCTCGAAAATCTGAGAATTCCATAGTGAGTTGAAATGCTGTGCGCATGGACGGAAGGTAGAAAGGCAAGCAATATCGTGTTTTATGATAAAAAAGACCGTGAATTGTAATTGACATTTTTTAACGGTTTTTATGAGTTTGCTTTTTTCCACATTTTCAGTGCTTGAACAACACTGATAACATATATCGCTGAAAAAAAAAACAAAGTATGATGAAATTGTGAAATGTGTGGAAAGTTGTTTTTTAAAAAAATGTAATTGAGCGTAGTTCTTACGTAGAATAAATGGAAAGATATGTGCGATTGCATATCTGAAGTGTGTTTTGATCTCTTGAGTCATCGCAATCAGCTGTTTTTATTATTTCACATCGGAACATTATTGTCATATATGGATGACCTTTTTTGGATTATTTTCCAGGCATTTTTATGTCTCTTTTATTTTGTTGATTTAGAAATGGATTTTAGAAAAAGCGCAAAACAAAAAGAGTTTTATTGACTATCGATTGGTGTGTTACACGAACGAAAATTGCTATAGACGAGAGGGTATAGAAAAAAAAATTGATGAAAGAATTCATATGCATAGCATAACAGAATAAACGACTTAAATCCAGAAATAGCGGTAAAAAGTGGCAGCAACTTCATTAAAATTCAGTACGAATATTCTTTTAGACTCTTTTTTTTAATTCCATCTTTACCTGTTACTTCTTTCTCTTGGTGTGTCGTCTGTGTTGAGTGTGTGGCTTCTTTTTATTCAATTTTATTTATTTATTTATTTTTTTCGCCTTGCTTTACCGTACTCCGTTGCCATTTACATATTCATGTGCGCGCATGAGAGCGCTGTATTGTGCGTTATTCGATGGCAAGTTCAATTCAAAGATGTTGTCACATATCGAACACAACCAGTTTATGCGGAAGACATCATATTCAGTGTGTGTGCCTATGTTGTTTGGTACTCATTTCGTTTATTGGAATTGATCAGAGTTCGATGATTGTCCTGCTTATGAGAGCACAACCAACCAGCACAAATACTAGAACGTATTAGCGGTGAAACGGCATTTTAACCATTTTCGATTTTAAAATCAAATAATAAATTAACCCATTTATTTCAGTGTAGTTTTTCTTCGTCTCAATTTTAGATCGATTGACAAATTAGAGCGACACGACAGAAAGAGAACGATCTATCTGAACTGTGAATATTCAATCCCGTGATTTTTTTTTTCTTTGTCAACGTTTTTTATCAACGTGAAGCACACTGTTTAACCATACCGTCACATAAAATAGCTCAACATCCAATATGATCAATTTACACATCCTTTCATTGTTGGCCATTTTGATATTTTCAACATTTTGTTGTGCCGTGAGTTTTCTTTTTTCAAAAAAAAAAAATTATTGTTTAATTTGAAATGTGCAATCATTCACTGCATAATTTTTGATAAATTAAATCCTAGGATAACATTCCAACAAATGTCACAGATAATCTAAAAATTGAACCAGAAGATCTTAAACAAGATTTGAACGATACATTCATTGTTAGTGCAATTACAAATGGAGGCGGCGGGGGAGCAAGCGATCGTAATCCAATAAGTGATTGGATTGTTGGTATCATCGGCGGAAGACCAACGGAAAAACCAATACAACTAGATCCACCCCAAAATTGTGAACCGTGCAGTTAAGTCCAATTCACTGTTTATATAAACTATTGAAAATTTAAAATGTCACTTGGACGACTTTTTTTAGCATAGAGTGCATGTATTTAAAGAAAATTATTTGTTGTTCAGGTTGCGGTATTGCAAATAAACAAAAACGTATCGTTGGCGGTCATGAAACGGAAGTCAATCAGTATCCATGGATGGCATTGCTTACATACAGCAATCGCTTTTATTGTGGAGCAACATTAATAAATGATCGTTATGTGATGACTGCTGCACATTGTGTTAGTGGATTCAACAAAGATCGAATCGGAGTCACTTTACTCGAACACGATCGATCCAAACCAGGCGAGACTACATTAATCAAACGAAAGGTTTTGTCATATACATTGAATGCCGTTATTTTTACAACGATTTAACGAACATTTTTGTTCTAGGTTTTGCGCATTATTAAGCATGCTGGTTACAGTCCAACGAACTTCAACAACGACATTGGTAAAGAGTGATGCATTTTTTTTTTAAATTTAAGTGAATTTTCGGTAAATTTGTCCTTTCTAGCTCTTTTGCGATTGGACAATGAGGTGAAATTTACAAATATCTTGAAGCCTGTATGTATGCCAACGCGCGGAAAGAGTTTCTCTCATCTCGATGTAAGTAAACCAAAAAGTAACTTATAACAAGTATTTAATCATCTAAATGGTCTGAATATCGTAGGGAATAGCAACTGGATGGGGAGCTACAAAAGGTAAACAACCAAAGATTATCCATTGTGTCAATTTGATTTATTTAAAACACCCACATTTTTTCAATTGCTACTACAGAACAAGGAGACATTTCGCCAAATTTGCAAGAAGTAACGGTACCAATTCTATCAAACACTGAATGTCGCAAAACTGGATATGGTGCATCACGAATCACCGATAATATGCTTTGTGCTGGCTTTAAAGATGGTGCAAAAGACTCGTGCCAAGTAGGTCACATTGACAATCGAATTTTTGGTGTGAAATAAAGAAAAGAAACATGTGTATTGTAAATTTTGTTTTGTCTAGGGCGACAGTGGTGGACCACTTCATATTGTAAACGAAACACTTTACCAAGTGGTTGGTATTGTGAGCTGGGGCGAAGGTTGTGCTCAACCAGACTATCCAGGCGTTTATACACGGTATTTCTTTCATTCTCTTAGCGGATTTTATGATTTCATATTTTTATGTGATTTTTTCGTTTGCAACGACAGAGTCAACCGTTATCGAACATGGATTAAGAGCAATACAAGAGATGCTTGCTACTGTGACGACTAGTGATGTGCAATATTAGTGATATGCGAAGCAATAACATTTTAAAAAAAACTAAACAAAAACGAAACACACAATTCCGTTGATTCGACTAAGATTCAACAACAATTTTTTCTTCCTTTTTTCAAACAAAATCGAATGCGATATGAATAAGCAGCATTCATAAATTATTTCGTTTCATATTTCTCTAATTTATATTTATTTATTTATCAATCAATAAATTCAGCAAATAAAATAAAAAGAAATGGACAATTTGGTTTTATTCATTTTAAAAATAATATGTCACTTTGAATGTGACCCGATTCGTGCTGCATTATCGACTCGTATGGTCCGCATTCACTTTACCGCACAAGCGTCGATGAAGTGCTTGGCGTTTAAACAAAGCCGTTAACGGATTTCATTTCATATTGGAAGGACGCCTGTCATCGTTCCCTTAAAAATTCTAAATTTGTCGTTTTAATTTTATTTTTCGAAAATTAAAAAAAAAATCAAGTAAATAGAGAAAAAGAACCATCATCGAAATTATATAGAGTTTATAAATTTGTTGTGGTATTAAATTTTGGTGTGGATGATAGATTGCAGTCAACCGGTAGATGTGAATGTGAGTCAATATAATAGAAATGTATACTAAGACAGCATACACTCACTCACTCACATACACTCACACGCAACCAGAATACAAGTTCTCTCGTAAACATAGTCATTTGCGACCGCCATTTTTCGCTTGATTTTTTTTTGTCAGAAGACTCACACGGTGTTTACGTACACAACTAAAAGTAAAAAATTTATGTAAATTCTAAAGATTATCGAGAATAAAATCGACGAAAATCGAATTTAATTTGTGAAAATTGTGCGTTTAGCGCATAAAAACTGTGAATTTCGAATGTGAATTGAATGAATTTAGTGAATATTGTGCTGTGTTGTGCGACGCATCAAAACAATCAAATACACAAATTTCAATTACGAATACGATTCCAGTGTGAATTTAATGCATCACAACAACTTTGCAACACCGTATCGTTCTATTTTGCGCCAATTTTATCGTCTAGAGAAAAAAACAGCATTTATGTAATGCACATTTTGCGCTCGCCAATGATAATATCGTTTATGAAATATATGCGCGCTCAAATTCACAGAAATGAACTATAAAAATGATAACCATTTCCATTTGTGCGATGCTCTTGCTATATATGTACAGTTGAGCACGAAGAGAAAAGAGTACCAATGACCAAAATATAAAGCATTCTAATGAACACAAGTGACAAAATAGTGACTATGATTGAGAACTAAACGATATAGCTTTACTGTAAAATCTTTTGTGTTTTTTATTATTATTATTTTTTTTTACTTTTTTCATTCGTTTTGATTTTTCCGTTCAAAATCAAGAGAATCGTAAATTCCCGATTCGTCGAATCCAATTCGATTCAGTGTGTATGAAGTTATTTAAAGAGCGCGAATCAACACGGATTGCATTCGTCTAGCGCGCGCTGTCAATTGGCTACTGCTGAACAATAACCTAAACGTAAACATCGAAATGTTTTCGATGCCGTTTGAATAAAAAGAAATTCGGGCGAGAAAATAGAAAACAAAATTTTTAATCGATTTTTAGATTTAAACAAAAAGAAAATATAGAGAGGAGTAGGGAAAAAAACACGGTGAAAAAGTGGAACGAAGCCGTTTCATTGTGTGTACAGTTGTGAAGTGAATAAAATTCAATTGGTTTTTATATTGTTGTCAAAATGTTCTACGCACATATTGTATTGGCCAAAAAAGGGCCATTGGCCCGAATTTGGTTGGCCGCTCATTGGGATAAAAAATTGACCAAAGCGCACGTTTTTGAAACGAACATTGAACAGAGTGTCGATGGTATAATGCAGCCAAAAGTGAAATTGGCATTGCGTACATCGGGTCATTTGTTGCTTGGAGTCGTTCGCATCTATTCAAGAAAAGCCAAATATTTACTTGCCGATTGTAATGAAGCTTTTGTCAAAATTAAAATGGCATTTCGACCGGGAATGGTCGATTTGCCGGAAGAACATCGCGAAGCGGCCGTTAATGCAATTACACTTCCAGAAGTTTTTCACGATTTTGATACGGCGCTGCCTGAATTAAAGTAAGTTACCAAATTTACATTTCTTTTTCAGTACAGTAACTACGTAACTAGTATTTGCATTAATGTTTTGTATTATAATTTTGTGATACAGTGAAGTAGATATAGAAGCACAGTTTTCTATAAATCAATCAAGAGCCGATGAGATTACAATGCGCGAAGACTACGGTGCCCTGCCGATGACAATTCATGATGATGGCTTCGGTGATATTGGCTTTGATGCCGATGGTCCAGATTTCATTCGTGATGATGTCGATACAACCATTGATGTAAGCATTTTACAATCTAAATAAATAATATAATACATAGGCAACGACGATTGAATGCATCTCATTTTATCTTCATTCGAAAATAAATAGGAACATTTGATCAGTGAAGAATTGGACCTCGACGAACGCACATTAAAAGAACCAATTGCTGGAACATCACGTTCAATGCAAGAATTGGATTCGTCGCAAATGATCACCGATGATGGTTTCGGTGGAAGCGGTTTTGGTCGTTAGTATTTTTAACCAATCTATTGTTCGAATAATTGTCAAGCTATTGTTTTAAACGATGCGTTTATTTATTTTGCACAAAATAGAAGAACCAGCGGCCGGTTTATTCGAAGGTGATTTATTCGCCGATGCACCATTACCACAGTCAACGATGCAACAAATCGAACATGATTCCGAGGATGATTTGGATGCCGGTTGGGATATGGGCGCACATTCAACGGCGTCAAGGTAAATAATCGATTTTTCAAGAAAAAGTAATGATAGTCGGTTGAAACAAAAACTAAATATATGAATATCATATCAGCTCGGTCGGTTCAAGACCGCCAACACCAATGCAAGCGGGACCATCACAAATGATGGACATTCGAGCGCCATCGGTAACATCACCAACACAACAGCAGCTCGATGATATACCGCATATCGGTGAAGGTCCAGAGATATCTGCTGACGATGGTTTACCAAGTGCGGCTGCCGATGCTGTCGAAAGTGCACACGATCAAGAAGATGAGCATGAACTACATGACGAAGAAAGTTTTGCACTGGCACCGATCGATGCATCAGCGCTGAAAGGAATCACAAAAACCAAACGAAAACGTAAACTTATTGTGGACGAAGTGAAAAACATCTCCGGCGAAGAGATGAAAAGTCAATTGGCAAACACATCGGACATTATAACGACATTAGATTTGGCGCCGCCAACAAAACGACTTATGTACTGGAAAGAAACGGGTGGCGTTGAAAAATTGTTCGCCTTACCATCCAGAGATATTCCAGCCAGAGAATTGTCAAAGAACTATCAACGGAATTTAACATCACGATCGACGGGCGTTGAAGATTTTTCAATGCTTGGTCCGGCCGATGCATTGGCATTAGATCAATATCAAGAACAACCGCAAGTAATTTTACAACAACCAGAGCCAGCTGTTCCGGGTAAACGTGGCCGAAAGCGCAAGGTCCAAGAGACTCAAGCACAAGTGCCAGAAGTACGGGCAGCTGAATTACAAGAAGAATCATTAGACGTACTACCACCGCCACAAACACCTCAAATGCCAAGTCCAGTTCGTGAAAGTGTATCACATTTGGATGGCGATATTCCGCTCGCATACACATCAAACAATCTGTCTGTACCATCTGGAATGACGCCGGTATGTTAATGTTTCGTTTTTTTTTCTTTTTAATTTTATCTCGTTTACTCTCTGGTAAATGCGTTTCAATATTATTATTAATATTTTTGTTTTTAGCTTCATGGTGGTATGACACCAGTTAGTTTGCATGGTGATTATGCGGCCGCATTTACACCATTAGATCATGGTATGATGACACCACAACATCCGAGCCTCGATCAAATTGAATCGATACCAAATTTGCCGGTCGATCAAGTGTCATCCATCTTGAATGGAACTGAAATGGAAGGATTCGCCAATATGGGTTATGACGATAGTCATCAAATTGGTGGACCAGGCATGTCAGAACGCATCGCTAGCGATTGGAATGATGATTACGATTTCCCGCCATCAGTTGTTGCACCTGTAAGTATTTGGTTCAAAATTGAGAATACCTTTGCACTTTTACATCGACCATTTTAATATTTGAACTTTTTATTTTGAACAAAATTACAGCAACCGGGCGATGAACAAATGGAAAACGAAACCGACGAACAATTCGAAGAACGTGTGCTAAATAAGCGGGCAGCTCAAATGTTTGTTTCAGTTCGGGCACGTTTACAAAAGCAAGACAGCATACAATTGTCAGAAATGACATACAGAAACAATCGAAAACAGGTGAATATCCCATGCAACATTTATAAATTCAAAATGCCGTTCCGAATACAAATTAATCGAAATACTTTGTTATTTTACAGGCGGCACAAAAATTCTATTCGTTATTGGTGTTAAAGAAATTCCAAGCGCTAGAAATAAGACAAGACGTGGCATATGGTGATATTGCTGTAACAAAAGGAATTATGTTTGATAATCCAAAACTCTAAATGGGGAGCACATTTAAAACACTCTCCATCTCTCTCATACACACAGACACAAAAACAAACACATCCACTTATACATATGTTACAATAAGATGCTTTACACCCTTTATTGATTTGCCTCTAGAGACTAGATTTAAGCGAAACATTAAACAGAAGAAAAAAACATATACCCGTTTATATAATATATATGTCTAAAAATCAATTTTCCAATCAAAAAATGATTAGTGAATCAAATGTTTGTATGTGTAACTGATTTTTGTATAGCAAAAATGTTATTTTTGTTTATACTGACTTAGTCAAAGTATCAGTCTATTCTAAGCAAATCTAAACAAAAGCACAAAAAATACATTGGCATCATGAATAGAGCCGAGAACATAGCCAAGACAACAACAACAACAAAGAAAATGAGCAAAATTAACAATAAATGCAACAGAACACACATTAAGCATTGTAAACTGTCGTGAAACTGGTGCACACGTGAAATTCAATGCGTAAAATACGCTACCTGTGCTGATTGGCAGATTTATCGCTTCGAGGTCTCCTCTCCATTTGAAAATGCCAAATTCATGCATTTTATATTATTCATGCATCAGTTTCGTGACTCATTTTTATCTCCATTACAAAAAATGTAATGGTCATTTCATTTAATTAAAAACAAACTATAACATAGATTTACTCAATTCAAAAGTGAACAAAAATTATGAAACAATATTATTACGAAGAAGAAGAATAATGAGAAGAAAAAAACGAAGAAAGAATTAGAAGAAAATAAAGCAACCACAAAATAAATGTCAAACTGTACAAAACTATTTTAGATTGTGTAAAAGATGCAAAAACAATAACAAAAATCCAACCGAATCTCATGAATGCATTCGAATGTCCACCAAATATCAAAATCAACTAAACCCATATTCTTTTTAAGTGTGTCTTTGGACACGATATTTTATTGAAATGATAATAAAACAAACAAAGCAAAACATATTTTTAAACGAATAAAAAGATCATTATCTCATTTAAGATATTCATTCGTTGAGATTCGGTCGCATTTTTCGTTAGTTTAAATGTTCTTAGTTCAGAATTTCTATTCATGTTCTATAAGCTCATTTGCGTTTAGCTCTTTGTATCCTAAAATGTAAATAATGTTGTATGTTGTACGAGAATTAATTATGCTGTATGTCAGCCGATTCGTTCGATTCATGCAATCCAAATGAGAAACAAGTAAAACACCTCGGTATAGCCACTGAATAGGTCGTGTCATGTTTTTATTTTATATTTATTTCATGCCACACACACACACACACACGCACTTTTAACTTTTAGTTAGTTTAATTTTCGATAATTATACCGTATAGGATCAACATCGTTTTTGTTTTTGATCTATTTCTCTAAAGTGCTACGAAAAAAAGCAAATAATCAATAGAAAATAGTTGTAAGGTGTCTATTTCAAATGGAGGCACATTTGCATCATTGTAGAGCATTCAGAGTTTATAATCGTTGCGTGTTTTGCTGTCATGCGTCGCTTAAAAAACCAAATCCAAATAGACACTCTACAATTATTTTAGAGTCTTACACGCAAACCAAAATGTTTAAGTATGATTATTGCAACTTGTTCGAATTCGCGTTGTCGCCTAATACTCGGTTGCAGCATCTATCGAATGCCTAGAGGTTTTTTTTTGTTGGGTGAACTGAATTTATATCCAGTGAAAATGTGCAACTTTAATTTCTTCATCGCTCGTAGCAAATCGTGTTGGATTTTGTGTGTGTGTGTGTGTGTGTGTGTAGTATACACTATGACTACGGAATAACCAATGCCAAAATAAAAACACTTATTTTATTTTATTATCATAAAATTATTATTTTTTTTTTCTTTCATTCATTATACAATTGTTCGATGATTTAACTTAAATTTTTATTTCTTTCCATTTCTATATCTCTCACTCTCAAATATGAACAACAACTTTTTTTTTTAATTTGCAATTTAATTTACGAGAAAAAATAAGAAAAAAAGGCTACATATAATTTGTAAGAAAATGATAGTTAGTAGAAAAATTATTAACACTCTGGCGCCGTGTATGGGGTTTGCTGGGGTACAAAACTAACCACTTCTTTGAAAACTAATTCTGTTGCAAAATATGGAAAAAACATTGGAAGAAGAAGAAGAACAAAAAAAAAAAGATAAACAAAAATCAAGTAATAAATTTTAAAGAAACTGATAAATGATTTGTGTTTTAAATTAGTGTTATGCATTTACCTTTCCATTTTTCGACTGGTAAATCCATGTCTTCGAAAGATTGATCGTAGAGTGGAGATGTTGGTTCGTCATTTGGATCGGCATATTTCTCCAAATACGGATGGGCCAAGGCCTGCTCGGCTGTAATTCGTTTGTCCGCATCCAATTCAAGCATTTTCTCTAATAAATCTATGGCAAGTGGATTGGCTCCACGGAACACTGTACTAAAGTCCTTTTTCTTCGTTGGTGGTAATGATTTAATGTAATTTCGTGCCTGCAATTAAACATACGATTTTTCCATTTTTGCTTTCTTATTTCAATTATATTAATATGTTTCCATGCAAACTTACACTCTCCGATGAAATTTTCGACATAAAATCATCGGGCGGCGTTCCAAGTACATCCATAATCAAATTAAGTTGTTGTATATCTTGCAAATGATTGAATAAATAAATGGTTTTGTTGAAAATTTATAATAATAAATAGTACACTTACGATCGGTTCCTGGAAATAGTGTACGTCCCGTAAGTAATTCAGCCATGATACATCCAACCGACCAAATGTCCACTGTTTGCGTGTAATGCATCCAGTTGAGCATTATTTCTGGTGCACGATACCATCTAAATGAAATAAATGAATCAGAGATTGGTTGTAAATTAAATAAAACACTATAATATACAAATTACCTAGTCGCCACATAGCCGGTCATTTCATTTTCCGTTGGACGTGCCAAACCAAAATCTAAAATTTTCAATTCGCAATCCTCATTAACGGCAATGTTTGATGGCTTAAGATCCTATATCAACAGACAACCACACAAATTAAATACAGAATAATACACGCATGTACGCACAATAAAAAAAAATTGAATACAATTTCAATTCAAAAGCAAACAAATCTATAAATTAGAACATACACGATGTATAATACCGGCACTGTGTATATATTTAAGACCTCGAAGTATTTGATACACCAAAAATTGCACATGATCATCGGATAAACGTTGCGTTCGTATGATGTTATTCAAATCGGCGCCCATCAAATGTGTACATAAATACACTTGTTGAAATGCATCGAGCGTATTGCTGCCCGGATGAAATACATCCAATAGACCGATAACATTTTCATGATTCATGTGTTTTAACAAGCGTAGCTCACGATAGGTACGCTTTGCATGCACAGCTGATTGGAAGGGTCGTGCCAATTTTTTGATTGCAACTCTGACATTGTAATTTGTATCCAGCGATGAACTATTATTATTATCAATTGAACGATGGAAGAAAGGAAAATTAATCACAATTAGTAAAATGAAAATAGACAATCGATTCGTTTGTATAAACAGAAATGCGGAAATCAAATTTATCGATGACGACGATGATGATAAAATTCATGATAAAATTGATTGGCTTCGATGAAAATCTGAAAACCATACTATCTCGTGTATAATATGTATGAAATCAATTCAATGTTTATGGCATTTTTACTCGAAACATTTTATTTTTAATCAATGACTATAGAATTCGTTACACATAGCATAATTTATTACATAGAACGATTCAATGCAATCGATTAACTTGACATTTTTCGACATGAACACAAACAGTTTCTCTCTCCCTCTCTCTTTCTCTCTCTCTCTACCTGAGAAACGACAATGTTTCAAGACTAAATATGTTTTTGTTTTTTCAACTCGAATGTAAGTGCCATGAAATGCAAATATAAACGGATTTACTTTGTAAGAGACCTTTCATGTGGAAATATTTTCTTTGGTTGTCAGTGTTGGTTTTTTTTCTGATTGCGCGTTCACCTTTCCGAAACTTGACGTAAAATTCTGTTACACACACTTCTTATCATTTATGATCAAATAAAGCAAATGAATAAATACAACAACAATAACAAACCGTAGAGAAAATGTGGTGCTTACGATTTAATATTCTGATTTATTCTTGTCGACCGAATCACACACAATTTATCGCAATATCGTGAAATGTAAACACACTGAATTAATCATTTAATTTTAAAATTCAACTGACTAACTACATGGGGTTTTCAGATTTCTGTCTTTCAATGTGAGAAAAGTATTAACATTTTATCGACCATCTGATCAATAAAAACAATTTCCAAACATGAATGATGAAAACTGTAATTGATAATTGAATGACGTTTGTTAGATGTATTCTGTATGAGAGTATTTAAAATGAATGGTTTATAAACATGAATCGAACGAAAAAGTCCAATTCAAAAAGTATCTATTGCGAATGCAATTCGATTTCAAGATGAAAGAGAAAAAGAAAATGTAATTCAGTGTCTTTATTAAGCTGCATTCAATCTTATTCAATGTTGTTGTTGATATTTTGTTTTAGTTTTTGCAGGTAATTGCTCTGTGAATTGATTGCATTTTTAATGAGATCTATGCATTACAAAAAAGGCAATCATGTGAACAAGAAAGCGCCGCATATGTACACCAACGAAAGCGAATGAAAAAGAGAGAAAACTAAAATGGTAACAGCCAAAGGTATAATTGTAGGTGAAAATTGTCGAAAAAAGGTGTGTGTATATACCTGTATATGCGTGTGTTATGCTTTGTCTCAAGGATGCTGTTTCTAAATCATTTCAAAAATGCTTTAAATTAAGCGATGAAATAAACAACGGTATGTTCCAACATTTAAAAAAATAAATATATATTTGTTTTTTTTGTCTCGTCTAATGAAATTGTCGTGGCTTCCAACATTGGATTTTGTTTGTATGCTTTCATCCATTTGATTCGTTTGGTTTATGAATAAGCGGTGAGAAGTTCTCAAGAGAACAAAGTTTTTGACCCTAATTTACGACAAAACACGCATCTCAATCAATGGCATATTTCACAATTTGGAATATTTTAGGAATGCCAACATAGAATATATTTACACAAATACACATAGCCTACGCACTAGTTCGTTGTTTGTGTTTGTATTTGAATGATGTCGTCTTGTTTACCGTTTGTTGAACTACAACCACGACCGTACGACCAAAAAAATAAATAAATTCGAATTGTATTTTTGCCCAAAATGACACACACGTATAGTCAGACTGTTAAAAATAAAACTAGTATGTATATCCGGCATGAAGAAATGTCACATAATGAGTCAAGCATTAACACGTAGATTTTCTTTCACGTCTTCTACTTTGCAAATTGAATGTTATGAATGTAATTAGATATTATTCTGATGAAATGAACTTAAATTTTTTTGTCTTGATTTGAATATGTTGTATATACACTATTTATTTTTTCTCTGTCAATTGCTGCACATTAATTAATACATACCACACCTGGCCGTAGGCACCTGAACCAACAGGTGTAAGACTCTGATACCTTTCTGGTACTTCCCATTCGGTTCGATTGATTTCAGCTTTGTAAAATTTGGTCATCTTGGCAAACAAATTCGGCTTATTTTGTGTATGATACGCTCGTGTGATTTCGAACCGAATGCAAAACAGACTATGTGTGTACGATGTGTATACTATGTGTGTACAACTGACAAACATTTGACAGCCAACGAAATTGTGTTGCCAACATTTCGATTTTAATAATTACAACATGTTTGAAATCAACTGTCAATCATTTTTAAGGCTGCCTGATTATTTCAGTTTTCTTTATTCTAATGGAATTTCAAACAAAATAACTCCTCATTCATATTCATAACAAATGTACTATCCGATTTGAAGAAGAAGAAAAAACAATGCCAGTCTTATAATCATTTCTTATATCATTCCTCAGTCGTACCAACTGATAAAGTTCTATGGTATCAACAAAACATCGAATAAAACGACGTACAAATTTTGTTCGTTGCGTAAACTAATACATGTTCTTGTATGAGTCTCGGCTCACAATATCAACATCAACACATTTTACGTTGTTTGATATTTGCAAATCTTAAGTACAGACCAATTAAATACGCCGAATTGTTCATTGTACTCTTTTGAAAATAACTTGAATTCTTTTGTGGGAAAAAGTTCGAGAATGCAAAGAATATGAAAAAGTGCTAATCAAATGATTTGGATGAGAAAAAAAGGCAAACTGAATTATGTACTTAAACTTGAGTAAATATGAAGTTTTGACGTTTCCAAATCCAGTTTTGACTGAAGTTTAAGTTCTAAATTATTCCGAGGAAAACAATAGGAATAAAGATGAGATTTGTTGGCGTATTAAAGCACAATTAGATGAAACCGGAATTTTTCTTTTCCTCTATTTTCAATCCATTTGGTCATGACATTCGATAAAATTTGTCGCGTATACAGAACAAAGTGCTTCAACTCATGTGTAATTAAAATTTGTATATGCTGAGAGTGATTAAGAAGTTTTTTGTTTGTAAAGAAAATAAAGAAAAACAGTATCAACACCTATAAAAACAATAAATCGAGAACAATCGGGCAAAGATGTGGTGGCTTCAAAACAACTCGAATTCGTCGAATGCACAAAAATGGCAATTTTTGAAACCATTTCAAATGATGTCAATAATTCAATTAGTAGTGGTGATGGTGTCGCTTGTATCCGCTCAAATGCAGTATCCCCCTGAAAAGGAGGCTTTAGTTCAAACCGATAATAATATATTGCTAAGTTTACCATTTTTGAACGTGTGTTTGACGGTTCAGTCACCAGTCGAAATCTGTTCAATGTACTATGACATGGTTTATAATGTGTATAGCCTTGAATTAAATGGCGATGAAACGAAAAAATTCATTTTAGAAGCGAATCAACATCTTGAAAACAGCAAGTTAACCGCAAAATTTTGCAACATTTTTCGCAATGAATCAAGAAATGTACTTGATAAGCAACCGTTTTCGACAGCAAATAATATAACCAATGTAACGGAATGGATTCAAATGGACAGCATGTGCGAATTAAATTGCATGGAATACAAGAACAGAGTACTAATGATCAAAGACATATGCAAATTCATTTCGGGCGGTTTAAAGTCGATCCTTAAGGAAAAGAAGATAAAAGAAGATCTCAAAAATTTACCTCTAAGCGGACCTGGAAACGGAAAAGTAGACACAGACACAAAACCAAGCAATGAGAAGAAACCAGAAAACAGTAAAAATGTTGAAGGTACCATTAAAAATGAGAATCAAAAATCGATTCAAACATCCGTTGAAAAATCAGTTGGAAAAGCTGCTTCAAATGCCTTACCGAATACAAGCACAAGCACAAATTCAAACCACACCAGTTCGAATCCAGCTTCGACGAAAAGTCTTCGAACGCAATTGAAAGCATCAGAAATTATAAGGCAGCTAGAAAGCTCGGTTCCAGCTGCACAAATTCAACCAAAACCCGTAGATGTTACACCAAAATTATTGAAAAACGCTACATCAAGTGTTGACGTCAACAAAAAAACGAACAATGACAATGATAATGATAATGCTAATGAACAAACAGCGGACAAACAAACTTCCGCTTCATCTGTTGATGCAGACAACGGAGATGAAGTAGACGATGAAAGTCTTAAAGATTTACAGAACAACGAAGGTAATACATTAATTTGAAATTTAAATGAAAAAAATAGCATACATTCATTCGATTTCCGTTAAATCAATTATTTTGAACATTTTATCGTATAGACAATGCGCGCGAAGATGAACAAGATACAGACCAATATCTACCACAGATTGTAAATGGCGAAAACATCAAGAACACTTATATTGATAGCAATAATAATAATAATAATAATAATCTGAAACATAGTCGATTAGAAGCTGATCAGATCGAGAAGATCAGAGAAGATACCGAATCCAGTTTTTTCCCATATTTTATGTTTTTAATGTTTGTTGTTGTCACACTTTATGTTGCTTATCATAATAAGTCTAAAATTTTGGCATTGATGATCGAGGGTCGAAGAAGCCGTAACTATTCATCGCGAAGTGGCGGCAGAAGAAAACATAGCTCAGCTGAATACCGCAAACTTGATTCAAACTTAGAAGAAGCTATACAATCAGATGGTCATGTGCTGTCAACTCAAATTATCTACTAAAATTTGTTCATATTATGACTGTCGAACAGAAAATATATATGAATGTTTTCTTTTCTTTTTAAATTTCGAATGCTACTGGAGATGAGGCCCTATGATAAGTCAATCAAAGCAATGAAACATTTGGATTGACATTACAACGCTTACCGTAAACAAAAAGAAAATTGCTTCATTTTCATGTTTTTGAATAATAATAAGCAACATTTTGTGATGCAATAATTTTTAAGATAGTGAAAATTATAGTCGATAAGATGCATAAAATTGTTTGAACGATCATCAGTGAATAAATTATTATCGTAGAGAGATACAAATTGTTGATTTCATCAACACTTTTCTCCTCTATTTTGGACATTAATTTACTTACTCATTATCTTTGCCAACAATAATTTTCAATAAAATAGATTTCTGAATAAACATTTTATTTCGTTTAATTTATAAACTTACAAGTCATAAAAAGTCATAGCATGTCTTGGGATTTCTTTCATTCTAGATATGTTTTAAAGGGTGAATTTGTCAATATCAAAAATACAAAAAACAGAGTATTCTCGTGTACAAAAAAAGTGACTATTTTGGGACAAACTGACTGACTGTTGACTGTAAAAACAAGCAACCTTAGTTAAATTTATTTAACTTCAATCAATTAAAGTAAGCTATGGTTAACTGCAACAGCTAACTTTAGTTGACAATAATCATAGTCACCCGATAGTCAAAACGTCCCAAAATAATCGCCTGACTGACTGAGTAACTATAGTCGATTGTTTTCCATACAAAATTTTAAAATTCATGAATATAGCTAACTATAGTCACTTACAGTCAATAGTAACTTAGTCACTTTTTTTCCACTCGGGTTGCTCAGCGCTGCTGCCATCCACAGCATATTAAAATATCTTGCTAACCAAGAGTAAGAATGCGTCGTCCGTCACATGCGAAGGTACGTAGCAATTTTTACATTACCGAGAACAACAATGCATCTCTATACAATCATTTGAATGTTTTGAGTCACATAATCGTGAAGAGAACAATGCATTCATTTTTGTTCGCTGTGATGTATATACGTACGACGGACGACGCATTCTCAGCAAAATATTTTCACTCGGGTTTTTCCTCGAAAATCTCAAGAGTAAGAAATGGTAGCATAATCGTTTATGATTGTGGCTTTAGCCAACCCTATAGGGGGTAGACAATTCAAATAGAATTTTTCGTGAGAAGGAAAGAGACAAACATATGGAGTGAAACAAGTTCTTAGAAAACTAAAAAAAAAATAGGGCTCATCATGTCTTATCAAATGTACACGTTATATGTGATTTACTAAAAAAAAAATTTGGAAAAATTAGCATTATTAGAGCCCGTGTCTCCAAGATTTGGGGTCATAACATTTTTGTCGAGAGTCGAGCGCTATCCATATAAATACATTGTGACGTCACACATCTTACACAGAAACGACATCTTTGTAAAACAGACTAACTACAATGTAAAAGTATAGCGAGAGGGGAAGGGAGTAAATAAAAAGGGGAAACAGATACGTTTGATTTACATTGTAGTTAGTCGGTTATTAATAGATGGCGTTTATATAGTGTGCCCTTATTGCGCTTGACTCTCGATTTTTGTGAACTTGAATGTGAACAATGTCTAGAAAACTAGAAAACAAGTAGAAAAACTAGAAAAATCTAGTATTATATTACTCTATATCAGTATATACTACTATATGAATCTACTATATGAATTCAAATGAAAAAGTAAAATATAGTATATATTGAATGAGCAATATAGTCTGTAACCTCACTATTAACATCTCATCCAGACAATATATTCAGCTGCCGTCATCTGGATATTACAACTCATCTGGATATCGTCAGCAGATGATACGAAGTGAAAACAATAGAAGTGATTGTTATAGTAATACCAGTATATAACAAGCTTATATACCTATAACAAGCTTCACCACATAAATATATTTATAGAAAAACATCAATGATCATCGATTTATTTAATCATTAATAAAACTTTAGCACCTTATTTATTACCTTACTGCATGATGAACACCTAAGCTAAGGTGCTAACTAATCAAAAAAAGAAGTCAAAAGTTCAATTAGTACGGCAATACGTTCAAATGCGACTAATTTTCAATTCACACGTTTTTTTTATTATTTCTCGAAAATATTGTACAAAAAATTACAAAATTCTTTAATTCATTCGATGTTTGCATTTGAACTATAAATAAATCATTTTTTTCTCATTTTTACATTTGAATCATTCAAATTAAGATTGAAAATAAAATGTCTGATTCCATTGAAAAGGAAGAAATATAAAGGGTTAAGGGAGACAAGATTTTCTGAATTGTATTGTAATTTAGACAAAAAAAGGTGATATACCATTTTATTGTAGTAGTTATTTTGGCAAAAATAAAATATGTTCTCTTTTTTTGTATAAGAAAGTTTGAGTTAAATATAAGCACAAATGAAATGATTGCTATGTGGAACGGAATAAATTGTAAGCTTTGTCAGTTAATCGAATGTCTGCTGAAGGCAATTTAAAATCAATACTTGCATAACAATTCTTTAATCAATTACACTTTGATAAAACAATTGTGTTGTCTATAGTTTTTTTTTATTATAGGTAATATATCTAAAGCTTTTGATTTGCCGTTGAATCAATTCGTTTGATCTACGTGTATATATATATGTATCTCTTAAAAGTAATAATCATCAGTAGGATATATTCAATCTATATCAGTTAGTCCCCAACTCGATCAATAAACGCTTTCAATTCGATAAAATGATTTTCTTCTCGGTGGCATAACATATGTTATGCATTAGACATTAGACAAACAAAGGTTAAATGAGTTAATGTAACAAAATTGATGCTGTTCTAGAATAATCATTTTTGTCCAAAGTAATTCTACGTTGTAAGCAGTAATCCATTTAATTTAATTGTGCTATAGTTTCTACACCAATTTCTAATTTGGACCAAAAATTCGATATTTTCCATTTTTTTTATTTAAAATAGTCAACAATAAATTGTCTCAATCTGAAATATACGGCGATCGCTTTATGCCTAACAATTGTCATACATAACGTACAAATGAAATTTATGTAAGTGTGTATTACAATGGATTACTGCTACTCACAACGTAGAATTACTTTAGATAAAAATGATTATTCTAGTACTGCTCTGTCCGTAGCGTTTCCTAAAAACTTCTGTACATTTTGTGAAAGGAATGGATAAAATATCGATAATGTTGACAACGAAATAAAATGCAAAAGCAATTAATTACTCTCTCTTGAACTATCTAAAGTTGAAGTTTCGGTGGCGGTGGCGGTGGCGGTGGCAGGAGCTGTAGTGGCGTTGGCAGCATTGCTATTAGAACTTATTTGTGAAAAGAATAAATGCCTTAAAACAGCTGCTTTCGACATACTTTTCATTTGTGAATTCGATGCATCGGATGCGGTCGCCTGTTGACTTGCATCCGCTAATGCTGTCGATTGATTAAGAGATAATTTACTGGGTGACGGTGCTGGTTTCAACTGTGAACTATCTTCAATTGTAGAATCTTTGGTGCTGTCGTCACCAACAATCAATTGATCGGTTTCAGGTGGATTTGCAACAGTACCAGTATTTCGATTTTGTTGTGACAATTCAGACAACCGGTTTCGTTTGCTATATGTCACATCATCTCCCCAAAAACGCTCACTACTCACACTTGCCTTATCTTCATTGCCACTTTCCTATAATGAGATAAATCATAATAAATCATCGGCTGGTGATTCTTACGTTGTGTGTGTGTGTGTGTTTTACATACCAATTCGATAGATTCATCCATGGAATAATAGACAATATTATCAAAACGAACACGCTCTGACACACCATCTTCGCTATTCGATGATCCTATATGCTGTGTTAAATCGAAAATAAACAAAGCTCAATATGGTTGTTTATTCAGAAGAATTGGATTTTTAGTTAAAACAGTTTTTTGCTCCGAATTCTAACCTGTTTGTACATTGATCCGGCCAAAGCCCTTGTTGATGCATTGTCATTTTGTGTATTATTCGACTTTTCACTGACACAAGTCACTGCCGACGCCGTTTCTGACGCACTGACATCAGCTTGTACTTCCATTTTATTACTGAAAAATTTGCATTGAAAAAAAAAATGAACGATTATCGACATAGAACTTGTTTCGCTTGTTTTTTTATTACTGTTAAATGTTTTTTCGAGCTCATTTTTCCGTACTCAATTGAAATGACCATGTTTAAAATGAGTTATTTTGGTGGTTTTTACATGTTACTTACCCAGTAATACTTCCCGATAGAGCTGTGGTTGATTCGCGATTTGCATTCGATTGGGCCAATGTATTAAATGCATTATTGTGCGATGATGCACCTAAATGGCTTCCACTTACAACACTTAAGCTTACTTCACCAATGCTTGTCGCACCAATGCGGGATATAGCATCAACACTAGCTGCATCATGATTCCGCGAACTGCTGTCCTCTTCGTCAATGTCAAATTTAAAACCATCTCGTGTGGTTGACACCGCACAGCCAGCACGGCACAATGATACTGGAACCACACCGTACACGTAAAATAGTAAAATTGGCACACCAATAGCCACGGCCAAGCCAGCCAAAACCGGTGACACAAGCACCTGTTGAAAACAAAAATAAAGCAACAAATGTACAATTGAATATGAGCTTTTTTTTCTTCGAGTTATTACATTAAAAGAGATTTAAAAAAAACCTATCAGGGTTATTCAGAACACATTTAGCAAAACAAGTATCTAAAGGTCACAAAGAATTAATAACATAGACATTGAATGGATACACGAAACGTTCTATACGAGCATTAGTCATTCAACGATAATAATATACCTTTGAATTGATGATTTTAAACCGTATATTTTCTCAAAAGTATCCAAAGCCTTAGAAGAGCCCTTGAATACGTTAAATATCGTCGGTGATACAGCGATTGTGTGTGTGTGTTTTTTAAAGCGCAGATAAGGGGCAACAAAGAGAGATGGAAATGTGGAGAAATGTTAAATGTTACATCTTGATGTGGATTCTGTGTTTGTACGGTGTATTTTGTTACGGACAGCAGCTGCATACGAAACGAAAGCGCATAAGCACAAAACACACACCCATACATATACACATAAATGTGTACCCTTTTTCCTCTTTGGTAATATTCAGAGAGAAAAACACACGCAATGAATATACCGACCTGGATCGAAATATACGGATAAGGATGACGCTTTTGTGCGTCAATTTTGTAGGGACAGAACGAAAACGATTCCACTGTATATATGAATGTGTTCAAATTTCCATCGAGACGGTGTAATTGACAAAGATAGGTAGAGATAATGTGAAAGAAGGAAAGAAAGGACACACACAACAACAACAACCGAATAAAACGAAAGAAAGAAAGAGAATGAGAGAAAAAAGGAAGCGCGACTCAAAAATTGTACTCGAATGAAAGAAAGTTCATTCGCACAGCAACATCGGTTTGATAAAAAAGGCATGGGGTTTTAGTCTACCAAATCATTTCAGTCAGTACTGTTTTAAGGCAAATTCAATAAGACATTACGAGATTTTATTTTCGGCAGCTAGGTAATTACTTAAAGTAAAAAATGGTTTTTGAAAAGTTTCTTCACATTTTATAATCGCAAATAATTGAGTGCAATTGAAATCACTTGTGAAGACTAGTTTACAGTTTTACACTTTTCGTTTACTCATCATAAATTGTTTGAAGATAAATCAAATCATAAAAATAACAAAATAAAAAGTGATTCATTTGATCGATAAAAGAAATTGCATTATATTCCCATATTAAAAACGTATAAAATATTGATATCAAAGCAATGTTATCAGACCTATGAGTATTATCCAAAAATAGACTGCGACCAAAACAGCAGAAAACAACAACAATTATTTGATTGTGGCATAGATCATTTCAATTAAATGTGTGTTAGTCCCTTTATGACACTTGAATTGATTTTAACGCAACCGCGATACATATACAACAAAGTACATAAATTCCAAATGGTCATATAACGTTGAATACAGCAAAAAAAAAAACCACTAGCGTTCCAAAAATAGAAGAGCGTCTCTTATGTCTGGAAATACCCTTAGACTACAGATAGAAGAGCGAGAGAGAAAAAACACGTGTTCGTACAAGGGAGCGACTTCACGAATCGACGCATTTTATGCAAAAAATAATATACATTATTAACACCTTTTTGGCATTTCAAGTCAATTCCACATCCATTTTATGACCGAAGATAAAATCAATCAACGCCTTTATCTTGTGTGTTTGAATGTGTTCGATTTATATCCGCTGGTGCAAACAGTTTTTTATAATGTATTTTTTTTGATTTTCCTTTTTTCAATTTCAAGTGGACAACTAAAATCGATTACATGATGTCGGATACAGAAGAAGACTCAAGCAATTCGGAGAATAATTGGCCAATGAACGAAGACTGGATGTTAGATATATTGAAGGATGATGATAAATCAGAGGCTAAAGTCAAAATCAATGTAATTCAATATCCATAAATAATTTGAATTGCTTTATTATACACGAATTGTGTGTGTGTTTTGTATCGTTGTGTCTATGCTTTTGATGTTGGAACTTGGGAGTGTGTTTTAATCGAAACAATCATGTGTTCTTTTTTTGTCTGCAGTATTTTAGTGCCAAATCAATATGTCAACACGGCGTTAGCAATTTGAGTGATTTAATAATGGCTTCCATCAAATATGAAATAGGTGAAAACAGGAGTGAAAAGCAATTAGACATCGTCATAAAGCTTTTGCCACAAGACCCATTTGGCCGCTATTTTGTGACGATAAATCAATTTGATTTGAGAGAAATTCAATTCTATACGAAGGTACATTTTGTGTTTTTCTTCATCGCCAATCTAATGTATGATTTTTACAAATAATAACAATATTTATCGAATAACATTAGCATCGTGTTTTTACTTGTCCGGTTTTTTTTTTGTTAATGAGCAATGCAAATTGAGTGTCACACGTTTGTTGTTTTTTTCTCAACAAAATTAGCGTTTTTTTTTTCTTCTCTTCCACACAGATACATTCCGACTTAATGACCTTTCAAAATGCGCATTTGAAAACCGGTTGCGAACCAATAGTGATAGCGGTGCCAAAATGTTTTTATTCTAAGTATAAATCTGGTTTCTCCGATGCACCAGACGATAATTCAAGCCCAGAGCCACCAGAGAGTATACTAGTTTTACAAGATATGCGTCCCTTAGGATTTAAGGCAAGAAAGTTAAACGACAATTTATTATAATATATTGGTTTTTTTGTATCCATGCATATATAAAATGCAATCGAACAATATACATATTTACATATATGTTTTTTTTTTTTTTAAATAGGCTGTGAATTTGTCGAATGGTTTGAGTTTGAATGAAGCTGAAGGTGCGATTACAGCAATAGCTGCTGTGCATTCGTTAACACTGGGCATGAAATTGAAGGAAAAGGTTGATCTCAATGAAAAATATCCCGTAAGTTTCATCAGAACTATGTATATGTGAATAACCAAGAAGATAGAGAATTTAATTGATTTTTTTGAATGGGTTAGTTTTTGTTTCAAATAGCAAAGGCAACCGATAGTTATCAGCAATTGGTTGAGCAAGGTTTTCCACAGTTGGTGAGCTTTCTGAAGGGAGTTAATGGATTCAGTAATGAATTGGCCGCCCTGGAAGTCATTCGAATAAAAACCAAAGCAATTATTGAGAAATTACTACAGCCCATTGAACCGATGGGTTTGATAACACACACTGATTTTTGGTGCAATAATTTGTTGCTTAAGGAACAACAAACATCCAATATCGATGACATGAGCAATGAACACGTAGACTGTGTCATTCTTGATTGGCAAATGATTACCTACAGTCGGTAAGATCAATATACCGTATATATATACTGTTTAATTATCATATTAATTTGATGAAACTGGAATAGAAGTGTGTCTGTGTGTTTAATATCGTTGTTATTTATTATTTTGCCTTCAGGCCAACCAATGATCTCGCCTTATTGATTTTGTCATCGTTACCGTCGAAAGTGCGACGCGACAACACACAGAAGCTACTAAATCATTATTATACGATGATGAAAGAGAATCTTAACAAGATCAACATTGATATTGAAGTGACATTGAATTACACAAAAGAAAAACTACTTGACGATTACAAGTAAGCGTACAAGCTTGTGCTTATCAAATAAAGGCTATGGCACGCATGATTCATACATTTTTTTTTCCACATTTCGTTTTGATTTCAGGAAATCACAAGTATTGGCTCTTTTGCTGTGCATCGGATCGGCTGACATTGCATTAGGAAATCAACAAGCCGAACAACGTTTTCTCGATGTCCTTCGTGATCTTTACAAAGATGGTGTTCTCAATATTGAAGAATTATCCTTTTAAGTAGACAACCTACCACGTATAAGGCATAAAATATACACATATATTAGAAAGTTTCGAACAGAAACCGCATAATAAAAATCGAATACACAAAAATATCACCGATAGGGACATATTTTAACATAGCACGTACAATACTAAACACTATGCAATAAAGCAACAGCTATTATTTAAAGAAAATGAGTAAAATACGAAATTAATCTATTACACCGAAGATTGGAAATTGATAACAGCGCTTTAATTAACCTCCATATTAATCAAAATCAATATCAATTTCGATGCGAGCATGTGTGCATTGGAGAAGAAAAAACATGCATCACGAAAGAATTAAACCGAAAAATTGAATGTTTAGAATAAAATTTAGTACAGCAATAGCAGCAACAACAAACTATAGCGTTGAATAAAGTACAGTAAAATCGAATTTAAAATTGAATGTTTCGCTTGCATTGGCAGTGACCTTTGATTTAGATATTTGAATAGCACGAGACTTGATTTTTAAAATTCATTGGACAAAAAATGGGAGAAATATAAACATACCGAAGCAGCAACACCACCGAGTACCGCAAAGTTTCGTTTATGTTTGCCGCATAATCGATATCTGTTGTGCAGTTTTCGACCAATCCAAACGGGTATACCTGTGTAATTGAGTGGTTAATGAAAGTAAAACATTAAAAAACTGATGGCAACAAAACCGAAAATGTCACATTACCTATAATCATAGCCGGAACGGCAATTCCTGCAACTAACGCAATTCCAACTGGTGCTCCAACTAGTGTACCTAATTGCCATAAGAGTTTCTTTTTACGTGACCATGGTTTCTTTCCCCAAAACGTGCAACCCGATGGGCTAAAATGGCGATGACGATATTCGTGATATATTATTGTTAATTTAGTTTTCGCCTTTGATGTGAATGAAAACTCAATGAAATTACCTCAAATAATGTAGATCACTGATTTCTTTCATGCATAACCAACAAAATTCCGAACCACAAACGGCGCACACCATATGATTACATGAGCCATCATCCATTTTAACAATCAAAACTTGACATCGTGGACATGGTTTTATGTCATCAGTACGATGTTGAGAATCTTGGCTAATGCTTCCCGATGGTGCTCGCATTGGGCTTTGTCTCGATGCACGTGCAGCGTCACACGTTTGATCCGGATGCCATTCGGCTTTACAGTGGTAGCAAAAGTTAACATCACAGCCAGGACGCTCACATTTAATGCGCGGACATGACGCACAACCGGTGGCTATAACAGCATAACTATTTACAAAAGATTTATGTTTGATCATTGAATCACATTTATTTTGTTTATTATTAAATGTTTTTCATGATGAATATAAATACCTGCAGTCAGGTGCCGGACACCATCTTGAATCTGGATCAGAGAGTAAAACACGTCGAACCATAAAATCTTCATATTTTTTCATAATCGTTGGCGATGTGCGTAGCAATGCTTCAATATCACTTGGATGCATTGCATCTGAACATTGTGTACATGCAATTTCCGTTCGTGATTCAAATATTTCGATTGTTAAATAACTTTCCAAACATGAACAACACGCATAATGTTTACAATTTAGCATCGTATAAAATCCTTGTGACGGTTCTGGGCTATAGCATAACGGACATTCTTGACTGTTTCGATTCGTTCGATTATTATTATTTGCGTTGCTACTTGAATTACCACCAGTACCAGTAGCGGTGCTGCTACTACCGCCACCGCCACCACCACAACTCACACCACTTGACGATCCACTTGAATTAATTCGTTGATTGTTTCCATTGTGTTGATGTGACGACGATGCATGCGTTCTCTGATTTTGTGCTAACGCGTCCGAATTACTCTGCAAAACAATAACATTATTATGAGCACGTCATCAATTATGTCTATAGATATACATATCAAAAGAAGTGATAAAACTTATTTCAACATATATATCGTATATATGCTATATCCAAAAATAACTTTTCTAATAAATTTGTTTCAATGTCAGTTTAATTCGCTGATTGAACACATACATCTCTCATCTCTCATCTCTAATTATACTAATAAACAAGTCATTGTATGGTAAATTGTGGCATAAAACGACCATATTTCGCATCGTGCCATATCATATCTGATCGTCTCGGGTACCAATTGTCAAATTAAATTAGCAGGTATCCAAATATCATCATCATCATTATGATTATTATTATTAATAATACAATGACGTTTGAATGAAATCAGGAAAATTTGGTGTCAAAATATAAATGCAACTATAAAATGGACGTGAGCTATGCTCGACGACGATCACAAATATATTGGCATCGAAATATGTATGATTTTATTCATTTTTTATTATGTCGGAAATGAAGCCAGAATTTTCAAGAAAAAACCGGCAACGTGACCGACTTCAACGACTCGAGACATCCAATTTGCTTTGGCACATACACACAAGTACAATAGTCATTGAAACAAATAAGATAATAAGTTTAATTTTGACTATCTAATAATAAACATGAATGTATTTTAAACAAAAAATAAATAAAAAAAAGACAACAACAACAACAACCACAACAGCAACAACCAAAAACATGATATTTTCATGAAAAAGGAAGTGATTAGAAAATTACATTCATGTAGATATTTATTGGTTACTGATTTCATGATGTCTATGGATAATTGGTCAATTCGGTATTGTATTTATTCTTGAAACGAAAGTTTGCGATTGGCAAAATAAAAACTTTGAATCATTTCTAGCATGGGCGGAATAGATGAATCCAATCCTTTTCACTTTCAAATCAAATATCACTCTGAACTTCAAATTAGCCCTTAACCGCGTCAATGCAAACTATTTTGTACTTGGTTTTTGTTATCTTTCACGAGTCATAACAACAAAACGTAATGACTGATTATTTATTAGATTTTTTTTAATAGTCGATTGATTATGTAGATAATAAATTTTGATTACGTGTTCTGAGCAATTCTTGAATGTAAAACCAACATTTAAAATGGATAGCATGCAAATTATAATCGAAGGTGTTGCATTGAAAATAAACAAAACAATAATGAACAAGAAACTCACTTTGCTCGATGACACATCGTTGGCGCTGTTCAACGTTGATCCGTGGCTGGATTTTTCATGTTTATTATTTCCGATGCCGTTTGTAACCACACCACCGCTATTCGATGCATTGCCACGTTCAACATCACACATTCGTGTGCTATATGGTGTGCGGCCAGTTCTGGTTTGTAGTAACAATCGTCTCAGCGAAAAATCCGGAAAAATGAAACCATTTCGATTTGAATTGCCGCCGCTATTTGAATTATTACTGCTCATAATTTATGTGTGAATCAAATAATGAATTTAATGTTGTGTTATTCTGTTGAGCGAGCGGATGAGCGCGCACGAACATACAGACACACGATTTGGATTCTATCGGCACTAACACTTGATCACTAGTTTTGAGTATCTATTATTGTTTTGTTTGTTTGTTTTTTTCCTTTCTATTTTTTATTGTTATTCAGCCGACTTTGATTATTACTTCAATTTAACTATGCACCTAAATCATTTCGTTACTTCTAGTTTTTTCGTAGTTGTTTTGTGTAAGACAACGCGTCGTTTGTGAATTGAGCGATGCTGTTTCCTTTTCTCGCGAATTCAATGATTATAATTACTCTATCGTGTATGCATTCAAATATTGAATATTATAACATCTCTGTATTTTTTTTTTCACTCGTTGCTATCATTCTAATTAAAATGTGCTCGTAATTTGTTATGTATTCGTCGTTTCAAAATGAAAAATTAAGATGCGTGAAAATGTGTTTATAAACAATTGATGCTGTTCCGTGTATTACGTACGGCCGGCTGTTTGCGAGTAGGCTTCGATTTATTCAGTCTGAAATGAGGAAAAAGAAACAAAACATTAATGATAATACTTGAACAGAAAAAATTTGAATAATACGTCAATTGGTGGCTGGCGCGTGAAATTGATCTTAAGTTTGAGCTCTTTAAAAACATTCACACACATATCAAGCATCGAGTCCTGTTGCCGAGAATAAACTGACAATTTCTTTTAAAATGTTATTGCGATCAACTGAATTATTGTATGAGGGGCATCAAACGAGCACCGTTCTTTTTTGCTCGTTCATTTTTTATATGTTTTACAGCCAAAGGTTGTATAAATTTATAAATATGCTCATTTATGGGGCAATGTGATGCGAAACAACATCCACACATATACAATACTAAATAGACTGTTTAATATTTGTATAATTGAATTTGTTGCATATTCTCAGTGAATGACGTATTTATCACGGGTCAAATCAAAATAACAAGAAAAAGCACCATTAAAACTGATGATGACAAACATTCTATCAATGATATTATGGCACTAATTCTTTCCTTTTTTTTCGTTCACACTAACTTTATTAATATTCACATATATGCGACGTTATGGAAATGAAGAGCGCGATATTGGTATTGTTACCATAATCAAACGTTTGACGTATTTGTGCGATCAAACTCACGTTTATAGTCATTTATCGCTTAAACGATTGTGATCAGGCGTGCGCCTTTGATTTAAACGGTTTTTTATGCCATATTTAGTGTGATACAAAACGACCGATTTTACTATCTACGTAGATCGTTCCATTATCGTAACACATAATTATGAGTATTGCAATGCGTCATCTGGTGAAGGAAGCAAACCACAAAAAGATGGCATTTCCTTATCATTATGCCGAGAGAGAGAGAGAGAGAGAGAGAGAGAGAGAAAGATCAAGCCATGTTAACTGAAATCCGTTGTTCGTTTCAATGTCGGAAGTTTACTGTTTTTATTTTGGTAGCGCCAAATAAATAATCAGAGAATGGTTTTCATTGTATGTTTTTGATGTTATATTTGATTAGTGTAACGATGAGTGTACGTGATGCGATGGTGTCTCTATCGCTCAGTTCAAGTGAGTTTATTTATTTAAAACGATGAAATACCAGAGCAAACAATGTGATTAATAACAATGAGAGAGAAAAAAAAATCGAAGAGAAAAAGAGAAGCGACAAGTGTAGCACCAATGATGATAAAATCAAAAGCCAACAAATACATACATAGTAGTTTCGACGGTGTATGCGAATCATGAAAAACGACAAAAATCAAAACAGATGCAGAGATTGACCAAATTATAAAGGATCAATTTTGAACGTATTCTGATTTGTCATTTAAACGCAACACATTTTTTCCTCAATCAAACAAAAAAATATATCTCTTTGCCGCATTTATAACATCAGTTTTAACAAGAAAAATCCCATTCACATATTCCGCATAATATTATGAAATAATGTGGACTTTTTTAGAGCAAACAAAAAATGAATTGTTTCGATGTATGTGAATAACCCGTGCACTATTCATACACGAAGGTGAATTGAAAATACTTTAGTATTTGTATATTCTCTCCCTTTGCACCAGCCGTATGGTATCGAAGTTTTAATGGTGCGTGACTACGATCGCATGCATCATTCAAAAGAAAATTTTGCGTGTGATTCTTTTTCATCATTGTTTTATTTGTCAGCAATGAATATCTGCGACCAAGTATTCAATATAATGAAATAAATAAATAAATAAAAATAAAAGTCAGTTGAACTTTGATCGAATTAAATCAACATCATTATGAATCGGAGTAGATAGTCATTTTTGGATTGATCGTTGGTTCCAAATTTTGGCCGATTTTTTTAAAATCCCATACAAATCACAATTAAAATTCAAATGGATCACTATAAAAAAAAACACAAACACACTTCACTTTGATCATAACAATTGTCATATTGACTAACGAAGCGAAATGAATCATAGACCAAACAAAGACAATAATGATGAAATCGAAACCAAATCAACTCTTTTTAGTAGAGACGATAATCGTAACGATCCAGCAATGGAGCAATTTGCGCATATACAACCAAAATAAAAACAACATCATACGGCAAAGGCTTGAGGCGATAATTCGGTACGCTGCATACATATTCAACGATAAAGTGAAAGTAAATGTGGTCCGTCACCGTATTTCTTCCAACGACGTATTTTATTCACTTAGTTTTTGGTTTGTTCGTAAATAAATATTGCCCATTGATCAATGTATTTTATATAAACGACATAAAAACCAAGCCACATTTGTTTCGTTTATTTTTATCGATAAAATTTTTGTTTCCGCAATGTTGACAACTCATTTTCCTGCGATTAAATGGCCATAAACGGCAATGATCGACGTTTCTTGTTTTCTCATCGTCTTCTCTTCCTCCTACTTCGATTTATCTATGTGAAGTTTGTTTCTTCTCCATATGATCGAATGACAACTTTGGTTCAATGTGTAAATGTGTACACCGTTTCTTGCATTCTTCGAATGCTTGACACGGTAAATTTGGTCAAACATTTTTAATTTGACTTGAGCCATCAAATTATCTCATTTGAATCACGAATTTTCCCATTTCTTTGGCATGTATTATTTATTCATTGATTTGCGTAAGTTTTTTTTTGTCTAGCATCGCTAATTTTTTAAACGACATAATTATGATCGAGAGCTCGTGTGCACGTGTATATCAAATACAAAGTCATTGCTATAGTAAGAGGAAGTATATTTTTCGGATTTGAAATTGAAATGAAAAAATTTTGTATTCCATCAAAATCCGTTTCACTCTCTCTTTTTTGTATTTTTTTTTTTTGGCTTTCGGTCTTTCCGCTAGATTTGAAGAGACTCTATGTATTTTCAAATTTATTTAATGTCCAGAAAAAAGAAACAATGATACTTCAGATCAAACGCAATTCATTCATGTTGTGCAAAAATCTCAACGTGATTGTTGGCCCTTAATTGGTTAATTGTGCAATCATTTTGTTTTGTTTTCAATGTGTGTGTGGCAACGAAAACAATTCTCTCATGAGAACAGATATACAGAAAAAAATCATAGATCTGTCTGGGTTTTTGTTTCGCTAAATTCGTCAAATGGTGTTGGCATTTGAAATGCAAAATGGATTTTAGAAGAAGGAGAAAAAAAAGAGTATTTCGTCATTCGAACTGGTATTGAAACTGGATCCATTTGTGTGAGATAGAAGTGCTGGCAGGCATGGTTATATTTTATGTTATTGTTGTTGGACGGTCGACTATCCCACGAAGTAAATGTGCACAATGCGATTATTTGTAAAAATTCTTGTGTTTGCATGGTCGCCCATGATACGATTTGATAATGCACACACACACACACACATACGGCTACCTCGTCACTTCAATATAGGCACATTGCGCACAGATATTAATCACTTGTTCTAAATAGACACAGAAAAAGTCATTCAAATATCAATTATTATTAATGCACACCTAAACATACATTTTTTTGTGTCGTTAGTTCTGTCGTCCCTCAAACAATAATGCGATCATAATTGCTTTCGACAAATGTATTTGCACTCATTATACCTCCCCTTTGTAGTGACATGACATTTATTTTGCATTTGCATTTAATGTTTTAATTTCATATTTTTCATATGATTTAGCGCGGCGTGTGTACGCTAATTTTTGTGTATGTGTGACACACATTGTCTGTGTGTGTTTTCGTTTGTAATTTCGGTATTGTAAGAGATTCGCGAAAACGTTTGAAACATTTCACGCAATGATTTTGCACGACGATGGTCTCGACACGAATAAATTGCATGTACAGTAAAGTGCAAGCCGATATGTGTACCGATCAGCTCCGATGATATGAATCATTTGTAGCGAATTCCAGTTTTGTAACGTATCAATTTTGATGCATTTACTGATTGCACAGTTTTGCGGTGCTAATAATTTCAATTATAAATTTTTGTCGAGTTGTTAAATTTCATACTTGATGTCTGGACCTCGATTTTATACATGTCACTGAACACGCATTCATTCACTAACTTGCAATGTTATCGGTGCACGGTGAATATAATATTAAATTCAAACGGGGAGAATAAAAAAAACAAACTAAAGGCCATACTCAGTTTTATCAGTTTTATTTTCATCGTTTTTTTTTGCAACTGCTAGATGTTATTATTATTAAAGTTCCGATAAATTACCAAGAGAACATCATTGGGTTTTTTTTTCTCAACACAACACATGTATACAACACATACACAATATTTCCGTCAATGCCTATTTGATTTTTCTTTCGTGTGAGTTCGGTTGTATTTTCTATATTTCTTTCATTCTCTCTCTCTTTCTCTTTTGAGATGTTTTGTGTTAAGATTTCCAATGAATTGCTCTGTCACAAGTTCAGTTCTGTTGTTTGTTCATTTGCCTTTTGCTTCGAAACGTTTCATTTAGCAAACAAGTTTCATTTACTCGAAAATATTAATAATTGAATTTCCTATTTATAGCCAAGAGAATCCATCGAAATGACAGTGATAAAACCAAAAAAAAAATATGATTAATGCCAATGAAACTACCAATGAAAAGTCTGTCTTGTGATTTTCGACGGAAAAAAAGCACTCGCACAACTTTATTCACACACTCTTTAAATTATAATTTGGTCCAAATGGCGAAATGGACACAATTGATGGGAAACAAATCAAATTCACCGCTTGGATTTTTTTTCTTCTTTCGATTAATTCGTTACCAACCTAATCACGCAACAATTTGAAGTCTTCTATGTTTAAAATTATTATTATTATTATTTTTTTCGTCTTAAAAACTTACCATCTCTTATTGCCCAATGATGTAAATGTGTGTTTTTTCATCTCTTACTCACTGTGCGATTTTTTTTATGTCTGTCAAACACTGTTGCGTTTTTTCTCTAAAACCAAATAATTTCGTGTGGTTGTATCTCAACTTATGAAAAGCGTGTATTTCTCGCCGTCTTATGTTATTTTTCTTTTCTTCTTTCGTTTTTAAATAATTAAAATAAACGTTAATTGGTGGCGATTGAAATAAAAGAAATATTTTATGATTTGATTCAGTTCGAGAAGACGAAAACCGATAGGCTTTAAATGGAAAATCACTATTTTGAAACGTCCACACAAATAAGATTGACTCACAAATGCACAAATTGCAATCAAATCTATTGCATTTTTGTACGTAGTTTCTGTTCGAATGTGAAACGTTTAATGTACGTCCCTTTACTTCTCTGTCTGTGTTTTTCTGCTCTCACTCACTGCTATATGTCTCAATGTTATTTTATTTTCTTCTTCTTCTTCTTCTTCTTCTTCTTATTTCGTTTGTCTGTGTGTTTAAATATGATGAAACTGTATTGTATTGTATTGTATATGTACATATATTTTGTAGTCGTCGTCTTTGTCGTCGTCTGTTCCACGATAACCGTACAGAAAGCAAAACGATAGTACGTATATTGTTGTTGCTACAGTTCGCAGCGTTAGTGAATGCATATGGATGAATATAACTTTGTTGTAAACTCCTGCTGTGCAAATGTATTTGTGCATACATCGGTGGAACTGTCAACTTATACCGAGTACATATTTAGTACTAAATACTTTACTCTAGATAAAAACCGAAACTTATTAAAGTACATATCAAAATACATACTTTACAGCTTACTGCATTTCGATGGATTTTCCTCATCACTTCTGAAGATCAAACTATTTCTAAATCTATTTCATTTCGTATTCATAATAATTGCGGAAATTGTTGTTCGATGCATATAAATTTAAAAAATGGAATTTATATTTGATGGACTATTACATCACTTTTTTGATCAATCTCAAATAAGCGTACATATATTTACTGTACATAATTTAGAAAATTCCTTCATTCTCTTTCGACAAAATTTTAAAATATACAATGAATTAAATTTCAACTGCAAAACTATGTGTTATCTGGTGTATCGCATTGGGACCAATGGGAAAATGGTATAAAAAATGAGAGAATTCGAGATGATTTGAATGTTGAGTCTTGAATGAAGTGGTTGGAAAGTCAAAATTGAGATGGTTTGGTCATGTCCAGACAATATATTGAACTAATTGGTCAGTTGAGCTGAAAGTACGTTAGCTAGCTAAATGAACTAAAACAATAGAAGTTATTGTTATAATGAACAATCACTTCTATTAAAACAAGAAAAGTGATTCATTATTAAAACAATAACGTCTATTGTTTTCGTCCATTTAGCTGTCTAACGTACTGTCAGCTCAACTGACCAGTTAATTCAATATATTGTCTGGTCATATCCAACGTATAGATGAGTCGCGTTTGCCAAAATAGATCATATATGCTGATGCAGATGGTTCAAGAAAGAGGGGAAGACCCTACAGACGTTATTTGAATGCAGTAGAGTGTGATTTGGATGTTTAGTGTATTATGATTAGTGTAAAAAAACTCAAGACCTGGCTCTTGAGGGGGAAGTTTGGAGAGAAATTGTGGGGAGGATTCGAGTCCAGTCATTTTGCAAGTAGACCACACACCGAACGGTATAATCGGTTTATAAATTATTGTTGTTGTTAAAATTATGTCCACGAGTTGTATAAAAATAAGGACATGCGGGTCGTTTTTAATCGACCTAATTTTATTTAAATAATTTAAGTTTGGTAATTTCGAACAAACGCAATCAAAATTACTATTAATTATTGGGAGAAAATCATGAGGGAATTGCATGACTAATGCGAGTATGGCATGCTTTTGTCAATTGATTTCAACTGAAAAGGAAACAATAAGCGAGTATATCGATGCATTACAATTTTTCCGTCGAATTATATACCCAAACAAATGAAAAGCCTTGAATACAAATCTATCAAACCAAAGTGATAATTTTCTACGTATTACTTCAACATGTGGTGGCCGTTATTGATATTTTTACGATGAGATTTGAACGAATTTAAATAATTTATTTGATATGATGAATTTTCTATAATACTTGGTCGGTTTAAAAACGTGTCATCCCACTCTCGGCCAAATATCGATTGGGCGTTTAACCATTTTTCGCTTTTGCTTTCGCATATTTGCGCCCATTAATGATTTAAAGGGTATGAATGAGACGGTTCTTGGAATATTACTTAGGTTGACTTGACCCCCTTAAAAAAGGGAACATTCTCACAATTTTCCACTTTATGTTCCTTTATGTTCTTTTTTTACCATAGTTCGACATATTTTTGATGACTTAAACTTCGAATATACACACATAAATTTGACCGATGAACTATTCAATTATTTTCCTTATTTTCTTCCTAATCATATCTCATGTCTTTTACGAAATAAAGTATCATCACATCTGACGGGAAAATACCAAATGGCCTAAAAAGGATGTTATGAATTTAAGGATTTTTTTCCCATCAATCATGTTTTTTTTTACTTTTCTACCACATTCAACGTGAGATTTGAAAATTGACGTCTGGAATATTACTATAACTTTGACTTATATATCTCTCTGTCAACGTTCTTGAACGATTTCATTGAACCACTTTTATTGTAGCCCCTTTGATTCATTCATGAACCAAATATGAAAACCGAAGTGTGGTGGATTGCGGTGAAAAATGTTCTTAAGAAATTTAATTAAAATTGTATGTGATTCGGATGGATTTGATTTATGCAATATTCTTCATATTTTATGCGAACCCACGCAAAATACACGTGCCGGCTGTATAATTATTAATTGATCAACACATTTGGATTGGCTTTTCATTCAATCATAAGACCGAATGTAGAAAAATAGACCTTTCGTGCTATCGTAGCATATTGTTTACAAATATGCAAATCAACCTTTTGTTCTACATTCTGAACATTTTGTTTAGAATTGCTTCAGAAAAGCACTGTCCGTATGCGTTTTACACAAATGGTGTCCATGAATAGGAGCTGCGAAAATAGCACTTCTATAGCAGTAGCCATAACATGGGGGAAGATACGAACTCGATTCTAGGAAAAACTAGAACTTATTAGAGGACACCAAGTCTTGAAAAATGTACACGACAAATCCGAAAAACCGCATCTTACACCCCCCGAGCCACAATCACTGTCATTTCTCATCATTTTGCTCCGCACAATGCAGACGGTGTGAAAAAATACTATGATGATTTCCGAAAAGCACTTAATATCCGATTTTTTTGTTCACCCATATGCCAATGATGCGTGATAAAAAGACGGTGTTTTGTCGTGTTGAAACTGTTTGCAGTCTTTATGAATTGTTTCATCTTGGTCATGTTTATTCAAATAATGGTCACGCCACTTTAGCTAATGCTCCCCGATTTTTATTTTTCCATTGAACATAGCTAATGTGATAAAATAAATATTATTGTTGTATTAGCCTGACATTGAACTATCAGCAAGTCAATAGAGAAGTAATTAAGTCATGTAATTAGTCCAAAATCCACGTACCTGTACAGTGTACACAGGTATAAACAAAATACAAATCACAACCGCAATGTGGGTTTTTTGAATTTAATAATTCAACGTACAAACGAAACGAAAAGGAAGGGGAGGAAAAATTAAGAGCTGCCACTGCTGATATTATTGCCGAGCTTTTTTTTATTGTCATTTGTGTTATAAAAGGACAACATGTAATCTTTTTTTCAATATCCTATGCACGAAGGAAACGATTTGCTCTATCAGTCGCAGCAAAACTTTACGGTTGTCGACACTTTCGATAACCGAGCGTATGAATTTGACTATTAATCCTACTTAAAACGTTCGATTTAACGGATTCAAAACAAAAAAAAACACATTCATTTAATCGACATTTTCCAGGTCGATGCAATGTAACACAAATATTGTTTTTGCTTTAAATTGAGCAGCGACAGGTGCATTCTATTTAGTCTGGTGATATATCTATCGAGCAATGTAATAATAATTATCAACAATTTCCGCCATCACAAATTAAAAGCTGCATTTAATGTCAAAACTGTGAAGAAGTGCATTTGTATTTACTACAAACAAATACAAATTATAAGACGAATTTATTTAAATACGACCGAAAAAGCAACAGCTCCCAGTGTTATATGTGAGCTTTTAACCAAACTGACGCGCAAAGGAACGGAATTTAATAAAATCAAAATATACCGACTCAACACGCGTGTTATTCTTTCAACATGAATTACATTGTGATAATTCTTGTGGCTGTGGCTACATCAATGGTTTCATCACTTCCAGCACAAAATCAAAATACTCGATTACGCTTCATGTAAATAAATAATTTATCTGCGATTTTAAAATGTTGTGAAAATTATTAGTTTTATTGAAAAATAACCTATTTAGAGAAAAATTCAAAGTGAAACATTCATGTTGCAAATGAACTTTTTTTTAGCGAAGAATAGATAGATTTTACATAAACGATTAGTTTTTTTTGACGAATTATGACAAAGAACTTAACTTAAGATATTTAACTTATCGTATGATCGCTCAAAAATGACTTAAAGATAATAGTTCATCGATCGTTATACGTTACGATCGTGTCATTCAATTTGCGGTTAACAATCGTTTAGTATGGAAATGCAACATTTATACAAAATCTTTATAAACAAAAAAAAAACTACCTTCAAATAGTGGAAAATACCACTTGCGATGAAAAATGCATTGGAACAAACTTAAAAACAATAAAAAAATTGATAGATTATTTGAAATCTGTAAAAGATAATAAATTTGAAGACACGAATGCCGAAAATTTTGTAATCCCCGAATGTTTGTGAAAAATTATTTTAAAAAACGTTCAATTAACTTCTAAATAGTAGATGAATCTTGTGAAAGATTTTATTTTTTATTATGAATGCTCTCAATTCATAAATGTATACAATAGTTTCATTTTTATCAGTCAGTGCTATATATGTGAGGAGGAGCGTTCTGAGGAGCCGAGGAGTTCCTCAGTGAAGAGCAAAATATTAATAGTTTAAAAAATATCCAAAATCATAATATTATCAATTTAATTATTTTATTATTTTTAATTTTTTGCTCCTCACTGAGAAACAGTATGGCCAAATAAGACTTTTTATATGAAAAACAAAAGCAAATAAATGAAAAAATAAGTGAAGAGAACTTCTTATTCTGATACAAATTTAACGTGATTTTATTTATAAAATGCTAATTTTTTCGGAAACAATGTTTCCATCATCAGGCGAGCTATAAAACTGAAATCTATACAAAAATTATGTCATATGTTAACTACAATTAGAAAATTTAGTTGATGTTTAAAATATGAAACAAATTTTAAAAGAGAAAAATAATCATGGTTACATTGATGACAATATTAAGTGATGGTATTTAAATTGAAAGAGATTTAAATTCAAATAAAAACATAGATCCGATGAAAGTAGGCGCCCGATTCACATATTGAATATGTCATCTGTTGTAATTGGTGATGTTAATTTGTACAAAGAAATTTGTACTTGTGTATTTTGGATGTTCATGTTATGATCCATTGTTTTATGAATAAAAATGTTTTCCCATGCATCCAGATAACGTGGTGCGTTGACTTCTTCAAGAAGTCGAAAACCCGCAAATTCATGGTTATTTTCGAGCATATGATCAGCTGGTGTTGATTTACCGAATTGTTTTTTATGAAATGGTGTATAATGTTCAGAATATCGCTTGCAAACCGTTCTACAACACTGACCGATGTAAACCTTACCATAATTTTGACAAAGAGTTGCATAGATGCCCGATTTATTCAACTCTTCGATTTTATCCTTGGTGCTTTCAAAATAGGTTTTGAGTTTAAAACCAGTACTATTTGGTGAAATGATGATGGAATATTTTTTAAAAATTCTACCAAGGATTGTTGTTAAACCATTCACAAACGTACCGCCTGAATAATGAATTTCTTCATCTTCATTTGGTGTTAACGGGGACAGTGTTGTTAAATCAGCCATTTCTTTTTTACGCTTATAAAAGCAAATAATCAAAAAATAAGTGCATTCGGTCAAAATGTAATTTCTTGCTCATTTTGTTGAATTTAAAAAAATACTGTCTATAAAAAAAATTCAGCCAAATCTAAAATTTGAACACCCCATTGAATATTGATAGACGCTTAACAACATTGAAAACATATAATACTTTAATTACTCCTGACACGAGTCCTTTCATATTTATCACTTTGAGTTTTTTATTTTCTGGACGAGACGCATTTAACTATTCAATTATTGTTTAATTTTCTTCGTAAAAATCTGAGTTTAAGACTGTAAAAATTATAAAAACAATATTAAGTGTTTGGGATGAAATTTAAGTTTAAAAGTAGCATGAATGATTGAATTTATTGTTGTAATTATATAATATGCTTTCAATTTTCCAGGCGGAAAAGGTCCGTTTCTTCTAATTTGGATTTTGATTACGAAGAAGAAGCATTTTTGCCGACTACTATAACAACAACAACCCAAACATCAACTACAGTTATAGCTCGTACAATTCCAACAAAAAAATATCCTCCTGCTAATCAGGGAAACTCTACAGTTGCAAAAAGACCAAAAAATGTTTCAACAAAGCTAGATTTTGGTACTGAATTAACAGCAACTACCGTAACCAAACCCACGATGCCGACGACGACAACTATGTCAGCAAAAACTACAACAACAGAACTTCTAACGACGACAAAACTACCACCAACCACAACAACTATGAGGGAATTCACCACGATCAGTTCAGTACCTCGAACTAAAACTTCTACTGATTTTGAGAATGACAATTCTAATACACATCACACAATAACAACTACAACAATAAAACCAACGATAATGACTATTGATTCAACAACAAGGGCAGTAGTCATAAAAGAACCAGATGAAGTGTCCAAAGATACTGTGATTTTAACATCAAGCACTGTTCCTTCTATACTGCAAACTGAATCTCCAACACAATCCAAAAAGGAAAGTTTTAATACAGATCCCACCGCAACAGCCTCGACCACCATGCCATCGACGACAGTTATGAGGGAATTAAATACGATCAGTTCTATACCCCAAACTGAAACTCCTTCGCAGTCTAAAAATGAGAATTTCATCACAAATCCCATGAAAACCATTATCACAACACAACCAACAACTATCGAAGCATCAACGACTAGTGCAGTGATTGAAAATAAACCAGATGAAGTGTCTAAACATGAAGAAAATACTATGATTTCAACATCAAGCACTTTTCCTTCTATACCTCAAACTGAATTCCCAATTCAATCCATAAATGAAAGTTCAAGCTCAAATCACACATGCGATCCAGGCCATATTCAAGCATCGTCAAGCGTTCTTAATGAAATTGGAAACTTGTGTAATGCAACAGTGAAAGAGGCGCCGAATAAAGATGAACCAACTCACATTAAGATCGAGCCCTATGACAATAATGTATCACCGGAAGATAATGCACCAACCTCAACTATTCTACCAGACGAATTAAATACGAGCCAAAACAAAGGTGGAGTTCCAAGTGCTACACAGTCCAATATACTTGACCAAGTTGCTGAGTCCTGCTTCGAAGCAACAGATGAACCAAACGATAAAAGGAAAAAATGCACGACATCATACACCACAGAACCGACAACGAACGTTATGAGGGATTTGAGCACGATCAGTTCACAAAATGAAAATATCAACACAGATCCTACAAAAACAATAGTCACAGTACAACCAACGACAAGTATAATGATCGAAAATAAACCACAAGAAGTGCCAAAAGATCAGGAAAATACTGTAATATCTACATCAACTACGATCTCTACTTTAGCTGAAACTACACCTCAGTCTAGAGAGGAAAATTCAAGCTCAAGTCACACGTGCGATCCAGGTCACACTCAAGCATCATCAAGCGTTCTCGAGGAGATTGGAAACTTGTGTAATGCAACAGTGCAAGAGGCGCCAAATAAAAATGAACCAACTCACATTAAGATTGACCCCTATGACAATATTGCATCACCAGAAGATAATGCACCGACATCAACTATTCTACCAAATGAATTAAATACAAGCCAAAACAAAGGCGGAGATACGATTGTAACACAGCCCAATATACTAGATCAAATTGCCGAGTCCTGCCATGAAACAACAGATGAACCAAACGATAATAGTAAAAAATGCAAAACTTCGTATACGACAGAATCGACAACGATCGTTACAATGGAACTGAGCACCATATCAAAGACGGTTATAAGGGAATTAGACACAAGTTCTATCACAACTCAACCAACAACTATCGAATCATCAACGACTAGTGCAATGATTGAAAATAAACCAGAAGAAGTACCTAAGCACGAAGAAAATATTATGATTTCAACAACAAGCACTATGCCTTCAATACCTCGAACTGAATCCACAACTCAGTCCAAAAATGAAAATTCAAGCTCAAGTCACACATGCGATACAAGCAACACTCAAGCATCATCAAGCGTTCTCGAGGAGATTGGAAACTTGTGTAATGCAACAGTGCAAGAGGCGCCAAATAAAGATCAACCAACTCACGTTAAGATTGACCCCTATGACAATAATGCATCACCAGAAGATAATGCACCGACCTCAACTATTCTACCAAATGAATTAAATATAAGCCAAAACAAAGATGGAGATACGATTGTAACACAGCCCAATATACTTGATCAAATTGCCGAGTCCTGCCATGAAACAACAGATGAACCAAACGATGAAAGTAAAAAATGCAATACACCTGAAAACAAAGAAGATGTAACTACGACTCTAATTCATACAGAGTCTTCAACCATGCCAAGTATGGTCAAAGAAACTAAACAAAATACAAGCAGTACTTCGACCGAAACAACGGTAGTTCATACAGAGTTGCCAAGTACCTCAAGTGTGACCAAAGAAACTTCAGCAATTACAACCAGTTCTCCGATCCAAACGATTGAAATTCATACGGAGTTGTCAACCATGCCAAGTATGGACAAAGAAACTTCACCCAATACAGCCAGTCCTCCGATCGAAACGACTGTAATTCATACGGAGTTGTCAACTACACCACGTATAGCTAAAGAAACATCAACAAATACAAGCAGTACTTCGATCGAAATAACAGAGATTCATACGGAGTCACCAACTACATCAAGTGTGACCAAAGACATTTCAGCAATTACAACCAGTACTTCGATAGAAACAACAGTAATTCATACGGAGTCATCAACTACTTCAAGTATGGCCAAAGAAACTTTACCCAATACAGCCAGTCCGATCGTAACGACTGAAGTTCATACGGAGTCGTCAAGTACAACAAATTTGGTCAAAGAAACTTCACCCAGTACAAGCAGTACTTCGATCGAAACGGCTGTAATTCATACGGAACCGTCAACTTCGCCAAATATAGCTAAAGAAACATCACCAAATACAAGCAGCTCCCCGATCGAAACAACGGTAATTCAAACAGAATCATCCACCAATTCGAACGAGGTATCTGTGCAAAAAGAGAATATACCAGAAAATGGAGCGACTAAATTGCCTGAGCAAAATGTAGTAATTTCAACAACATTTGGTAATGAAGTCACAAAAAATGATACAGTTTTTATACCGGGAGAAAGTACTACCACAATAGCACCATCGACAATCAGTTCACATTCCAATGCGAATCAAGCAGTTAATGAAATTAATAACAATCAAAATGAAAAAGAACAAGGTTCAACAACCGTTGATTCAGAAAAAGATTCAACAAGAACATTTAAAAACTCAATTAGTGTTACTTTTTCACTCCTCTTTATAATATTATTATCTAACTATTTCCATTAGTTTTCATTGTATATATGTAATTGTTTTCTTTTTAAATTGGTTAGTTATTGTGTTAGTCATGTGCTGTCCGCATCAAGAATAAAGCGACAAAAATCACATCGAACTACGATTGAAAAAGGGATTTTTTCGTAAATAGCCAAAGTTCAAATTTAATGTTGACAGTGGTAGTGAAATAGAACGATTCATTCATGTTGGCGGCAAAACACAACAAACACAAGCACTGATATGAAATTTTTACTGGATGTTACATCATGCAAAAAAGTAGAAAGAAAAATTTGATAAGCAACTATTAATGATTTGAAATAGCACTTAATTGATGTGCATTTTATCAAAATTGTGTGCCATTCAGACACACAATGTTAAATTTATGTTCAACTAGTTCTTTTTTGTTGATGATTTCTATAAATAGACAAATGATGTGTTATTTATATTATTTAAAAATATCTTAAAATAGGTTATCACTTTATTTATTAATAAAGTCATTTAATTCTTTACGAATAAAATCACTGTGGTAAAATTGACGGTAAAAATGGGATGTTCTTAATTTATTTCTAATATATGTTGATTGAGATCTTTTATTTCTACATCTCTACGATGCTAGAAATTTGATTGGTTGAACCACCATTTAAGTCGAATTGGCACTGCTTGAGCGTTCGTCCAATAATTATTACATTGTGCTTAAAATATGAATGACATCGGCTGTGGAATTGGCTGACATAGCATTTGTATCAGCATTTATAAGATTCATTGATGACTTCATGGAATTTATGGTACACTGTTGTTTGTATTCAACAATAGAGATGATGCAAGCTGATGCAAAAATTGCAAACATTAAAATCCAGAAAGATATGAAAATTCCGCGCCGCAAAAATCGCCACCAGGGATCGTCCATATATAAATATAATTCTTCAATTGTGAGTCCAACAAATCTGTACGATAGAGAAAATGAAAACATATAGAGGAGAATGAGAGAATATTAGAAATAAAAACTGTGAAATAACAACGGAAAAGTAAACAATTCAACGATAGTTCGAATCAATCAGTTCAAAATATCTACATCAAAATCGAATAGATACATTTACCAAGATTAACACCGAGCGTAAACAATGTCATTGTCTCGGGATGAGGCAATTTGAATGACGAAAAGTGAAAAACACAAAATTATAATTGTAATTATCTGTGTGCTAACAACAAATGGAAACATGCGCCAATGCAAGAAAGAACCCACGTACACATATTATTTGTATTTCCCACTGATAATACGCACTCAATAGATGTCTAGGTCAGTTATACTGTCTTCTATACTACTGTATAGATCTACTGTGTACAATTTTGTTCAACATTTGATTGCAAACATATAGGCAACTTCCATAATATGTTCAACGGTATATAATTTGAATTTTTCCCCATTCAGTACAACCGATTTTAATTGGGTTTTTTTTTCTGAACATTTGGTGTCATTATCGCAACACACATGTCATACGAGCAGCTTATGTAACCTTGTGCGTGTGAAAATTATTTCTAATCACTTTCCAATGCCAAATTGACGGGGGGAGATTGGAGAAAATTAAAAGAAGAGCATTTACATTATGTGTATTGGAAACAATGATTTTATCACATAATGCCAATATGTAAGCAGTGTTTGTCGTTCGATTTCACTTCAATTACAATTAGTGACAAATTAAAATTAATTATATAATTGTCTTAAAATGTTGACGCAACCAAAAAATAGCAAATACATTTGATAAGAACATGTTTTCGCGATTAAAAATAGCGAAAAATAACGGACGATTTTCTATCATTCGATTAAATAGATTTTTGATCATTTTACAGCCATATTTTTGTTACTCCACTGCTCGTGTCGGCTGATTATTGTCGAAGTGGAGTCCGTGTGTCCTCCATGCTACACTAATGGACACAATCAATATTTACATTTTAACGCAGAAAAAAGAATGTAGAACATTTGTGTTAATATAAATAAGCAATATTATGCATTTAATTATTATCATTATGTTCATTCATTGGTCAACCACATTGAATATAAATGCTTTCATGTTGATATTCCATGACACATTAATCTCACCCATAATAAATGAAAAGTGTCTACAAAATTATGTAGGCTAAACATACTCATCGATATTGTCACGGCTATTGTTGGTGGTGTAAACGGTAGGTACAACAACAATACATTCCCTGGATTTTGGATCGACTGTTAACGAAGCATTCGATAAATAATCGAATGGTTTTTTTAAAAGCCTCGTTTCTTCCGTTGCCATTTTAATATTTCACGTCAACTAACACTTTTTTCCTTTACAATTGGAATTTGATGTTTTCTTTGATTTATGCCAAATACAATGCACCGAAAATCCGTTTCTTTTGATACGTGAGCCTGCTTGGAACCGATCAACAGCACAAATTTCAAATGACTGAATTGAAGACTTGTCGGTTTGTTTCAATTCGAACATTCCATGATAAACTCGATCGATGTAAGTGAGAGTCGTATACGAAAAGCGAAATGGCGAGAAAAAAACATAAATAAATAAACAAACATAAATGTGCCTTTACGCATACAATCAATACAGATATACACTGTTTTCAAATCAGTAATCCGTCAGACGAACGTCTATTTTGAATCAACTATCAGTACCGCATCAAAATGAACAGATGAAAAAAAAAGTGTTTTTGATGAAACAGCAATTGATAAGTCAAATTTTATTTTATTTTCTAGTTATTGTTACATAATTACGTTTTCTTCTTCATCATCATCTTCTTTTAAATCATTGCAATGTTAGCTGTTTTTTTTTCTCCCCTCAAAGTAGCTCAACGACCTCAAAAGTATGTGAAGTAACAATCAATTTGAATACATTGAATTGTACACATTTTTGCGATGTTCGAATACTTTCAATTCTTTAAAATGTTGATCTCGCTTGAAATTGAACACTAATCATACATTTATGTCATGTATGGAGGGATCGCGTTCATCGACATCGACATGAAGCCATGCATCCCAATATTCGATTTTACTTTAAAGAAAAACAATGAAGCCATACCAAAAAATGTGATTTTAAAAACATGCCACAGGGTGCCGTGTTTAATACCAACCACATTGCATTTGATGTAATTGTTTTTGTTTTACTTTTGTGCGTTCGGCCCTGTGTTTACTTCTGGCCACATTCCCAATGGATCAAATAACCATCGCATAAAATTGCGTACGTATATTCATACAAGTATGATGTGAGAATGTGAAAAAGAAACAATGTAAATGAAGTTCTTTGACGCACGCCTCTGACTTGTCTTCAACAAAACCAATATTTATGTGTATTTTTCTTTTACAGTTGAGCCTGAAGAATGTAGTCGCCACGATCGACACCAATAATTCAAGATTTCCATACCTGGTTTTACTGTATACTTTTTTTTCTCCTAGTACCTACAAATGGCTTGTGTGATTGCATTACATACGACATTTGATACATGAATGGTGAGGAAATGTTGTGCATGTTATTCATTTATGTTGAATCTATCCTTAGAATTCCGTCTAATAAATTTTGTAAGTGAGATTTAGTTGAATGATAGCTTCGGTTTGGTGAACAACGACACTGTTCAAATATTTAAAAAAATATAATAATAATTAAGAGCATTTTTTTTTCTGTGAAACAATTATTTTTCTGTGTAACGGTTAATTTAAATTCGAATGCAAAATAAGGAAATGGTTGACGAGAGAACATCATTGTTTTCCAATTCTCGGAGTGAGACATCGTATGCGGTACCTGGCCGTTTTACACGAACCAAACCCGATCGATTCAATCGATTACAATTTTGCATTTGGACATCGTTTCTGTGAGATTCAATTAATATAACCAATAAACGATTCGTTACCTGTTGTAATAAAATTATCTGTTAATTATTGTGCTTTTCTACAGAGCAGCATTTATTTTGGCACTAGTCATAACAATAGCTGTGGTGGTTACACGAAACAGTGACGATGAGTCGAGTGAAGAAAATGCAAGCAATGATATCCCAGCACGGTCTATAAATTCCAATGAATTTTTCACTCTGATGGAAGCATTCAATGGACCAATACCTGGTAACTTAGGAACTTACCTTCTTTATTTGTGTTCAACATTTTTGATAGCTATATGGTAAAATAATGTAATTTTTATTCAAACATAAATTAGACGAACCACCAGTAAATTGGACTCTATCCGAACCAAGTGATGACGAAATAAAGTTAGCACTTGATGAAGGCTTGATTGCGCTTGGTAATCGTGAGCTTTTTGAAGAAAACCTTCAAGTGGTACCAGTAAATACACCATCGTTTCGACATCAACGAGCAGTTAGCACAACTGCTGACGCAAGAAAATTAACTAAACGTGGTTACATCGAAGATCATGCCACCAATTTTTTAGCCAAACAGTAAGCAAACTAAATTTATTAGTTTTCGCCTTTATAAATTGGAGCATTGTATTGAATTATTGTGAATGCTTTAGATTAGCATATGAAAAGCCAAGTGGGCGATATAACATTGGGATCGGGCCAGAAACAAAATTGGAAACTGCGAAAAATAAGCAAAGAAAATGTAATTTTAATGCAAAATATCGTCGGCCAGATGGAACCTGCAATAATAAATTATTTCCATTCAAATATGGAGTTGCATATACACCATTTCGTCGGTATGATTTCATACGATTTTTTTATTGTCCTCAATGGATGCCAATAGCAAAGATTTTTCTTTTTAATTATTTTTGAAAATAATAAATTGTACTTAATAACAGCGCATTGAATCCAGATTATTCTGATGGCATAAATATGCCACGAGAAAGTCATACGGAAAATCCATTGCCATCGGCACGAAATATATCTTTATCGGTACATCGTCCATCGTATTCAATTGATCCCGAATTCACTGTGATGGTTGCTGTATTTGGTCAGTTTTTGGACCATGATGTGACTGCAACAGCATTAAATCAAGGTCAAGATAATGAACCAATTGATTGTTGTGCTGAAAATGGTGATCTACATCCGGAATGTTTTCCAGTCAATTTGGGTCCGGGTGATCCAAATTTCGATCTCTATAATATAACTTGTATGAATTTCATTCGATCGGCACCAGCGCCCACCGAACGCTTTGGTCCACGTCAACAGCTCAATCAAGCCAGTGCATATATCGATGGATCGGTTGTGTACGGTTTTACTGATGAAAAAGTCGATAGCTTAAGACAACGTAAGTTTGGTAAAATCGATACAATCAATTGGGATGGTAATGCATTTTAATTTCAGATAATAACGGTTTATTACGTATGTACTATACATCCGATAATCGAACATTGTTGCCAGTTTCAACTGATCCGCTCGATGGATGCAATGCAGTTGAAGAAAATGCCAAAGGAAGATATTGCTTTGAATCGGGTGATACAAGAGCTAATGAGAATTTACATTTGACATCGATGCATTTGATTTGGGCTCGTCATCATAATTATGTTGCGTCCGAATTGGAAAAACGAAATCCACATTGGAATGATGAGAAACTATTCCAAGAAGCAAAACGTATTGTAGCTGCTCAATTACAACATGTTACATACAATGAATTTTTACCAGTTGTTTTGGGTATTGTGCAATCAATTCAATTTATAAATCGATTAAAAAATGACATAATTGATTGTTGCATCATTTTCAGGTCAAAGTTATAGCGATAAAATTGGTTTAACATCAAAACCAGAATCCGAAAAAGATGTTTATGATGAAACCGTCGATGTTTCAATTGCAAATGTATTTGCTGCATGCGCTTTTCGTTTTGCCCACACTTTAATTCCGGTAAGACAAATCATTGATTTATTTAAGGCAATTATAATGACATATGCACAATATCATTTGATTTTAAGGGCGTGATGAACACATCGAGAGACTTGGAAAATCCAAATACAATTGCATTGCATAAAATGCTCTTCAATCCATATTCACTATGGCTAGCTGATGGTTTGGACAATGCAATTGGAGCAGCATCGGTGACGCCGTTAGCAAGAGCCGATCAATATTTTACAACTGAATTGACCGAAAAATTGTTCACCGACCCAAATGATGCTGTGCAACCAACTGCAACACAACGAAATACATGCGGTTTGGATTTGGTATCGTTAAACATTCAAAGAGGTCGTGATCATGGGCTACCGCCATATCATGAATGGCGAAGACATTGTAAATTGCCATCGGTCGATACATGGGAAGAAATGGCATTCGCTGTAGACGCCGATTCACTTGAAACTATGAAACGAATTTACAAGTAATTTTCGAAAATTGGCGTTCATTTAATCGAATATTTAAACGATTTTATTTATCTCTATCATAATAAAGGGATGCCAAAAACGTGGATATTTACACTGGTGCATTGAGCGAACCACCAATGGACGGAGCAATCGTTGGACCCTTATTGTCTTGCATAATTTCCGATCAATTTTTACGCTTAAAAATTGGCGATTCACATTGGTACGAACGTCGAATTGGCTCACAGAGTTTTACAAATGGTTAGTATTATTTCGATGAAATTACTTTTATTATGATTCACATAGTTGTACACTACAATAATTGTTTTAAATTTTCATCTAGAACAACTTGCACAAATTTACGGCACCACATTGGCAGCAGTAATATGTCGAAATTCAGATGCAGTGGACACCGTTCAGCGTTGGGTTATGCGAAGAATTGAACAACAAAATCCAATGGTGTCTTGCTCAGAGATTGATACATTTACATTTGATGCTTGGACAGAAGAGCCATATCGCAGAAATTTGGTGTCAGTTCAAACAAGCCCAATGCAAACGTTTATTAGAACAATGGCAAAGAATTAATCACAAAGGAATCTCGTGATTCTTAGAAAACGTTTTGGTGAATAGGTAGTTTTTTTTCTCTTAAAATTCACGGCCAATCATTTTTTGCAAGAAAACATTTAATAAATTGAAATTGAAATTATAGTATTTGAATGAACAAAGAGTGCGGTACATTATGGTTCCCATGTTTGTATGTGTTGTTAGTTGATGATTCAATAAAATTTTCAATGTTTCACGTATTTGCAATGTCAATTGATGATGACGGCAATGTTGTAGAATTGAGTATTAAATAAATTACAATTTGACGAATGACATTTTTTGATTGCATTCTTATCAGTTTAGCACACCGTGACCATTTTGTTTTGATATTTTATTATTGAACCGCTCAATTGAATTAATAAATTAAATAAGCAAGAATTTTTTGCACAATTATTTCTTTTTTTTTTCATCAAATATGTGAATGCGTATCATCCAATTGAACGAAGCCAGGCCTTGCGTAATGCACTGTAAAAAGAATGAATAATTAATAACAAATGTAGACGTTTAAATTCGAACACAAGAAAATGCTACGATTTTTTTTATTCGATTTCGTTTGAAAATGATTCTCATTCTTTTTGGTTTGTTGTAATTTTGACCAGGAATCGTGCTTAATGATTAAACACAAGAGAGAGAGATTAGAAAAAAAAAAGAAACTAAAAAAGAGGTATGATAATTTAAATAGCCTGGGCTCATTATATCGAGACTAACAATTTGCCAACAAAAGTGTTCCAATTTGTTCAACTATCACATAAAAACCGATAGATCACGAAATGATTTCGTTTATCTCATGTTGTATGCGTGTAATGCGTTATTATATGCGGTAAATCGATAATAATAATAATTCGTTTTTGTTGTTTTGTTGTTTCTTTTAAATTAATTTGCTTTGATATTTGCGTTCGTGTTTCTTTCTGTGATCTTTGTGGATGATGTAATCGATGATGAATTGTTGGCGGCTGGTCCATTGCCATTTGAATTTCGTCGTTGTGGCAATGGTGGTTGCGATTGCATCAACGAATGATGTGAATTGACCGGTCGATCTTTTGTTAAACGTTCTACAAGTTTTCGGACGTAATTCAATTGCTTCGATCCTTGATGACCGCAAACATTTTCGGATCGGTATGGGGGTCGAATTTGAACATCATTGAACACTACAATATTTGTTCCCACCAACGTAACCTGCATATCAAAATCAAAAACGACACATTTTTTAAAATCAAATTTCAATTTGCATTGGTGTACAATAGAATAGAAGGGGATAAATATGTGGAAAAAAAATGAAGTAAATATTTTGGTATGCTTACGTCTTTGATCATTCTGGAAATGTCCAAAAACAATTTTTTTCCCTCTGGGCTGACTCCAGCCGACATTGCAGCTACCTAGGGGACAATCACAAAAGAAAAGAATAGAATTAATTTAAAATAATCGACAATTATTATTAAATAATAGAAAGGCAATTTTTAAGTGAATTGCCCCTAGTAACTTACCCACAGTTTTTTATCGTCGACAGAATTTCGTACGCGTGTATTCAACTAATCGATAAAAAATCGATAAAAGTTTTTTTTTAGTTGCTCAATTTTCTAGCTGTCATTCAATTTGTCACTGAGACAAAAAAAAGACATAATCGTTCAAATCGACATTGTAAGTCATACTTACTCTTTGCAAATTCAACGATGGTGGAGGTTGTGTTGGTGGTGAATTTATCTCATTTTTCACCTGCACATCGCTGCATAAGCCCAAATTTATTATGAACACATCGTTTAATTGTTTGCCGCTTTTTGTGCACTCTGAATTTTGGGTTTTTTCGTTGAACAAAACGATATACTCAAGTTAAGGAAATCAATTGTCATATAATTTAAATGAATTTATTTAACAATAAAATTGTGAGAAAAACAAAACCAACAACGACCAATGTGTATTTGAAAAAGGATACTCAGTATCAGCATTTTGGTTGATGGATCAAATGCCATGACCAAACCTTCGATGACTTGTTTAAAACAAGTGGTGCACGAAACTGTGCTTCCGATGGAAAAACATTCACTTCCACCAGCCATTTAACGGAATTCTCGTCTTTGAATACACCAGCAAAGAATAATAAACGACCAAACAATATCTCACCAAAAATTCTTGCGATTTTTTTTTTCACACACAAGATATATGTCTTTTGTTTTAAATCAATTAGGTTCTGCGGACAGTTAGTCTTCTCTTGTCAAAATTACCTAAGTAAATGCATCCCTTGTTAAAAAAAATTGCACGACTCATACACAAATGTCAAACACATAAAGTGTCGACGAATAATTCATGGCAGTGTGTTTGTGTGTATGTGTGCTTATGTCGCAGTACATCATACGGACTTAAACACATAAATACTTAATCACAATCCAAACAGAAAAAATACTAATCCCAAAACTGTAAAAAATTAAACGGTTTTAATTTCACATTGGAATTTTGTTTTACTTCAAAACACTATAGACACGTTCTAAAATTCATTTCACTATTTTTCATCGAAAGAAACCCAAAAAATACTTAATATGTTCAAATTAGTATACTAAATACATTCCCCTACTTATGGCAAGAGACAAACTGAGAGAGTAATTTTTTCGATTGTTTTCTAATGTCATGAAATGTTAACCGCGCAAAACTGTACAATCAAACTGAGAGAACAGTAGAAAAAATTGACAAACGCATTGTTTTTCTAAATCATTTTATTTGTTTAAAATCGAGTACTTGTTAAGTGTTCAACTCATGTGTTGTGTGAAATCGATAAAGTTACATTTAAGTTTTGGAAAAAAAGAAAATTTTGTCAATTATTTAAATTGCATTTAGTTTAGTACAATGGATTCGTTTAAAAGTCGAACAAGTTTGCCATTTCCAACATCGGCACGCAAATCATCAGCCAGTTCGATTTATTCAAGCCGTAAATCATTACATGGTGGGATTAAAAAAGCACATGGAACATCTAGGTAAAATTAAATTTAAATCAATTGAACAACAAACATGCATTATTTCAAGCAAATACATAACCTATATTTACAGCCGGTACAGTGTTTCAGGACGGTCGGTTCAATCAAATCAGATAATTGCACGATCGGCAAATAATGTAGCACAATCGTTTGGATTGCAAATCCCAATTACTGTAAATGAAGCGCTTATGTTTAGCGATCGAAATGCAAATGTTACCATAAATTGTTCCGACAATGGATGGGCATGGGCAATATCCGGTCGTAAATTACTTGTTTGGCAGTACAAAGATACAAGTCAAACATCACCAAAAAATGACATACAATTGCGTACACCACAACGACGACAGGCCATCAGCCAGTGCCGTGAATTAACATTGCCACATTGTGACATCGGACACAAAGCATCATTGATCACCGTGTTTACCACAGAAGGTCAACAAATGGCCTCATGCTTGTCCATTTCACCAACCGGCGATGTTCGTTATTGGCCATCAATTGCCCATGATGCGATCTCATTCGATGAAACGGGCATATTGGAAGGACAAGAGTTTGATGAACTAGTCACAATACCATCAGTGGGCTATGTTTTAGTGACAACAACATGCAATTTAGTTTTGCTTGAATTGCAATCAAATAATGGACGATACAATATTATACATAAACTGGTACGACCACCAACTGGTTTTCTCGGTGGAATTGGTAAACGTTTTGCATCGATACTTATCGGAAGCAATTCACAGGATCGAGAAAATGTAATTATTATTTAAATGGCATTTGACGTTGCAAATAAGATATTTTCAACTAACTATCATGTTCAATGTCATTCACAGAGATTCATAAAAATGTGCGCAAAAATTTCCGAATCATCGGATTGGTATGTTTCGGTGCTATCGGATAAATTCATTCAACGTTGGTCCGTCGAATTGAATTTCAACGAGACATTTTTGTTCGAAGATCAACAGATTATATTGAAAATTAAACAAGCATTCCATCATCGAGCCTGGCCATCGCGTGATATTAACGATGTGGAAATGTTCATATTAGACATGCAACCGAATAAAAATGGTGATCTGATTTTACTTGTTGCGGCCATGAATCTATCTCATGCACCACAAATCCTATTCGCACTCGTCACATTAATTGAACAGCAATCGGCTTTTGCAATCAAAGATTTTTGTCAAATGAAAACGACCGCCTTTTACTCGGGCGACGCAAACGAAGAAAGTTTGAAATACAAATTCATTTTAACCAACTCAACTGCCTATGTATACGGTGAACGTTCCATTTTTGAGGTTCTTTTAAGTGGTAAAAAATAATCCATATAACTTTTTTTAATTCTTTCAACGAAAAAAAAATTCCAATTTTTCTTATTTTGTTTCCATTTCAAGGCGTTGTTCAAAACGATATCGATAACACTGAAAAAATCGAATTGCCTGGTCAAAATGATCATATTTTGGCGGCTGCTGTTTACAGTCAAATACCCATATTTTTCTCCCGTCTAAATGGTTTCGTCAGCATTTCATCGTCGGATTTCGGCAATTTGGATTGCTTAAATAGTTCGGTCGTGTCAGAAGTTTCCGATTTTCACATGACAAGCCAGACGTTGCACAATGAAACTGCAACCAATCTTACGATCTATGACATTAATCCGGAAGATGTTTATAATTTACATGATAGCATCAGTCAAATAAAGGCCGCATTCATTTATCATTTGAAGAAAAATACCACAAAATGTTCGACCATCATAAATCAATTGTTTTCGGATACGTCTTCATTTGCTGCAAATGAATTCGATAATATAATTATGAAAATCGCCAAGGATCTGGCCGAAGATATTCCGGCTGCGGATCCAAGATGGGAAGAGCAAATTTCAAGCAACAAATGTGCATTGGGAAGCTCGACATCAATGCAAATTATACAGCAGCTCAAAGAAAAGAGTCGTGCATTCACACATTTTATCGATTTTCTTCAGGCAACATCATTGTGGGAAAAGGTTACAAGTCATATTCATCACGTTTAAGACAGCTTATGATACAATTAATTTTTTTTCTCCGAATATAGTTGGACACGGTCAGCGAACGAAGCCAAATTAAAGCCACTTGTCATATGTTATCCGATATTAATGAAAAAATTATCGCCGCAATTGCCCTGAAAGGGATTCATAATCAGTAAGTTATAACGAGTATTTTATTGTTAATAACAAAAGACAAAATTCGCTGCTCCTGGCTATGATGAGTTAATATTATTTGCGTTGGTCTGAAGTTTACTATGATATGTTAATTTTTTTTTGCGTTGGATCTGAGCTAAGTGTTAATACGAAACATAGGAGCGGTGCATTGATTGCTTAGCAGGCACATGACTTCACAAATGTGATTTCATGCTTTGTTTTGTGATTTTGATTTTTTTATAATATAACATTTGTAAATTGATTTTCTTTTTGTTTAAATAGATTTTCCGCCATAATTGATGACACAATTGATGTTACATTGAAAAAACGCAATGAGATTCCACCAGAAAATTTAACGTCACAGGACATTTTCTATGTTCAAGTTACACGTATTCATGAATTTTTTAAATCACTCACAAGTCTTGCCGACGAAGCCATTCAACAAGAACAAAATCCATCAAAATCATCACAGCTATTGCTTGATATCAGTCAAATTGTTTTGGTATGTATCAACTATAGGCAACAAGTACAAATTTGCTTCTGAACCGATTTCTGACCCATTTATTTTGTCACAACGAACTATTCTAACCGCGGAAAATTCTTAAATTTCAGACAATCCTGCACGAAGTTTTCAAATTCCGTGAGCTTAAAACAACCATATTCAAATTACCAGCCGATAAAATGAATAAATTTGAGTATTTGCCATGGACAGCAGCATCCATTCCAAATGGCATTCGCGATGGAATATTACATGTTATAAATATCATAACAAAAAATGGAGTACGTTCTACGGCTGAGCCCGAAATGCGACAACAACATTTCAAAAATCTCGTTGAATTGGTTGATTTCTATTTGGACGGTCGTAAGGCATATCTCGAAAGCATCAAAGAGCTAGATAAATATGACACATTGTACCGAAAGTATGAGGCTGAACGCAGTGACTTAATTTTCAATTTTGGTAATTATTCCCTAGAGCTGTTTTAGGCACCGCGAAGATACGGGCACTTTTCTTGTAGGTTACACTCACTAATGCCTGAACTTCTGCGATGCCAATAACAGCTCTGCTCCTAATGTGCAAAAAGAACAAAAATGAAATGAATCTCTCTCGTCTTCTTCAATAGTCGATGGTGGACAGTACGAATTGGCAGCCAAATTAGCTGAAAAGTATTTAGATTTTAAGACTTTGGTTGTAATTTGTGATCAGACAAAGAATCAATCTCGTCTAGAAGAATACATTGAACGATACAGAGATCAAGACTTTTCACAATTTGCCATCAATTGGCATTTACAGCAGAATAAACGCGGTGATTTATTTGAACGTTTCAAACGTAATCAAAATGAATTAACACGATTTCTTGGCGATCATCCAAGTTTGGAATGGATACAAACCGTTTTCAATGGTGATTTATCGCGGGCATCACGTATATTATTGTCACTGGCACAAAATGAAAGTGTTTCCGTTTCGCGTAAACGAACAATGCTATCATTGGCCAAACTAACCAGTTTGGCGGCCGATGAAGAGCTTTCCAATGAAATTGATATGATCAATGGTGAACTAAAGCTAATCGAATACCAATCAAAGGTATCAACCCGAATGCTTCGCATATTCGGATATGATCCAGATAATCAAAAAGTACTCACATCTGAAGAAATTATAAATGTAAGAAAACACATTCGACTCATTTTATTCCATGTTTTACTTACGCAATCTATTTTTTTTTTCTATCAAAAAACAGCTATATATTGCTGATGAAAATACAGATGTTACCGAAGAAGACTACCAGAAAGCTTTGAGCCTAATACCGTACGTCGACGATCCATTGGATATAAAACATAAAATTTGGTGTAGTGCCATTTTGCGTGATAATTGGGATGCATACAATGTCAATGCACCACTTGAAACGGTGCAACATTTCATGGTGTACAAATTCATTGACTTCTGTCTCATTTTATGTAAGTATTTCAATGAAAATAACTTTTGTCTTCTTTATAAGTGTCAGGCTCATTGGTTTTTTTTTGCTCGAATATTGATTTCAGATGTTGATATTGAAGAATTTTTGCCACCGCTACAAGAACTATTGGATGCACCAGAACTGGGATCGTTAACCGAGAGCAAATCGTTTCAATTTCTATTGAAATTAATTTATGAATATTTTTACGACACATATAAGAACACTGTTGCCTAACCGTACAACAATCTAGACTTAACTCTAATTTAAATATAAAAATAAAATAAAAACCATATTGAGATAACATTTGAAGACATTAGACACAACGATTCTCTTTTTAGCGCCAAAATTGTTTTTACTGCGAGGTGATCACAATTATGATTGATTTTGTTGGATTTTTTTAAAAAATAAAATGTCAATTCATTAAAAATGTGACATAAAAAAATGAGTATGAATATGTTGAAAAAAAAATTTAATTGAAGAAAAAAACTGCAAACATTCACCGCAATTAAATGGTCAAAAGAGCATGTGTGGAAACATGAAAACGGTGAGTACGCTAAGTATTTGTGCGTATTTAATTCAATACATACGGCAGCTTGAGTACTAAATATATTACACATACAGTGGCGGAATATGCTGAGAGTAAATTCGTTAATACCACGATAACATATAAATCTCTCTAAAAGAATTTCAAATAAAAATGACAACCATACATCTTGCATTCGATTGTATTTGTGTGCACTCACTCGTTCACACTCTTTTTGTTTCTTAAAAGAAAATATACTACATGTATAAATTTGCTTCGGCACGAGAGAACAGTGTGTAAATTTAGTCATTTTGTTATAGTAAATAGTTTTTTTTTTAAATAAAAAGTTGATATTATTCGCATGCAATCAACGATTTGACAAATGCATTCAATGCAAAAAAAAAAGTAAATTTTTTAATTAAAAAGTTAAATAAATGAGTATTTGGAAAAATGTGTAATTTTGGCCAACGTGATTGAAGAGCGAGAGAGAGAGAGAGAAATTTTCTGTTCGAAACGAAAGGGAAGAAGTGAAGTGAAGCAAGCTAATAAAGCCCAAAAACTACGGATTAAATGTCGCATAGAATGTTATGGTGCGAATCGTTAATTTACAATGTCTGAACCGAAACGTGTAACTTTTGAGACAATACCATCGGTTAGTTCCAAAAATTTGGCGGCCGATGCATCAAACAGTCAAAAAATTGAGAAAACCGTGCGACTTGAAATAAAACTATTCGAACCAAATAAAAATACGTATCCAGAGTTCAACTTCAAAAAACTGTGTCGAGCTGAAAAGGTAAATGTACAAGTGTGCAAAACGATGAAAGTGAATGAATATAACACGTTTTGTAAATGGTTGCATTTTTTGCGCGAAATTATAAAATAGGTAAAAATGGACGATATTATATTAGGATTTCGTGTAAACGGTGAAAAAAATGAAAATATTTCTTTTTGAAATGACCTATGTGCAAAACTCCCGCAATCAAACCGTTCACGCTAAAACGAGGAAGAAAGAGAGAGAAACAGTTTTTCCATTTTGGTTTCATCTTCGTGTTGTGTGTGTGGTTTTTTTTTGTTCTGCTTTGCTCTCTTCAAATGCTTGATATATATATATATATATTGCTGCGATTTTTCGCAGTTGTTACGTGCGATATTTCGGCATCAAATCTGTAGAAGCGTGGTCTTTGTTGAACATAGTGTGTTGAACACAATTTCAGTGTCTCTCTGTTGTGCATCAGCATCCATGCAATCCTGGTAAACGCTGAATGCGTCGATAAATAAAATTATATTTTGATGGTTCTCTCTTTCTATCCTTCGCGCCTATTCTCCTGTTTAGTAAATGTGAATATTTTATTTGTGAATGTTTTTCTAATTGAATTCGCCGCTGCGTACGCGTCGCATTCATAACTATTATCAATATGAGTATATGTATAAAATATACATACCTAACCTAGCTAATATGCTTTGCAAAGCGCACCTTTGTTATGCATCAATTCATGGTGTTTGGTGAATGCGTTTATTTACTTTACGTATTTCGCACCGAATTTGGGCGGATTTTTTTTTTATCCTCCCGATTTATATTCACTTTGAAAGTTAACACACTATGCGATACTCGAGAGCGGTGAGATGAAATATCAATTATGTTTTGATAAATGTTGAATGGTCTTTTATCGTTGTTATAGGAAAAAGTAAAGGTTCCACTTCCGAATGGTTTTGCCGATCCACTAGAAGAGGCTGATCATGATGCCGAAAAGTTAGCTCTTGAGTTTGAACGCAAATATGGAAGTGCGTACGGTGGTGAGAATCGACCATCAAAAGGAGGCGCCGATAAGGGTTACGATGAAAACAATGGTTTCATCGATGATTCTGAAGCGGTAAATATTTTTTTTGTCTGCATTTTTTATTTTTGATGATTATTTTCTAATCGAATCGTTGAAAAATGCGAACAATCACCGAAATATTTTTAGTACGATGAAGTGATACCTGATGAAATGGACACAGATCGAGGTGGATTCTACATTAATTCGGGTCAATTACAATTCAAAAAACTGCCCAGCAAAGCGTCAAAGGTAACTTGTGTAGTAATTAAAAATAAATAAATAGTAAGCTGAGCTGTAAATGTAAAAAAAACACACACATTTTTTTCATTGCAGCGTGCTTTGGCATCATACAGTGAAGATGAAAGTGATAGCATGAGCTCTGTTTCATTGGAAAATGGTAATGTCAGTAAAAAGCAGAAACTATCGGAAAAAGACAAAACACTGAATAACAAAGAGAAAAAGAATGATTTGGTGACAAAACAAGACAAAACAGCGATCGTAATCGAAACAATAAAAAACCAATCAGTTGGAAATAAAGAGGTGAAGACGACGTCTGTAATGCATATGCTTCAAGCGAAACGAGATGCAAATTTACTGAAGTCATCTAGTCATACAAATAAAGGTTCAAAATCAACGAGTTCCGCCACATCAGACGATTCGTCGAGCAGCGATTCAGATTCAAGTGATTCGAGTTCCGATGCCGATCCAAGCCGAAACAGTGACGATGATGACTTTGACAATGTAAATAATAAAGGAACCGAAAATAAAATTCAAACCAATGGCATCATAACAACGTCCAATAACATTCCGCATGAAGTTGATCTTAAATTTTTCGAAAATCTAACATCCAACCACCGTGATTCAATCAATAGACTCATTGACTATTCAAAGAATCTGAAGGAAAACTTTTTCCAACCAGAAACACTGGATTTGCTTTATGGGTAGGCATAATTTTTTTTTCTTTTTTTATCGTATTATTTTGTTAATGTAATTGTTTGACTTGATTTATTCGTCTAGGATTGATAAAGCGCATCAAAGTGATTCAAAGTTGCTAAATCAAATTTACAATCATTTGGAACAATTTACGTCTTACACTAAGCAACAATTAATGAACGAAGTAAAAGATTATGCCGTTAAAAAGAGCGAAAATGATGTGCGAACACAAGAGCGATCCTTGCAAAAGGATATCACTCAAATAATGCCCAGCCTCAAAGAGAAATACGATCAAGATTCTAAAAGAATCGATGAGCAGAGAGCAGCTTATCATGGCACCGAGAAACCGGAACAAGTATTTAAAAATCCGCGCCGAAAATTTGTATGGAATGAACATTTGAGGTGAATTTTCTTCTTATTTTTTTTTCTTCAATTTTCGTGGGTCAAACTAAATTGTTCGCATTTTTTTTTCTCTTTGACTCTCTTTCAATAGAACGAAAGTAAACGAAGTTCTGAGAAAATGGCAATTCTTATATGAACAAAAGCAAATCAGAGATCAAACACGTGAACAGTACACAATGTCATATATTACGGATAAGCTAGTACCAATGTGGCCTGATGGTTGGATGAAATCCAATGACATCTATAATGGTTTCATGCCAAAAGTGAAGGAGCCAAAAAAGTCATTAAATGATGTGAAAACAACCAAATTGATTCAGCCAATCGCTAATGCACAAGCATCTATACCGCTGTTGGATAATCCAAAAGATGGTGGTTTAGTAGTACAGAATACAGAGAAGAAGAAATCTCAGATGCAGAAGGATTCAACAAAATTAATTAAGAATACCAACGACAAACCAACATTACCGAAGACTGATAAAAAGCACAATGCTATCACAGCGGATCGACCGGCGGTCAGTCCAGCATCATTACTATCAATGCCAATCGGCGATGCATTTAATCCAAAAACAGTATGAATGAATTTTATTTATCTATGCAACACAATCATACGGTTTTTCATTCAACATGACATATCTTTTTTTTTCTTTGTTAATGAAATTTAGGGTTCAATAAAAATGCCATTGGTAGTTGATAATGCTAGTTCGAGTGCAACAATCGCATTGAAATCAAAGCAATCAATTGCCAGCAGCAATGGAAATGCAGTCAATTATGGTCGACATTTGGATACAAATGCATCATTGGAATATGTGTCACCGACAAAAAAGGCTTCAGACCACAGCATTTCGCAGTTGATTTTACCAGCACCATCATCCAATCATTCCTCATTTGTCCCACCAATAAAGCTTCAAACACAAACATTGGCACACACACCGTACGACAATCCAACAACATCATCATCACTCTCAGTATCGAATAAGAGCACACAAGGTTCCAGTTCAAAAGCATCCAAATTATTGGACGGTCAACAACATCATCGGCCGCAATCTTCTTCGAATGGCGCAAATAACAATAATTTCCTGCACAATAATAATAACAGTAAGCACACCACACCACAACGTCCAATCGAAAGTGCGGCATTTATTGATTTATGTGATACGGATGATGGTGAAACGACTGCCAAAAAGCCAAAACAACACAAACACAAGCACAATAAAAAGAGCAAAGATAGTGTTGGCAGTAACAATGTACCTCTGACAAATACCGTTCACATGCTGAATCAAATGCATCATCAGCCGACATCAATGTCTATAAATCCGGTGGCCGCACTTGGCGAAGAAGTAGATGCAAATCAAATCATCCACGACTTAAAGGTAAATCGATCATTTTTACGCAAGTATTTCGATCTACAGCTTTAAAAATGAAAACGAATACATACCAAATATACCCATAAAAATGTTCTCGTACCAATACTCCTTCATCTCATATATTCATCATTGAAAAAAAAAAAACAAACAAACAAACACCCACAGAGAGATAAAGGAAAATAAAGCAAAGCATTTGATTTTATGAACAAAACAAAAGCAAACAAACAATTAAGAAGCATTTGAATAATGTCGCCTCAATTAATTAATCAATACCATCTTTTTTGTGTTCTTTCTTTTTGGTTCCAAAGGAATTATCAGCTTCAAATAGCTCTCGAAAAACTTATGATTCAATTTTAGAAAATCAGTCCGAATTTAAACAACATTACAACCACTATAGAGTTGCATCTCCACCGTACGATCGAAAACAAGATCATTTTTTCTAAATACGGTAAACACAAAATTCTTTTAAGAACTTTTTGATTTTTTTTTTTATTTCGCTTAAGTTGTTTATTATAATTTATTTTATTTAGTTTTTGACCCATTTATATTTTTATTGAATTAATATGTGCTATTGGCGGTTCTTTAATTTTCTTTTATTCACCTCAAAAGCAAGGTTTCTAGTTTTTTTTTTTTAAACAATTAAATCTTAATTTAAACGAAACAATTTGGTGATTGCTTGAGATAAATTAATGCTGATATTAATGTTTTTTGGATTGGTTTATTGCAAATTTTATTATCAAAATCAAATGGTATTTTTGTTGCACAATCTGACGAACATACGTACACAAACACAGTCCCAAAATAAATCACTGTACATAGTTAACCAAACAGTTCTTTTTACTGTAAAAAGATAGAGAGAGAGAGACCATTAACATTGCACCTAACATGAATAGTTCAGTCCCGAAAATTTTAAGTAATTTATTTTTAAATGTGGATGGGTGACTAAGGAATAGTGGTGGAAAAAACGAACAAAGAAAAATTTCATGGAAAAAAATGATATTCCCTGAATTTGAGTTCGTAGAGGAAAAAAGAGATAATTTATTTGGTTCTCTACGTGAACAATCCATTTTCTTAGCAATTTCAAAGTTACATCGTACACCATTGAGGTGGTTTCTTTTTTGTGCTCAGTTATTTCCCAAGAAATTTTCCATTTAATATTACTAATCGACTCATTCATTGGTTGGAGAGGTGGCAATCGATGCAATCCATCGGAGCATAAAATTGCTGACATATTAAGATGCACCATCATCTGTCACTGTTCTATTTGACACCGTTCCAAACTAACATTTTAGTTTATGTTAAGAATTACGACTTGTTGACAGATAATAAAATCCCACTGAATTTGGTTTTATTGTTTATTTTTTAATGTCGACAGCGAAACAAAAATGTTGGAGATTTGTTTTCATGGCTTTTTTTCGTTGTTTCATTAAACAAAAACACTCTATTGGATCTGCATGACACACACACACTGAGCAAAATCGAATACCATTGAAAATGGGCAATTATAATACGAACAAGAAAAATGTAATCATGCAATGCAATGTAACTTGAACAATTGAGGTTTAACAAAAACGTAAACATTTGTGTTGAGAATTTGGAACATTGTCATTTAAAACAAAAACAAAAAGAGAACAAAAGCAACGCAATCGAAATTCGATGAATTTAATGTTTAACCATTGTTGTTAATATTCGATGCGGTCTGTTTATTGTACCATTTTCATAACGCTTTAATTGACTGACAAATCGATTTTCACAATTTTACCGCAAATGATTTGTTGTAATTATGGTTTTTATTTATTTCACTTTTTTTCTGTTCATTTTGTTAGCTAATAATTGGAAATTACATTTCAGAAAATCATTATGATATGTTCTTATATTTTAATTTTTCTTTTTTTCACAGAGAAAACTGCTTTGATTTTCGTATTTAATTATGATGAAAGTATATTGGCTTGAAGAGGAGAAACGGAAATAAAAGAAAATTTGAACAAATATACCATCAAAATTTTGTACAAATCATTTTCAAAAAAATACAGACACGTAAGAGATCGTTCTTTAAAGCGAGCTGATGAGATACATTTTTTTTTAGATAGAGAAGGAAATGAGCGGCGGCAATTGTTTTACTCTGAAAATAGCTTATTTTCAAAACAAAATTTAAAAAAACCGCTATATTAGGAGATATTCGTCTAATTTACCTTTCTTTAAGTCTTGAAAAGTTTACCCCTCATTCAAATGCTCCACGTTATAGTTTAATTTTCGTTGTTTTCTATTTCATTGTCATTGTCAATCACTTAGCTAATAATTCAAAATTATATTAATTATTTTTTTTCTTCGAGCAAATCTAGCCAGTGGAAAAAAAGAGCTAGATGCTTTTTAGTTTCTACGAATTGTTGAAAAGTGAGCGAAAAAGAGAGAAAAGAACAAACGAATATTTGTATTTATTATTTATGACTCGATATGGAAAACGAAGAATATTATTTGTCCAGTCTTATGTTTGTTCAGATGTAAAACTATCGATGCGATGAGAAAGAAGAACACATATGTATATTGTAAGCAAATGTAAAGAAATAGATCTAATTAAATGAAAAATAAATTAGTATTTTTACTTTTTTTAAAGACCATACAATTATTTCATAGAACATTAAAGTAATGTGTTTGATTTATGTATTTGCAGCAATATTTTCACACCCATTTTTACATACACATTTAATGGTATGTACAATTTATCTTATCTTGCAGCTGTACATCTCACTTGAGATTGGTGTCTGCGTTTTCAATAGTGCTATTAAGACAAGCATTATATCTTTTAATATGAATGATAGTACAATATTGAATACCTTTAGTCAAAAACTAAATAAAACAAAGTGAAATGTGATTATTCAAAAAGCTTTATTGCAATTTGATTAGTACTATTGACATTTTGAACAAATGGAATTTGTTGATTTTTTTCTTCGGCATCGTGTCAATAGAACTGCTTTAGGTGTGAAAATGGTTGTTCTTTTTTCGTTCCTATTTAGTTGCTTGAGTTGAGCAGCAGCAGCAAGTTTCCTTGTTGCCCGATTTGCAGCAACATTTTTCGCACTTACACTCGTCGCCGCATTTTACTGTGGCGCATTTGCAATCTAATGACAATAAAAGAGTATTTTTTATTAATTTAAATTTGAATTAAGAACAAATGTAATGTAAATTTGATAATTAATAACACTTCACTCACTTTTGCAACAGTCACAAGGCATGATTGATTTCTTCGATGAGTTTATTTGAAACAAACAAAAGCACTGTATGTTGCGTGAAAACTTCTTCTGTAGAATGATGTGATTCGGTTAAAAGTCAATACTTTTCTGACCCTCTTGTGTTTTAGATCATGCAAATATATATCGACTGCGCAGCGAAATCTGATTGGTTGTTGATGGTGCGATATCGCATATGCATTGTGTTGTTGTTTACATCAACACTGTCAAATGGATGAAGTGCTATGGTACATACTTGTTTACGATATTTACTGAAGTTTGAAGTAGCCGCGCGACATGAACTCTCCCCGTTTTCCGTTTGACATGTTATAACATGTCGATGCAAGTTTTACACTCACATTTATCATCATAATTGCTCATGAAATATTATGCGAGCCCATCAATCTATGCATACCTGGAATATATAAAAATCGTCATTGTTCATCGATTACTGAATAATACATGACAATGGAATTCGCGAGCTTTCGAGAAGGGCTGGGCATTTTTTTGTACCAGCCCAAATTGTTAATAAAAAAAATGAGTCATGAGGGATGAGATTTGAGAAAAAATTTGATTTGAATATCAAATGCCGGAAGATTTTTTGAGTTGAACATACTTTTTCTCGACATTTTTCAAAAATATTTGAACCATATTTATCCGCTCCCAAAGTCGAATAAATTTAAATTTTTGTAAGAAAAACATTTTTCGAGAAGAAAAATTGGGAAAAAGTTCTTCTAGAAATTATTCGCAAGACATATTTCGTAGAATCGTGTGAACACTTTAAAAATCAACAAATCATTAATTAGATTGAACGAGAGAGCTACTGATAGCTCATTGGAATAAACCTGATTGGTACTGTAAACAAAGCATGAAATTTGAGCAAAAATCGGACAATCATAACAATATTTTTTATTGTTTTTGTTCTATTGCATCAGTGTGATGGCGAAATCAAAAGTAATCAGAGTAAAATAGCATTTTACCATCTATACAGAATTACATACTATCAATGTGTTTGCTAAGAGTGTAAACATTAATTACGCACCGCAAGATTTGCAGTTATCAAGTGCGCCAATTTATATCCACTCTTAATTTCATCATTCAATTGCATGATTTTGTATGAGTTTTTACTGCGCTTTAATGCACATAAATTCAATTCTCAGGAATTCACACTCAATGCATATTTCACGCATTCAATACATATGTGTGTCTAACATTGCTTATTTGGATGATTCTAATCAATAATTTCAAAATGTTCATTAAGCTAGTAATTTTGTCCAATTTTCATCTGCGTCCAATATTTCATTTTGGAAAAAACTACCTGAAAAAGATCGGAAATTAGATCAAATGCTTGGTTTCCGATAAAATCCGGTAGCTTGAAGAAAATTTCAAAAAACAGATTGGTTCGTTTTTAACAATCACAAAGCATTCGATATATTTTTTTGTCGGTAAAAATGTAGTGATCATTTTATTTGGAATTTGGTATACAAAAATATTCTATTTTTGTATATTCTTCTAAAACGAGTATATATATAATTTATCTTATCGTTGAGTACCTCAATTAAGATTGGTTTTTTCAAACATAGTTTTCAACGAAACATGAATTGTGCTATTGAGACAAGCATTTCATATGAATGATAGTGCAATATTGAATACCTTTAAAAACAAAATAAAACAAAGTGAAATGTGATTATTCAAAAAGCTTTATTGCAATTTGATTAGTACTATTGACATTTTAAACAAATGGAATTTTTTTTTTCAGCATCGTGTCAATAGAACTGCTTTAGGTGTGGAAATGGTTGTTCTTTTTCCATTCCTATTTGGCAGATTGTTTTGAGCAGCAGCAGCAAGTTTCCTTGTTGTTTGATTTGCAACAGCAATTTTCGCATTTGCACTCGTCACCGCATTTTACTGTGGCGCATTTGCAATCTAATGAAATGTGAATTTAATAATTTAATTAGTATTTTATTTATGAAAAAATCACATCACAATTCACTCACTTTTGCAACAGTCACTGGGCATGATTGATTTTTTCGATGAATTTATTTGAAACAAAAAAACACTGTATTTTGTGTGAAAGGTTCTTGATGTGGCTCGGTTAAAAGTCAATTCTTTTCTGTACCTCTTGTATTTCAGAACATGAACTTTATATAGGCAATATCTGATTCATTTGTGTTGATGCGACGCATTTTGTTGTTTGTTAAATTCTCCATAAAACAGATAAGCGCAATGATTCTATCATTTGTTTTTTCAAATATGGATAACTTGCATGATGCATACTTGTTTACTGAAATTTGAAGTGGCCGCCCGATGAACTCGCTCGTAACTCATGAGACATGTTATGACAGGTCGATGCATATTCGTATTTACCGACATGATTGATCATCAAATAATCATCATTTAAGTATGCCAATTGGGTTTTCTCTTTGGCTTATCGTTGTTTATCGGTAAGCCAATAAAATGCGATCGATAAGAAAATGTGGAAGAGAAATGAGACAAAAAAATTGCACGAACTTTCTAGAAGGGTCGATTTCCACTCAAATCATTGAGCACCCGCGTCATAATGGAATTTACCATTAAAGTAGATAAAAGTCGCATTGTATAAATTAAAACAACGGCGTATTTCGGGTCACTTATTAAAAAAAATTATGATTTTTATTTTCGATTCTTTTTTCTATCTCTTCACGTTGTAACAATGATATGCCATCTAAATTGTTATTTTTTTATTATTATTTTTAACGACATATTTTTAGAGTGTTTTAAACAACAAAGTGCTCATTTTCTTATACCTTCACCATAGTTAAGAAGTTTTTTCTATATTTTTATTAGTATTTTTTTTTCTTTGTTTTATTTTGATTTATTTTACTAAAAAGCCATTTTTACAGCACCGACGAGTTCACTTATTTATCAGCAAAAATTGAATACCCAAAGTACCTTATTATTGAGCAATCGTTTTACTTATAATTTTATGTGCAAAAGTCTTACCCAGTAAACTGCAAAAATGGCTTTTTAAAAATACACGAACTTTTTTTGTCAGGAGATCGAGCTGTCAGTGGAAGTGTTGAACTCTGTGGAAATTATTTCAATTTTTCATTTAAATTTCAATTCAATTGATGAATTTTTCTATCGTTAGACTATGTCTTTTCAATTTTTATTGCATTTATTTTAGAAATTTCAATAACTCATTGCGATTCTTTGTGGACGTGTGCATGGTTTGTGACAAAAGTTTCTTTTGATGGCTGTTTTGAATACAGGGTTGTAGATTAAAATTTAATTGAGACAATCATACATGCTTAAACATATCGTTTTATTCGACTTTATTATTATAGTGTTGAATTGATTTTCTTTTTCTTTTTTTAATGTCCGGTAAAGGGAGATATTATTTTGAATATGCGGTGGAAAAAAAAACACACCGCAATTTCGGTCACACAAAAATCGCTGATCACACATTTACTTCAGTTAAAAAATTTGAAGATTTCATTTCGCATGCATATAGCAGACAACCACTGATAAATCTCCCATAATTGGTAGAACTTTTAAAATGTATTAATATTTAAAGAGACAGCAGCATTCAATTCACAGAGAATTAAAGAATTCAAAAAAATTAGATGTGTGTAAATGTTAGAATGCCATACATTGAATTAAATACAAAAAATGTGCATATACACACATAATGCAGTTGCGTAACGAGTGTGTATTTAATTCCCTGTGAAATCAATCGCCGCAAACATGATGTCGCAAACATGAATAGCTACCAAAAAAAAATAATTTAAAAACTAGTATAATTGAAGACAATTTACGAAGACTTTGATTTGATGATGCATACACACGATGCAATTGATATTGCATGTGCAAAATGCATCGTCAAATCAATGTTCCAGGGAAATGTGTGTGTGGTGATCTAAAATCGGAAGTAGTTTGCTTGTTTTCTGTTCGTTTTTTTTTATTTTACTTAAGAAAATAATGTTATTCTTGTAGATCCACCATTTTTTTTTGTTATCTTCTGAATTATTTTGGACTTAAAATTATTGATTTGTTTTTAGGCACAGACTTTAACAAAATGTTTCTTTTTCTATTTCTTTTCTCTTTTCTTTACGGATTTCATAATTAGAGAGACATACGCACAATCAATGATTGGCCTTACAATGACACATTTGAACTGTTATTGTTGTTTATGTTTGTCGCTCGGTATTTACATTTATTGAGAATAATTGAAAGTGGATTGGCGATATCTCATGATCTCTTACGCACTTTGCCATTTTGATGTTGTGCATTTGTCTTTTTCGATGAATTCGATGTGGCACCAATTGCATTTTCAGCCACTTGTATTGACACTTGTTGAATTCCTTTTTCCATGCAACCTTTGTAAATTGGCTTCAGTACCTGGATATTTAACCACAAAATTAGAGACAATTATTTTGATTTGAAAATTGAAAAAAATATGGTTAATAGAAAGACACGTACCGTATCCCATGTCATATCGGCTAGGTCATCAAGCGATCCACCAATGTCTCTCAAATTCCCGCTGTATCTGTTAATGAAAAAAAAAAATTAATGGCGTTAGATGCATTAAAATTTACCGAATTATATGTGACACAACAAACTTACCGAATATATGCCCATAATAAAAGTGTTAGCAGTGCAATTCCCATGATTAAATTACTAAAGTTGGCAAATGTATAGATTCCGAATAGGCCAAATACACCGCTTAGTATGTAGAAAAAGATGGCAACTGTTAAATATACGGCCGGTGTTCGTGCTGCCTTAAAAATATTTTTGCTTTCATTTTGTGCCTTAAAACTGTTATATTGATCCTCCAAATCGGTTTCCAATTGATTCAAATATTGTTGACAAAATTCTTCGCCACCCAATTTTCGTTTTGATGTAAACTGCGATGCGATGATATTGAAGAGAAAACGAAATAAATGAAAAGGTTATCAGGATTGTTTTTTTTTCACGTATAAATTGTATAGCAAGTAGATTAAGTAGAATAACCATATTGAAATACTAACTGTAAATATTGCTTTGTCCCTTATACGTAAATGTTCGGCTTCGAGATGACCTTCGCTCAAGTATGGTTTTGTTCCGCCACAGGTTTCTTCCATTAATTGAGTATATACGGCCTTTGCATTTGCAACAGCGGCTAGATTATTTGCTTCGGCTGTGGCCTGTTTAACAGATTAAAAACAACAACAACAACATCATACACAACCAATTCAATGATGCGTCGTTCAAATTTATTATTTATCAACTTACCATAAGAACACTTTTCGGTTCTGGCATTTCGTTTCCTTTATAAATGGTCATGTACGATTTAAAATATTGAATTAAATCACGAGCGTATACCTTTTGACCGTTAATTTCTTTGACAATTAAATTTTCGGGTGCGAGCAACATTGGTACCAATGATTTAAGACTAGTTTTAAATTCAGGCGTAATATCACTCAATCGACCGTCAAACGTTGGATTACTGGAGACTACAAGACCGGGATGTGGCATTAGATAGCACGCAATTTCGGAGAAGCATGATGTGATTTGTTTGCGCAATGTTTGCAATTCGGGTGCTTGTTTTGACGATACTTCGAGACGCCGTGTCAATACGCGTTGACCACCAATCGTTCCGTATTCAGCTTCATATGGAAAACTCCAATCGCGTACAATAAATTGCAGACGTTGAAATGGCGTTTTTCCCGAATCTTCGAGCGCCAATCGTCCATACTCCGTGAACAAGTTCAAATGTTGCAAATCATCCTCTTGAATATTATGGAATAAATTGTAACATTGAACGGATGAAACCATTGTGCTCAATGCAAAAATCGTTGCACAATCGCGTACAGTGCTTTCACTGTCAAATGTTCCCTGTGTATCTAATAAAATGATCGCCACCTTATCACCATTTTTATAATCCCACGTGAAAATGTCCGACCACATTAAAATGCCAGTTGTATCACGTTCGGAACCGCCACGCCATGAGAATCCATGCAATGGTTCATCCTCCTTTCCAATCCATTCAGTAATATCCTTTTTCTCATACTATAGAAAAAACAAACGAAAAGTAAATGAAATCGATTTTCGTGTGGTATGATTTCAAAATTTGTTTTATACTTACGCGAGCGTACAAATAACGGAGAAAGAAATCGAGCAAAAAACTCTTCCCTTTACGAAATGCTCCAGCCACCGAAACAACAACAACAAATCTGTCCTTGATATGATCTTGCAACAGCACCTCTGTCAGTGTATCTTCGTCCAATACGAATGTATGATCATCTTCGGTTGTGACTATTTGAATAGGTCGTGCCTTTTTGACTTCTTCCATTTCAGTAATATCGTGTACGATTTCTGTCCGTTCTAAATAATAAAAGAAACGCATTTTTTATTTGATTTTTTTTTTCTTCGCTTAAATATAAAACATAAAATCATTTGAAAAAATGATGTTTTTAGAAATGTCTACTTCAACGGAGAATCGAATTGAAATCACTTTTACAGCATACGTTTAAATCGATGTTCTTAGTAGTAATAACAGTAATAATAATAATAACAGAGTAGCCGAATTAGTCTGTGCAAAGAAAAAAAATGGTTATTCATTGGCCCCAAAATGAAAATTGCATTTAAACCGGTACGTAATAAAAATAGCCGCTACTGATCATTTAGAACAGCATACAAATAAATGATTTGCAGAACACACATGCTCATCTAAATGTGGTGATGATGCTGTTGCTGCTGCTGCTATGGATGTGCACTGAATGATTTTCAGCCAGCACCTGTTTTCAAACATTTATTATCCCATGGCAATAACTCAAGTGAATCTATTAATTTTTGGTCGAGCTCTCTAATCGGGTAGTGTGACTGAATAAATTCTCGGGTTTGTGATTTTTGACATTTGGAATATGCTTCCGCATACACATATAGCATATAGCATCATGACGATGAAAAATTAAAATATATATCTATATTCACTTGATGTGCAACAGAAAATGGCAACAATAAAAAACATTCGAAACATTTAAAAGGAAAAATAAAAATGAGCAACAAGAACTCGTACGAGTTATGAGGTGCTTGTACTTCAAGAAAACACTCATTCATTGTCGATGTCGAAAGTACAGTTTAATTGTGAATAAATATTTATGAGTGAAGTCAATTTCAATTGCTAATTGCCACCGATCAGTATATATTGCATGCAACAGTCAATCAATTTAGTTTCATATATGTATTGTGTTTTTCTTTTACATTTACAGTATAAAGAAAACAAAAACCGACGAGCAGACCAAGAAACAACAAAACACGAAATAAATCTAAACCAATCGAAATGAATTAATTCATTTGGTTTTAGCGCCTCAAGGGGTGAAAGAATTACTAACAATTAAATTATTGATCGAGTCAAGGCGATCGGATTCGTTTCAATTCTTCTTGGTGATAAAACAAATTGATATAACGAACGATGTCACATCAATTTATGAGTATATGTATATGAGCAGCAAAAAATGAACTTATTCAATTAGGCGTGTTCAATGATACCGAAATAAACAAGAGAGAAAGAGTGGGCAACAGAACAAAAATTTGTGGAAAAAAAATAAACGGCCCATTAAATTGTTGACTTTGCAGACGCAAAATGACAACCACAAAAAAAAAAACAAAAAACAAATGTTCGTAATGGCATTTAATCAGCAAACAACGTGTCAGTTTTTTTTGGTCACTTTTCCAAAAACTGTTTATTTCCACAAGCGATAAATTTCTTGTGTGCGCCATCATCAATTGGTCGCAACAAATATTACTATAATCTGAATATGTGTATTTTGCATTTGCAATGTATAACCTTAAATGTTCGAATATTTTGCACAAATGTTCGATTCTTGGCCACCCAAATGAAGAAAAAAAAAACACCACTCAAAGTCACAAATTCAATCTAACCCAAAGTCACAAATTCTTACCAATATTCATTTTGATAATACTGTATGTACTGAGATATGTTTATTCACGCACGATAATCAACAATAATAACAACAACAACAAATGAAATGTGTATATTAGAAATTGACCCAGTCTACGTATGATGATGATGATGCACGACGTTTGCACTCAGAAACAATTTGTGATTGCGAAGCTTTGCTACATTCAGGTGCCTCTCTGTGTATTTCAAATATATTTTTGTGTCATGACACCACTAGCATTGCAAACAGTTGAAAAGAAAGACGAACGAAATGAAGAAAAAAAAAATATCTATCACAAACAGTGAAAATATTTTTAAAAATAATTTGACACACGAAAAAATATGAAACGAAACACACACGATTTGATGTGAACGCGACTCTTTAATCTACGTGAAAAAAAAGAAGGAAAGAGAGAGAGATGTAGCCAAATACTGTGCGTGTGAGGTTGAGCAAAATGTACAGCGTTTTCTTTTTTCGTTCTCTCTATCTCACAATCCGAAACGTCATTACCAGACAAAGTACATATTGTGCACACGCATTCGCACATTCAATCAAACATTTATATATGAATATACGACGAGAATGTATTTTGATCTCTCGCGCGCGCGAGAATCACGCATCTTTATAGTTATTTCTTGTGTATGAGCCAAGATAGATGCAAATAGAGAATGTATGTACATGGAGCATCAGTTTCATGGTGAACGAAAAAAAAATTGCCAACACATAATTATTCACACTTTTCACGTGGCCATTACATGGAAACAACAATGACATATACGTTTTTCCTTAGGTGAGTCTCTATCAGCCGTACGACATTCGATTTGTGTGTTGTATCATTTTGACATTTTCAAATGTTATTTACATCGTCAAAATTCGATACGGGCACATCAGCACAGGAAGGAACAACAAAAAAAAAACAACAAAGGCTCATACGTAAACACTCACACACTGAACTCCTCCAGATTACAGCTGTCACACATTTTTGCCAAAGTGTTTCGAAAACTACTTTTCTCTTGTTCATACACAAAATACATCTCTTTTTTTGCGACGAATCTAAAAAGCGCTGATTTCACATCATACATTTCCTAATACTTTGAACATTTTTTTCTTCTCTTGTCGTATTTGATTCATCCATCTTCACCTAACCAAGTTTTTCATTTTATTATAATGCCACATTGACACATTCAAAACGATTCAACTATTATTGAGATTTCTAGATGTAAATAAATATCGAAAAAAAATGGACTATAAATATTTACCCAAATGTCGTTCCCATTCAGCCATCTTTGACAAACTAATCACTACAGACTACGAATGAACGAAACAGCGCGAAACAGCGTCATCAAAATACACACAATGACTTACACGTCAAATAAGAATGCTTTAATATGACACAATATTACGGATCTAATAATTCATCTGACGTTGTTGTCGTCGTTACATATTTTGTGATATGCTCTTTGAATTTTTTATTTTATTTCTTTTTTTCGTCGTTGTTTGCGATAATCGAATAATATTAGAAATTGAATCAATATGGGCTTTTGTTCTGAATAAAAGAAATTCATGGCAATCGTAATATTTTGCGAAACCAAATGGGGAAATTGCATGTTTTGGTTCAAATTTGAGTTAAGTTTTCACATTTTAGGTTTGTGTATTCGAAAAATTAAAGTATTTTGAGTACAAAGTACGTTTAAATATCGCTTAAATACTAAAAAAATGTAAACAATTCGAGATAGGGCCCGGTACATTTGTTTTTCTTTTGTTTATATTTATATATATATTTTAACTGGTCATTTTTCGGGTGTATAATTTTTTTTATTTCTTTGAAATTCAAAGGAATTTTCAAAAAAAAATGCCATTTGTTATCTAATCGGTGAACAAATGTAAAATAAGTATTTGTATGATTTTTTTCACAATATTTCATCTGAAATCGAATATTGGTGCCTTTTTTTAAAAAAAAATTACACTCCACGCACAAAGTAAAATTGCAAATATATAACCTGCAAATAGTAGAATTTTCGAAAAATAAAGAGAGGGCGCAAAGTGCATTTCAAAAAATAAACAACAAAAAAAGAGCTTGTAAAAATGGTAAAGAACGAAAGAGACAACGTACTGAGTTACAACACACACACATATACGTATATTTTGCGCACACTTACATTTGTACAAAACAAGGATCAAATAAGGATATGAATTGTTTGTGTATATTGGTAGCATGGTACATTGTTTGGATGTTTCGGCCATCTGCTGGGTGTCAGAAAGAAAAACATAACAAATTAGCTTTTATTAGAAAGTGGTTTCCATTGCAATGCATTAATTTAGTTCTTTTTCAACATTGAAAAACTTCTTCATTATTATTTAATTAGTATCTAGGTGTGTTATTCGCATAGTTGTTATCGATAAATAGTTAAATCATAGTTTTCCCTATAAGTTATACTAAAAATGTGTTTCTTTGTCCATAGTCAATCGAAGACCTAGAAATTAACCAAGATGAGAACATTGATTTCAGTACTAACATTGATTGGTATCATTGAACTTGCACAATCTTGTTATGTTATCCACCAATTGAGTGGAGAAGAGACGAAACTTGCAGCCGAAACTCTAGCTCTAATCTCCGGAGACGTAAAACTTGCCGATTCTAATGTGACAATAATAAGTAGTTCGAATATAATTGAATGCCGTGAGTGTAGCAAATTTATCTATACTATTGAAACAATATTTAATATATCATCATCTATCTTTTTTTGTATTTTATATATTGGGCACCATTTACGCCATTCAAATGTATAGTCGGATTAGAAAATGAACTTCAGAAAATACATATATCGTGGACGGGACCTGAGCTCAAAAATGCAACCGTTTGTGAAAACAGAACCGCTGATGCCGACATAACCGTTGATGAAAACATCGTCGTTGATGAAAATGCCACCGTTCACTGTAAATTATTAGGTGTGAACGTAACCGTTGAATCAATTGACAAGGATTTTTTCGCTACAAAATTCATACCTTTAGTATGTATATATGCTCTCAATTCAAAGTTAATTTTCAATTTGATTTTTTATTCAAAATAAGTATTAATTGATAAAATGTGTTTGAAAATTGATCAGAATGAAAGTGAGGCAGCATTTGGTGTGATGATCTCACCATCCCGCGTATATATTGTTCGAATTGAAGGTGAAAATCGTACAACAAGCCTGAATGGATTCCAAATCACCAACGAACGTCCATGTCATGAAATGAGTAAGCCATTGCATTTTTCTACTTCATGTGATATGATACCAAAAAACAGTAAATGTATGTGTTTTTTTGTTTATTCAATAGATCCATACTTGTGGCTATTCGTATGTGCCATAACTATCAGTTTGACTGCACTGATGACATTCAAAAAACAAAATGGTGAAGAAAATCCTACCATTATATTTGAAGAAACCGAAGACGAAGAAGACGATGACGATGCCGAGAAAAAATTGAATGATAAAAAATTGGAAATTGAAGATAATTCAATCTTGTGTAATACAAACTTTTCATTTTCTTTCTTCTTGATGTGTCGTCGTGTCTCCAGTCTCCACTCACCAAAAACTAAATGTGATTTTAACGATTTCTGTGTGAGCAAGCGGTATTTTATGTGAAATCGCATTAGAATTCAACTATGCGGAAAAGTTCAATTTGTACAATTTCAATATAAGGCGATACACATTCACAAATGCTATTGTCCCCAAAGTTGTAATGCTGTGTTATACGTACATCATGTTATAAACGCATGAAACAGAGCGCAAACAGAGAACAAACCAACAGAGAGACAAAACAAAACATTGTGAATCTTAATAATTAAATCCATAAAATTTTCGATATTCATTCAGTCAAAGCATGGTGTGGATGTTAAGTTTATAACTAAAATGTTCAAATCGAAGAATGGAAAATAAACGTATTTGGTTCTATAGTAATAATAGTATATTATTCATAATGAATGGTTATGTAAATTGGCAATAGATTTTCCATGTTTTTCCCATTCGCTTACATTTTACCTTTTATATGTAATACAAGAACGAAACGCACACGGAACACCGTTGTACATGAATGAAAGCATATATAAGAAATCAACCACCAAAAATGGAATGTATTGTATATTTATCTATAAAATGGACCAATTCAAAATTGGTGTGGCAACGTGTTAGTTTTATTTTAGCTTCAACCCTCCCCTCACATCCCCAAAGAAGAGAAAAAAAAGGAATTACAATAAATATATGTAAAGAAAATGTATATTTGTGTTCGTTTCGTTTTCTCATTTTTACATTTCATGTATGGTTATTGTTGTATTGTATCTTTTCCGTTCGCCCTCTCTCTTCAATTTGCATTGTTGTTGTTTTCAAACGAGCAACATTTGCGTAAATCAAAAAATCACACAGCAGTACATACGCAGTTGTAATGCACGGAAGTTGGAAAAGAGGAAATTCTTATGCTCTTCATAATGATGAATTATTTATAAAATATAAATCAATGAGCGCGGCGACATTATGTCATAAACATATTTTCACTGCCAATATAATAATGCATGACGAATGTGATGTGTGTGTGTGTTTGTGTTTGAAGAAAATTGAGCTATATGCCATTTCCGGTCTTGCCAATCGTGATAAGAGCAATGCGATTGAATTCCAAGGAGAAAACGAAAATAACAAATATACACACATATATACAGGCAACCATATATTGTGTTGGCAAAAGGGATGCTGGGGAAAAAAATTATGTAGAGAAAAAGAAAATCAAACGAAATCAGGTTAAGTGAAAAGGCAAAATAATTACATAAGCAGTTTTATGTGAATTGGCATGATGCATACCGTACGAATAAACATACGAGAGCCAAAATAGAAAGCTATAAAACTCTCTACTAACGAGTAATGGGATCAATTAAATCTTCGATGATATGTAAAACGCGACCAAATGATGAAGGCGTACAGCATTCTGTAAGAAATAGGATTTGATGAATTTTTCATGGTTGCTACGGCTGCTGTTGATGTTAATGGTGGTGATTCGGTTGTAGATTTTGTAAACGGTGAAGGTGGCATGGCAGTTTTAATGGTTGATATTATAACGGTGGTTGCGATGACTTTGTGGATGGATAACAGTCATAATAATATTTTCAGCCGGTGTATATTTGTATGAGATTGGAGACTTTTTTTTGCGAATCTCGCTAATGAGCGCCATCTGATTTTAGTGTGAATTAGATGCAAAAACTGAATTTAATTCTGTAGCATTGAAATGAAAAAGTGAAAAAACAACAACAATAGCACGGCCACACAGAGCTGTACATCTATGCGTGCTGATGCATACATACACATATACGCTTTCTTCATTCTTTCATTCCATTGCTATACGTATCTCACTGGTCAACAGATCTATGTAGCCATGTTACTGTTGTTGTTTTTTTCTCTTTTTCGATTCAATTCATTGTAACTAAATTGAGTTCAACTATGGAATACAAGATGGCACAGATGAGGGGAATTCGCATTTTGTCTCTTCATAGGCTTAGCCGGTTGAATATTTTACACGAGATGACTTCACCGAACTGAAACTCATGTATGCTACACTCAACGGTTTTCGATCAAATGTTCGCATCAATAAACTATTCCCGCAATAAAGATAAATGAATCCAGCTGAAAGGTAATCAATATATGAGGAAATTAAATTTTGTTTATCCGCGAGCACTATGCAATTATATATGAGTTTTACCTTTGGTCATTTGTATATTTATTGGAAATATTTTGTTTGCAAAATCTGGAATAGTTGGTGGCACAAGCACATCAGACAATATGCTTCTCTTGCGAGTGAATATTATTCGCGTGCTATTCCATTCGGCCACTGTTTGTGTGTTTGCGTGTATTGGGTATGTGATTAAACGAAAATTAAGTTAATAAATGACTGAATTTTCCAATTGTATTTTAATAAGTATGATGGGATCTTAATTTAATCATGCCATTAAATACAGCGCGAATAAATTTAAAGCACATTACATTCACTGTTAACAATAACCGTTTAGCTAAATCACTTCATCTTTTATTCAATCGCAATTTACTTTCTTTTTTGTAATAAATTAATAGTTCTTTTTTTTTATTCACTCACACACACACACACGCACTCTTTATGCATGCTCTTGCTCTATTTATGAGTCCCAATGGCGTACTTACGAATTTCATAGCTTGGACGATTTCGATAATTCACTCGATCATTTTGACTGAATGATATGTGCCAGTTTTTATTGCCTTCCACATAAAATGACACATTTAAAATATGATTGGTTTGGTTTTCATTTTTGATGGGTACAAAAGGCGAATAGGCATCTATATTTGTTATCATCCTTTTACATTGGCTGAAAATATGAAATATTCCACAGAAAAAAAAAGTCGAAACACTCACACATTATTGCATTTAATTGCCATGAACATTAAATCTATTGTATTAAAATTATAAAATTTAAAGTTACCATTTATCAATATTATTAATGTCGCAAATACTAACAGCATTGTCTTCAACAGTAGCAGTAACAGTAACCAAAGAGCAAACAGCCAGACTATGTAGGTAAAAAATTAATTCAACCATTCTACGGCCACGATTTATGAATGAAGTGCTCGTTTGATGCCATTGACGGTTTTCCCTTTTATACATATCGTAAGGATTTATTGGGCTTCGTTCCGTTTTTGATTAAACCAATCTCGTCTCTATCCTTATGTTCAATCTACTGTCTGGGCGTCCAACAAAACGATCGATATTTATAATTCAAAACGAAAAAGTTTTGATTCAAAATCATAAAAACAACGAAATGCGTATACTTTGACGCAATTCAAACGAATTCTATTTTTTATGGCTTATTCTCTTTTATTACAAAAACCGACGCACATTTATTATTTCGATGTTATTTCATGATTCAAATTTTTTTTCCCTTGTTATTCTAATTACTACAGATTTATTGAAAGAGATATTGAGAAAAACAACTTTATTTTTATTTTACTAAATACCAAGGCCAAACAATATGTTTGCTGTTAAATGAGCAAATATTTCGAATGCGAGTGTTTTTTTTCCATCCTCGACATCGACAAATTTCATAAATTTTTATGTGGTAAATTCAAATCACCGTCCACCCAGTAATAATATGATTGAGAGCAATGCAAACATCTTAACATGTGATGTGGTTTTTTGAGCCGACGATGTGTGGTTATCAATCGCACAATCATAATAGAAATTCATTCTATTCGGATGGTCAGTTGTGAACGTAAAATAATAATAGTTGAATGTGAATCGATCCGATGCCGGATTCCGGTCCACTGTCGCCATTAGTTTTTCATCATTTCGATAAATTTGAATAAATCCACCTACAACAAGAAAACACACAAAAAAAGAGAATATAAATGAATCATATCAAGACAAATGGGATAAAGATTTATGTGGCAACAGTAATAACAAACAAAACAAAAGAAAAAACAACTTTGCCCAATCACCGAATAAAAAACCAGCTTCATTATCTTAATTTGTACTCACTTGGTGATATTTTGATACGAAATTGAACTGGTTGACGTTCCGATAATAAAGAATTTTCGGTTTTTTTGCTCCCCAATAGTTTTACATGTCTAACTAAGATCTGTTTGTTCTGAATCACTGAAAATGACAATTGTCGGAACATAAATTGGCATACACAAAAAAAAAGTCAACATTACATTTCGTCCCCAAGCACAAAACACAATGCAAACAAAGAGAGAAAGAGGAGGAAAATGTGTTTTTTTTTTGTTCACTCACGAAATTGATATACTCCACTCGTATTTAGATTTGGATTGACAACCGGCGATAAATGAACTTCGCAAGAACTGGATCCAATCACATAAAACTCGAACAACAAATCGGTTGTATTGTTCGATGACAGTTCGATGTATTGACGAGGTTTGTTATGGTTGGTGTAGATGAACTGTTTACAGTGGCCTATGTTAAAATTGAAAATGCGAGAATAAAATGAAATGAAACGAGAAAAAAAACAACTCAAATGCGAGGCAAATTACAAACAATAAACACATGACGTCAATAAAACAAGATGAGAGGAGAATTTTTTCTTTATATACTACAATATAGCAGTAGCATTAAGGGTGTCATAATTTTTAATTGATAACATACCACAAAACTGTTTATGATTTTTAGCACACAGCTCAGATGTTGACAACAGCTCATTTGCCGAAATTGATATTATGCAGCACAAATTTACGCTTACCAAACAAACATAAAACAAATTCGTTAACGTTTTCATATTTCGTTTGTGTTTATTGAAATGGAACCGATTTAGCAAACGTTTTAATAATAAATGCAACAACTATGCAATTGCTTTGTACAAAATGATACAAAATGTTAAATTAAAAAAAAACAACGGTGTGAGATTTTGTCGCCTTTTTTCCAGTCACTATCGAAACAGAGTTGCCCACATGATGACATTTTACAATCGAACAAGCAAATGCAACAGCCGATGAACCGTTACACAGTCAAAACCATTGATAACACGATTCGATTGAACGTTTTGTTTCGCATACATTCAAAAAAAATGTGTCACATTTTTACTGAAATATTTAATTATGATATGAATTTCTTTTCTTCTCTTTTTCAATATGTGCTTATGTATTTTTTTTTTTGTTTATAAGACGAAAGACTCTTGATAATTTCGATTTATGTTGAATTTCCTGCCCTTGGCAGCATTTCGGAGGCGAACAAATACACAAATATAGTCGAGTAAGATATTAGATGATTTTTGACATTTGAATGAAGTGTGTGCGTTTTGACAGAGTGTGATCGCACAATATACTCAAGATAAAGAAAGGAAAAGCCGTTTCTATGCTATTGCATTGTTAAGACGTTCTTATCTCCCTATTCATTCGCTAAGAACAACTCCAACATTCCAATTTCAGTGAATATAAACTGCCATACAGTTTAAGATTTCATTCAATTGAATTCAAGGGAGATGGAATTGAGAGAAAGAAAAGCATTAAAATACAATTACACACGCACAATATATTAACGTAAGATTTGTACAATAATAACAGAGAGATACAACGAATAAATTAATATGTGTGTGCATTCAATGTACAATATATCGGTTTTTGCCATAGAGAAAGAGAAAGAGCATTTATTTCCAACACATTTGTCAGATGTGTCACATCATACAAAATTTTACCGAAACAATAACATGTGTTATGTTCAGAAAATGGTTCGCTTTAATTAACTAATCAAAGTTAATGAGTTTGAAAGGCATAAAACAATTTCATAAATGCCATCATGAGTTGTTTTATTGAGAATTTCAAATGAATCGGCTTAAATGTTAAAATTGTACAATTTTTCATTTCAATTACCGTTGCGACGCGCACTGATTTCAATTCTTTTTCTTTCTTTCTATATTCGGCACCATCATTTTACAGCTATGAACTATGAACAACAACGAATCAGGCTATCCTAATTGCCATGTACGTACTGTACCATATGTATTCATTGCCGGTTCTGAAAATGGTTCTGTCGATGTGGGTGCACCTAAAATTGAATCGACTTTTGATTTTGTTTAATTAAGCGAACTCTGATTCGAAAACACACAGAAAAACACCCATACATACATACATACACCAACACATTCAAACTACATCTCACGAAACGTACATTTTCAATCGATCCCGTTCCACGTGCAGTTGACAGGACACGGAAGCTTCATAAAAAGTATTTTTATTTATTTTGTCGATTTAAAGTGTTGTGGACGCAGAGAGCGAGAAATATAGTTAGAGTGAGAATAAAAATGACATGCAGCGCTTTGATGATGTCTTTTGTTAAAAAAAATTGCAAGAGCCAAGATAAATGCAGGAAAATCGAACAAAACGACTAGCTAGAATGAGATAAAAGCCATAGAAAGAAAATTGAAATACAAAAAAAGCAAGCAAGTTGTTAGCTATTGTAGAAAACTTGTCTGAATATAAAACTTTTATTCTTTTGTCAAACTATTACAAATTTTCGCCTTTTGAATATTTTAACGTTGAATCAGCCCATAATGTATTTGGACGTGTCAATGTGGCTGCAATTGTAGAAAAATTGAACTTCCGAGTTTTCAAACGATGAAAAACTGATATATTGAATAGGCAATGGGTTCTCTTCGAGAACGGTGATTATTGGCTGTGACTTCAGCTTTTCCGAATACAATCGAATGTTGCCACCTAAAAAATGGATAAAAGTAACAAAAAAAACAACACAAACACAATAAATAAAAAGTAAAATGGTGAGCGCGCGGATATATATATATATATAGATGTATGTGTGTGTGTGTGTGTGTGTGTGTGTTGGTTGGTGTGTGGGCAATATAAAAACGAATGGAAATGGGATTTAGGGATTTGTTCAAATATAGGTACATACTGTTTGCGACTTCCAATAGCATTTTTGTCGGTTTCTCCTGATTGATTATACGGCTTTCGTATGCTTCAGCCAAGACGTTGGCACCTTTCTTCTTTCTTATAACCACTCTCTGTAATAACAAAATCGATAGCACACATTTATTCCAAACGGTTAATACTGAACTGTATTTCGAGGTAAGAATGAAAATAATTTTAACGATGTGTGGACGAACGCAGCACAACATACCAAACAAAATGGATGCATATATGAAATTTTAATCGAGCATTCAATATCGTTCGAATTGCAATTTAATAGAGTAAAATCATGTTCAAAATTATTGTCTAATATAGTATGGTATAACTTAACTCATTGCTCCAGCCCCCAATCACTATGGAAATATGAAAAATATAAAATTATTAGCAATGAATTTTAATATGAAGTCAAAACATGTTTAACTTGAGCGTTTTGGTAGACAATTGAATTGAGAAATGTACATAATATTATTTACCAATTTCATAGACAAAATCTCTTTCGAAGTTTGGATGATCTGAGGTTGTGAGTAAAATATTTGCATCTCGTGCGCCTTGAATATATAAAATTATTCGCAAAATATAACCATCCGGCTGGGATTGTTTAATATCACTGATTTTCACATAATGACGATAGTCATAGTCAGATATTGAATAGTATCCACATTTTGTGACAAGGACTATATTACGGAGAAAATAGATCGCAAATATAATGAGAAAGTTATTAACGATATTAGAATTAATTTATTTCAGTATCCACATCCAGCAAATTGGTTCACATACAATTTCTCAAATCTACGGATGCTGGGACATCTCTGGCAACAAAAATAAAACGAATGAATGTTTGTAAAGAATAAAAAGAAGAACATTTTATTGCTAGTTTTTACCTGGCAAGAAGCGGATGATCGGTGCTGTCGAAAACCGCATCCGGAATGGCAAATGAAAACGAACAATTAAAATAGAATTTCACCAGATTTGAATTCCATGAGCCGAAACTGATATACTCCACGGGCAATGGTTCTGGGTCGTTCGCTGTCGCCAATAATATATCGCCAAAATTATATGTATATATCAAAAATATATTAACAAAAATATATGTGAAATACTCATACCTTCTGCCATCAATGTGAAGGAGTGTGTATCCTCTTTACGGAATATTCTAATGTCACCGCCTGAAAATTTCGTCGAATTAGAAAGGTGTATATACCTATAAAAATAATAATAATACAAAATTTATTGGAAACGTACGTGTGGTGATTTGAATCAAAAACGCAATCCATTTGTCAGGCGCCAAAATATCAACCAGTTGAATTTCACGCAATACATTCGCACCCTGTTTTCTACGGACAATTACTCGTTGATTTGCCCATCCGCCGATAACTAAGAAAAATAAAATGGAAAAATAGTGAACGTAAAGGGAATAAAAATAAAATGTTCTACAGTTGACAGCAAACGGAAATGATATGTATGAACTTTCACCACTTTCAAAACTAAATGCGAATTTTCGCTTTTTCATCATTTTCTGCTTCTTCTTCATTTTTTTTTATTGCAAAAAAAGCAAATCAAACATGGTAACAATAAGCGAACGAGAAAAGTTGTTGTTTATGTGAATGTAATTGAATATTTACGTATTTCATATTCGTTGGCTTCTCGATTTGCCATGGGCACTGCTGTCAAAAGAACATGAGCGTCACGTTCGGCTTGAATATAAAATGGGAAATTGATGATGTAGCCTTCTGAACGAACGCCAGTTAAATCGGTTATCTTATAGAATTCTTTGTATTCGTTTTCTGTTGCGTCAGCATATCGGCACAGTTTCTTTATATCCTCTTCTTGGTAAGCATTTTCACCCTCACAATTGTAGAAAAATTTGGCCAACGAATTGTCATACGAAGCAAAACCAAAGTATTTTACTGGCAATACATTTTTATCCTCGGCCACAGCTAACGGCTCTTTTTGATATTCAATGAACACTTGGATTTTACCCTCTGTAAAAACAAAATGTGAGAAAAAAAGTGTGCGAAAGAGAGAGAGAGAGATAGATAAAAAAATGCAAAAAAATTTATATGTTAAGAATAAATAGATGTTCAATATATGATAGTAACACGCATTCAAATCTGGATGATCGCTATGAATTTTCGTCCTAATCAATTAGAAGGTAATGAAGCCGGTGAAGTGATAAAATACGCCCAAATGGTGTGCTTACATAGGCGTATTATTGGCAGTCTCCATTCCGACAATCACTGACTTAAATTAGATTTTAAGAATTATCTTCGGCTAATGCACACCAAACATCTGGTTCAATGTTAATGTACTAATGATAATTTCATCAAATACCGCATCTTAAAATGAGTCTCACTTTTAGTCCTCCTCTTCAGTTCATACAAAACAAATAAACCCCGAATGAATGCGATGGCATTTTATCGCATTTTGTTACCAACTAGATCCATTCAAACCATACAATCATTCATTCACTTACCATTTGATATTTCAATAAGCAGCTTCAATGGATTATCTTTGCGTAGAATGTTGAAATTATATTCGACAGTCATGTCATAGTCTTGACGTTTTCTGCGAATTAATGTTCTATTATTTGCCCAGCCCCCGACCACTGTCGTCAATTTTTGTTACAAACATAAACGAATGAATTTTTTTGAAATGTTATGAAATTCAAAAGATAAATAAAAAAATAAAATAAAATAAAATTGTATGAACATTTAATATAATATACTAACATATTTCATAGACATTATCACGAGTCCAATTGGGAAATTCCGTTGGTGAAAATACAATGTGGGCATCGCGTGGGGCTAAAACATAGAACGGTAATCGTACTAGGTATCCAGACGGCTGTAAATTAAATCAAATCAAACATTTCGCACAACACAACGACAACAAATAAAATCAAAAACCAAATTAAATTGCATTTTCTCACTTGAATTCCTGGAATGGAAAATGAAAATAATGAATGACTCTTAAGAATTGAATATGTTTTTTTGTTGTTGTTAGTTTTTACCTGGAATATCACTGATTTTCATCAATTTTTTATAGTCATAATCTTTCTCTTCGCGTACTTTGCATTTTTTCGTCAATCCTAAAGATAGACAGACAGCCAGACATGGAAAGAAGTAGAAAAAAAAACGTCAACAACAAATGATTAATCGTTAATGTGGGGATTTCTGGCATGATAAAAAAAAACCAAACCAGTTCGTTGTTTGTCAATTTAATATTAACTTACTACAATATTTTTTTGCACGTTCTCGAAATGCACTTGACTGTGCACCATACGCCGATTCCGATAGTAACAACAGTACTACCAAATAATTTAAAATGCACCAACAATTCATAATTAATGAAATTTGAATTGCACAAAAATTAATGCAAAATATGTTGACCAAATGTAGTAATCAGTGGCTTTTTGACACTGAGAGACAAACAAACACACGATCAGTTTTACTTGACCTACGACGCAAAACTGAAAACAAACTTGAATTCCGATATACAAACAAGATTCACTCGGTTCGTGCTATCATTATTATTATTCGAATCAGAGTAATATAAAAACGAAATAATAGTAATAAGACAACACAAAGCAACGAATGAAGATGTGTACACAACAAGAATGGGAATTAAGCAAGCCTGTATTAAAAGATATTTGTCATGTCTGTCAACAAATCAAACAGGTTGTGATTTTCTCAGTCGAAATGCTAATTTACAAAAATGTTGATCATACACGAGCGAAGTAGCGAAATCATATAGCCGACATTGAGAAAGATAGAACAGGCAAGCAATGACACATAGCCAGTGTGAGCGATTTGGATTGAGTGTGAGTATGATGTTCATATATACTCACTCTAAGGTCAACTGGATGATAACGAATGGCTCTGACTTTGTTCAACATTCATATGAATGCGTGCTGTCACTACCAATATCTTTCTTACTGTGTTGCTGTTTTGTGCTGGTTCTTCTTCTATTAACACTAATACTACTACTGTTGTTGGTAAAAACAACGTTCGCCCAATCAACGAACCTGATACGAAAATACCGAGCAATTGGTATTGCTTGTATTATACTCTCTGTGTTTCGTTCGTGTCTCATTCCCCATTCAATTAACACAAACTAAATTGAATGATTCCTGCAAGACAGAGGGATTTCAATATATGCGTTATTGGTATATCGCTTGGATTATGTGTATCAAGGAAAGTCGTCGTTTACAATTGAAGTTTTACTATGTTTGTCAATACGTATCGAAATTAGAACGATATCATATTTGAAATGAGGTTTACAGAAACTTTATTCATTTTGAATTCATTAAGGCACGTTTAAAGTGCTGCCGCGGCACATCTATTTCAGCTAATTTTTTCCCTTCTCTTATTCATAAAAAATTCATGTCATGAAAATCAATTTATTGGATCAATCAATTCGGTACATTTTCAGCATGAATTTGAGCTTGTATTTGGAAGCTTTATCTATTCATACATACATGTAATCACGATACGAAACACTTCTTTTTCAAAACCATCATGTAATTTGAACGAAGTGCGTTCAGCTGCGATTCTTGTCGCTTACAGCGACAATCTTTGTTACAGTATCATCTTGTCGCACGAATTGCAATTTCGATTTATAATTCGCAGCATTTCTTTTTATTCTCTCTGTCATTCAGTCGTTCGTTGCTCGGCATTTCGAAGATTTTGTGAAAAATGAACATTTCCGATGTTTGAATCTTCAGCGTATTATGCTTATGCTGATCGAAAAAACGTGCGTCTGCATATTATTTAATACGATATGATGTGATACGATTGTAAGTGAAAATAATGAAAAAATAAACCACATTTAAAACAAGGGTGCTCACTTCGCTCGCAAGCTACTTTATGTGTTTGTCTGGATTTGCTTTCAACCATTCAGAAACAGTTTGGCCGAAAGGTTGACATAAGTGAATTGCTCACGTTAGAATTGTGTAAGATCAGTTGTACAATGGACAAAAAAAATGATTGTCAAGGGTCATTCCACTTCAGACTTCTTGCAATTTTAACCAGCTTACAAAAATTTGATTTCTGAGAAATGGCGCGAACTCTAAGAAAATTTTAATTTTTCTCGAAGAAATGTGTTATTTATAACCTATCTTTTTTTCCTTTATAAATCGAAAAGGCATCTGATTTTTGGCCGAGATGCAAATTTTCACAATCCAAAATTTTGTGAGTGGGTCAAAATTACAAAAAAAAAAAAAAACGAAGTGAAGCGGCAATTGAATTTAGAAATCATTTTTTTTTTACTTAAATACTATATGTGATAAGATGTAAGATCGAAACTTGAAAATTGCTATGATGAATCGTGAAATTTGAATACGCAAGAGTGAAACATTTCAAAAATAAAATCGACATGTAATTCTTCCAAGTTTCGACCTTTCTTATATTTTGAATAACCTTGTATTCTTTTACAGTTTTTGTCTGTTTTTACACTTGGTCATATCCACGGAATTTCAAATGGGTGGACTGAATCTAAATCAATAAACTACATTTCATATTTTGCCAAAAATTTATGATCTTTTACTATTAAATAATTTAGCAAATATCTCTCTCGTACTGGATTTGCAATAATAATAGGAATGTCTATGCTTTTAGGTATTTTTATTTATTGAGAAACAACCACATTATTAATGCGTCGCAGCTTGATTGAAAGTAATTTTATTCCCGTTCGAACGCATCGCTCAAAGCATTGTTTCATTTCGTTTTCGATAAATATTTGAAATTCATAAATATAATCGAATCATGATGATGATGATGATGATGATGCTCTACTATCTACCGCAACCGCATGCCAACGAAACAAAATACACGGTCAATGATTGGAAAAGTAATCGAAATTGTTTGAAGTAGGTAATAATTTGGAAATTGTTAGCTGATTTGCATATTTGTGGCTATCCATGTGAGTGTATCGTGTCCTGTTGCATGGTTTTCTTTTAGGTTATGCGGAAATTTACAAAGAGCGTATGGTATCGGGCTTGGGCCTAACCCATTTTATGGTTTTTAGCATTCAAAGTAGAATCCCGTTCGTGCGAGCGAGAAAAAGATATAAATGAGATTCATTTTGAGACTTGGTCTATTCAAATCTTTGAATTGGATTCTTTCCGCTCTTTTTTTTTCTTCATGAAAACGAATCTTACTTCAATCTATCGAAAAAATTGAAAGAGCGAAACCTAAACGCAGAAAGAAAAAAGAAAACCAAACATTTAATGTTACTAGTTTACGTCATCCTTCTCGTGCAATGGCAGTAAAAACTTTTGTACACAGATAAAAATTTCCATACTTTTCTTTTTCTTTTTCGCTCATCGACGTTGCGCTCATTCTTTTCAACATTGGATATAAAATTGACGGCGCTTTTGAAGCATCGTGTAAACGATTTAAAATGATGAAACAACATCCTAATTCATGTGAACAGAATTTTAATTTGGCAAACTTGATCGATTTTTATCGCGTAGATGGGTTGGGGCTGAAGCAACGAAACAGAAAAAAAGAAAGAATTATTTTGTCATAAATTTGTTCAATTTGCATTGAATGTGGCAGTTGTGATGAACGAAAGAGAGTGAGAACGAGAGAGAGAAAAATAACATGAAAGCATTGAATACTATTGATTTATTTAGATTTTATGTATCGCCGAAAATCATAAATCTCGACAAATATTTTTTGTGGACTTCCATTTCATAAATAGAGAAAAAAAAATGCACAGAAGAAAAAACATAAAAATAAAGAAAATGAATTGAATACGTAAACAGTGTGAAAAGCACGTTACTTCAGTCCCTCTTATCCCAAAAGAAAACGATGAACACATACATACACAAAGTCAACTAGTAAAACTTTTCGTATATTCGTCGTTGTTGTCGTCGTTGTTGTCGTCGTCATCGTCGTCAGAAAATTCAAAGCGTACAACATAAACATTTACAATATAAAGTGAGAGCGTACATTGTGATTTTCCTTTTTTTTTCTCTTTTCCTTTTTTTTTCTCTTTTCCTTTCTCTGTCAGACACACTTAGTTCAATGAGATTTTCAACTGTGTGTAATTCGGGCTTTACTGTTTCATTCGCTGTTACAAATATTTAAACGAGATTGCGAGATGTTAAGAGCATCAGCTTGTGATGAGCTTACTTGTGTTCACATAATATTGTTTTCAGCACTTCTTTAAGAACTTTGACTTGACTTTTTTCCCACCGTCGCTCTTATCATGACTTGGACACACGAGATTGCATATTTTTGCTGTGTGTATGCTATTAAAAACAAATACTAGTCTATTTGGTATGTCTTCATTTTGGCCCATCTCTCAACTAAAGAGCACATTGATTCGGTCAAGTGTATTGCTGCTGACTACAGTATTAGAATGAACATAAAATTTGTAACTTCGAATAGAAAAAGAGAAAGAGAAGGAGAAAGAGGAATTGTTGTGTATATCGTCAGCAGAAGCACGGTTTATTTCATCAAAATACTGATAAATTTTTATCAACATTGCTTCAGTTCGTTTATACATCATTCATTGGTGGTTCCATTTTGATTTAATGAGTGGCAAACAATGGAAAACGTCTCCGGGTGAAATGCCAATTTCAATATAGCTCGAAGCCAAAATATTCGGAACACATAATCAAATGAAAATACAAATGAAGTGGTATAACATTTCCACTGTCTGCAATGTTTACGCACTATAGATGATGTGAAATGTGTAATACAAATCGAGAAATTGATAACGGTGAATTGATAAGATGCATCTGACAATGGTAACATGTATAGTTTTACGTATGTAGTACTATGTTCAAACTGTGGCCTTTTTACCTCCTTTGTCTTCCTCAAATTTCAAATCATTCCCAGCTGAATAATACACGGTTTGATGGTTCTGCAGTAAGCCATTCGGGCGCGCTTTAGCTGTATTTTATCAAAATGTTATCTATACACACAATAACTTGCCAACTCGAAAAACAATTTCCAATAAAATTTCATTGTCTTTGTCATTCTCTGCATCTCTGAACTCTTTAGCTATTCTATGGAATTGGCGAAAAATGAAAAGATAGAAAAAAAGGTATCTGTGGGACTTTGGTAAGCGACCATAAGGAATGCCAAATAGCGCGTTCTGCGGAAAACATACATCGATAATAAAATCAATAAGTTCTTGTCAACAACACACATGTATTATGACTCTCACATGAATTTTTATTAAATGTTGTCTTTCCCATCTCTATTATTTTTCGATGGAAAAGAAGGCGATCTGTGTATCGAAATTATTGATTCAAAAATAAATATACACATACTTCTTCAGAGTCATTTTCTTTTTTCATCATTAATTTTATGAGAAAATTGTTGCCAGCAAAAATCCATCGACGAATGACAAATTTTGCGACAAAATTGAAATACATTCCACAATCTTTGACGTCAGCATTCGCTATGCACTGCAAATAACACTTGATTCTTCAACGATTTAAACCATTTTGCTTGAAATTAATAGTTATTATCTCTTATTGATATTGCGTTCTTATTCAATATCATTTGCAATGTGTT